CTCTCGTTCTTCGTTGTCTTATCACATCATCCCAATTGGGTAAAACATGTTCTTCCCAAATCCGTAACAAAGAACTTGCTGTGTCATCTCTGCAAGTTGATTTGCTACGTTTCTCGGATTCTCTCTGACGTTCCACTTTCTCCGCTGATGCCATCATCTTTTGATATTCTTTAAGATGTCGTCTTTCCTCAGCTGGATCCTTTGGCGGAAGCCATGATGGTCTCGTCCTCGAAAGTACGGCTTCCTTCTCCTTTGATATAGGTAGCGGATCAATCATAAGTTCGGTTCTTCGTAATGGAGGCAATTCGGCGAATGATGATTTCACTCTCGTTGGCTTGGCTGAACGTTGGTAATTATGAGTATCGGAATCCCTTCTCTCTTCATCCTCCGCATGTGCCTCCAAAGCTTCGGTCAAAGCCTTTGCTTCTTCACTCAAATCCGACAAAGCTTCGTTCCAACTCTTTGCCCGAGGTTTATTAGAATTAAAATGATTAGTTGAAAATTGTCCCGTCGTTATTCCTCGTGTCATGATCGCTCTTGGTGATCTAAGTTCCCCCTGTTCTGCTGGTTTGGCAGAGGTTCCATTTCCAAGTGGCTTTGTTTTCTCCTTCGCCGGTCTCTCGGGACTCGTCGATGCTGATGGTGCAGCACTTGCTCGTTCTTGTGGAGGCCGCGGCGATATTGGCACATTTTCCAAAAGGCATTCGTCAGGTACATCATCTCCATCATCCTCATCACATTCCTTCTCCAACTCTTGTATAGTCTTTCGTTCTCGATTCGAAACCCAACTGCCTCTTCTTCCTTTCGCGGAAGCTCCGGATATGCTACTCCTTGGACTCGCGCCAATGTTTGGACTCAAACTTCGCTGTCGTGTAAGTGTAGTCGGTAATACGGGTGCACTGGGACTACTCAATCCTCTTCTGGTTTTTGCTGATGAACTGGGTACGGGTACAATTGCCAAGCCATCCGATGCCGCATTTCGTATCTGTGACCTCAATGTTGGATAACCCTGACGACTTTTTGTAGTTGATGTCAAATCTCTTGGAATTCTCGTATTTCCTTGTGTGGTAGACATGGGAGCTCGTTGTTGTTGTCGTTGTTGCTTTGCTTGACTTCGCAAGTCAGTTGTGAATGTTGAAGAGTATGGATTTGTCGACATTTTGACGGCGAATTCCCCAATGTCCGAGTCAATTCTTGATTCATCGTCGAGTCCAATTTCTTCGAAATGATTGACATCGGAAAGAATTTCATCGTTATCGGATTGGTAAGAGGAATGAAATGAGGAGGATTTCGAGGATTTGGATCCCGATAACTCGGGAGGTGAACCAGGCATTGATGTTGGATAACCCGCATCATTTGAGTAGATCATCGCATCTTCAAAAGATGGAATTTGAGGGTAGTGGTTTTCTCGTAAGGTAGCTATTTTGGCGGTATTGAATTGAAAGCTGGGATGAAGTGGAGGAGGAGAAGGTGGAGGCGGTATGATGATTTACCGTTTCGAAAAGATGAGATGATACCTGCCCCCCTGATTATGCTATGTTGTGTATTTATGGGTTATCCGTTTTTGAGGCTTGTTTCGAAGGAAGTCAGGAAGGAATGGAAATTGATCTAAATTCGAATCTTATGATTTATCGACGTGGAATTGAATTGAGAAGTGAATTGGCTCGAATTGAGGTAGAACAAGAGCTTTTTGAAAGGTTGATTTGATTGATTGACTGAACGAGAGTCACAACAGCTGGGAAATAAATAATTCTTGCTTGTTTTTCTTTAGAAATTAACGATTGTAATGAATGGAATTGGTCGTAAGGTGGTGATGGAGGTAGTGAAAATGAAATTGATATTGATATTATTGTTGATGTTGATGTACCGGTATTGTATTGTAATGAGTGTTGCTGCTGTAGAAGCTGTCGGTCGAGTTTATTCTCAAATGAAAAAGATATTGTGTTTTCGCTCCTCTATTGTGAGAGGGAGGGAAGAGATGTATTGGATGGGTTCGTACTCCGTAATGAATTCGTTTCTAGATAAGGAAGGAAGGAAAGAAAGAGTGAAAGAGTGAAAAGCAAGCAAAGCTGGTGGGTGTATAATGGAAAGTGTTGGCTTGATAGATGGGTGAGATGTTTTGAGGCCAACTTTTTGAGATAGAATGAATTGAAGAAGTGGTGATGAAAAGTGTACAAGTTGAGTCTGAAGTGAATTCTGAAGTTGGAAAAAAAAGTAATAACTGTAAAGAAGATTCAATGTCAAGAATCCACAAGCAGCAATTGCGAAATGATAATGATGATAATGATAATAATAATAACAATAATAACAATAATAATAATAATAATATTTACAACAGTAACAACCAAAAAGAAGCCCTCAAGTATTATTTCCCACTTTCGTAATTAACAAGGATAAGAGAATTTCGAGAAGTCGGTCGCGACCTCAACTCTGTAAGGATTAAGTTGATCTTTTAACTTTTTAATGTGGTCGTAATGATATTCGGTGGATCATTTCAAATGCTTCATTTAGCAATCGGTGGGTCGTGGACTCATCTCATACATTCATAGACTCGTGGAAGAAAGATGCGAACAAACTGGGGATACTACTCCCTCCCCTGATTCTGATCTTGTTGGAAGAGATGGTAGGAGGTGTGTGTGTGTGTTGATGTGTAAATGTATAAGTTTCGAATGTATAAGTTTATAAATGTATGTGTATGTAAGTGATGAGTATATGTATAGGAGTATGAGTATGGCAGTAAGTAGTATATGTGTATCTGGATATAGGATGAGATTCAATAGCATCCAGAGAGATAGAGAGATCCGGTTAAATAGTCAAAGTAGTCAAGGTAGTCAGTCAATCAAGGAAGTCAAGGAAGTGAAGGAAGTCAAATATAAACGTTTGTGATTCCATCGAATAGATCTCTCTTCTCTCCTCCTCTCTTCTTGAAACATTTCTTATCTCCATCTCCATCCATTGTATCTACACACACACACTCTTAGTTGACGATCATCATCATCCAACCATTGAAGTGTACTATCAAAACCCAAAAGCAAGAGATTCCGCCAACCCAAGTGACTCCCTCTACCGCAAGTAAACCAGTCTATTGTTCCCGCTGCTACCGATCTCTCAAGAATTAAGTTTAGAAGGATAGAAGTTTGGAACCCGTTCTATCAATGATTGAGTAACTAGTCGGTAGTTTGTAGTTAGTAGCTCATGGAGAGATAAGAGATCACACACATCTAATGGCGGTGAATGCCAAATTGGATGAGGGAGGAATCGAGAAAAGACATAGGTCCATCGAAGTGTACGGAGGGAGTATGGAGTATGGAGTATGCATTATGACAACTCGGATCCTTAATTAATGATGACGGACGGCTCAACTTGTTTTGCATGCAATGAGATTCAACTTTCCAAGGCAGAGAGAGTATTTTCATTGTACAACGAATCAACTACTGGGGAACTAACCAACTACATGGGACATAACTAATACTAATGAACTTGCCAGGCAAAGCGCCTACTTTCTACTTTCTACTTTCGACTTTCCACTACCTACTAAGTATCTCCTAACAACATTCTTTCTTTCCCCAACGGAAGCTTTCACGGAAGCTTCCATAACTCACCCATGCAAATATGATGCGATCCGCCAATCCGATAGATAGAAGAGAAAGGGGAAATGGAAGAATCAACCACCAACCTTTACCGAGTAGTGACAATATAAATATATTAAAAAAGGTACACCTCGGAGATAAATCCAGGTACCCTACACATCTCATTCGTCAGTCAAATGAAATGAATCCATGGATAGGATAGGATAGGATAGGATAGCTTTCAAACCAATTCAAATCAAATCCTATTCAAATTCAAAATCCAGATTCAATTCAAACCTCGTTTTGGCTGTTGGTAGTATGTCGATAGGTACATATACATATATACATATATACATACATACTACTCGAATTTAGCATCCCGCTTAATACATCCATCTCTTTTCCTTGAATTTCCACTCTCAATACCTACTACCCCTTACCCACCTAGATACAATGCTATTCTCCCATCTCCCATCTCGAAATCATCAATCGAAGAAACAACACACGGAGATTCTCCAATACCTACTCTCCAATACCTAGCTACACCCATCCATCTACCATCTACCATCTACGTAATCCTCATAAGCCACCACCCTTCCTTACCAATCAATCATCCCATCCATCACCTAGATCCTCCACACATCAACACACACACACACACACACACACACACATACACACACACATAAGCGGGGAACCCATTCGTTCATCGGAACAAAGTTCAAAAAATAATCATCCATCATCCATCATCCATCATCCATCGAATCACATTACATCCAGCCAAGGTGACTTAACTCAACTTACCATGTTATATTAATAACGTGTTTTCCTCATCTTTTCTTGCAAGGAAGAGGCTTGCTGGACGGGAGACCGTCATTCATTTCTACTCTTCTACCATTCGATTATGCTACTATCCATGAATTAATACTGGTATTCCTAGAGTTAAATATATAACCTATGCCAGGTAGACATGGGATGTATGGGATTAATGTGAGCAACTTCATTCTTTTCATGCTAGACGTTTCCCGCCTGGGGATTTCAATCTCATACCTCCCTATCTACTTCTGTACGTATATCTTGTAAAATTATATACCCAAAAACGAACCACCCAATATTGCCCCCCAATAACCCATTCATCCATTCCACCCACCAATCCCTCCAATTTCCATCTTAAAAAGGCTCCAGTACTTCCAAGTACCATCAGAAAATCTCGCAGATCAAACATAAATCTATTGCTAAGAAAAAGGGATGGTCGATGAGATTCGATGGTGCTAGTCTCCATGCGTGCTAGCATTCTACCCAGGCCAGCTGAAGGACGAATATTATTCTCCATCTAATTTCGGTACGTCCCCCGGAGACAGCGGGAAAAGACGATACACGGTAACGCGGGACAGGATTTTTTTTTTCATTCGTTAGGTCTAGGCCTAAAAGCTACAAACTAGCAGTTGCCTTCAAATTTCCTTTCGACTTTCTGGCTACTTGTAGCTTGGTTCGGATTGTGATCTTTGGGTCGGCCTTGCTCCCGAAAGAGTCGTTTTGACTCTGGTTACTTTCTTGTGAGACTACGCACTGTTAAGTGTGTGTACCATGATTAAAGTTGTGACCTCCTGTATGTTTCTCGATTAAAGGGTTTTCTGGAAGACAGGCATGGAAAGGATCTTGGGCTGGATTTGCTGAAGTATTGACTAATGATACTGGTGCGGGCAAAATTCGGTGGAGGCCTATTGAAGATTCAAAAGGGGGACGAAGCTTCCGTAAAATAGTTCTTTCCTCCTTATGCGAATGCAAATGCGGAATGCTCCCATTGATAGGATTTATCAATCCTCGACACTTATTTCAATCGTCCCGCAACGCATGGTATAAGACTTTGGATCTTAACCTTGTATGTATTCTGGAAAGTTCCTATGGCTCAAAAGAATTTTACACCTTGTTGATCCTCCTGTCCGAAAACCTGCGCTTTTCCCCTCTTCACCAGTATCGCCAATGCTTTTTGTAGTATTTCCGTATCTAGACCGTGGAATTCTATTGCCAATCCGTCCGTTAGCATACTCCTTCAAATCCAAATAACCAGAAGACAAAAATGAATAACATACCAGCACCCCTGCCTCCCTCTCCCTCAACCAACTCATAAAGTGTCAATACACTCCCTCTCTGTCCCGTCTCATCAACCCATTCCTCAATAACTCTCGCCCATTCATCTACCTTCCTCCACCAAACCCAACATATATCTCCACCTACTTTCCCATTCCCCCCTCCGCCAATCCACTCCACTCTCCCCTCCTTTCTCATAAACTCCAATACCTCTCTCAACCCCTCTTCATCCAATCTCCTATTAATCCTCTCATTTCTAAACAACTCAGAAGATAACAACGTAGAAACCGTAAGACGAAATAATCGATGAAAAGCAAAATAGGAAAGGATCAAATCGCTCCATTTGCGAAGTTGCGCATGGAGGGTCGAAGAGGTAGGTTGGAGGGTGAAGAAGGGAGGAAACGAGTGTTCGCGGGGAAATTTGAAAGTTTTGGCAGAAGTGGCAGAAGTTTGAGTTTGGAGAGTACTCATCTTGAGTTGGGGATTGAGTTGCGATGTGATGGCAGTTGCGATGGAGAGTCAAAGTGGGAGCTTTGGTGGAGGGGAGTTCAGTCAGCCTTGTGTGGTCCATGCGTGTCAAGGCTTAGCCTTGCTTAGTTCCCGTGTTGAAGTCATTAGATAGGTATTGATTGGTATCTCATTTTTAGATTGAAGAATAGAATACAAAATGTGGAAAAAAAGAAAATAATAACATTTTACATTACAAATGACGAAGAAAATAACTAACTCAATCCCGCAAGATGATAATCCTCCAAAATCGAAATCAAACTTACACCATCATCAAGCTTCCATCTTTAACAAACCTTCTCTCTCCTCTTTCGGTCTATCCTTTCAAGTTCATCTTACAAACTCTACCTACACGCTAGGAAATCCTAATAATTTGGCCTGGTTGAATGTGAAAGCAGTAGCCAGAGGATACGCATTTAGTAAAGCGTCAACACCCTTTCCAATGGAATTTTCAGTTGTCGAAACCGTTCCATCTGAAAGTGTAACATTATCATTTCTGGCAGCAGGTCCAAGATCATTATCAAGATAGCTAGAGACTCGGGAGAGGATGTTCGAGGAGCGGGTGGTTAGGAAGCTAGTGAGGTAGGTGCGGTAGGTTGATGCCCACTGAGAGAGAGGAGTGTTAGCTTTTCTCTTGAAGTTGAAAGGAGAAATCATGAGATACTGTTGGTGGAGTAATTGATTGTGGACTTTCTTATCATCCTCGTATCAATCAAAGATAATACATATGATACAATGGTGCGCAAAGAGATAGTAGGGAGTACTTACGTCTGCCTTAATACCACTCGTGGTGGTACTATTGGTAGCTCCAATAACGGCATCAGCACCAATAACGGCATCGATAGCAAGTAGTGCCTTGTAAATACGGAGATTGGTGCTTTGGAATAGACTCGCGATGGCATCATCATTGGTTATGGCCATTGCCACGGCCAATTCGGAAATATATGCTAATTTCGCATCGTTACTGGTATAACTTTGTTGCAATTCACCTGTGAAAGCTTGTGCTTTGACGGTGCTTATCTTTACATTTGTTAGTTATATATCTTATGATCTTTGAGGCTAAAAGTACCTTTTGATCTATTCCAGCATAATCGGGATTGGTATCACTAGGGAGTGCACTGTGTTTATGTTAGAGAAGCCGTGGTCATTTGAGGTAATTCGTAGACTTACTTCCAAATAGTCTGTAACCTAGATTTTCCTGCATTGACAGTATCTGGCTTATCAAAAATAGCCTTGAAAGCTCCACAGTTGCTGCTGTTAACTCTACTTGCAAAGAAGCTTTGCAGGATTGTTGAATCGTCTATAGACAATGACATTAGCCTAATGCTCTCATACTACTTTTAAATAAAGACTCGATACTTACAAACACTATCTACGTCAACGGCTAGAGATTTGTTAGTCAAGATTCACAGCAGACTTCAAGAGTGAAACTTACTAGGAGCATTCGCCTTCCAACTAATTCCTGATCCAGCCTTTGTATACCCAACCGCATTCGAATTTATCAATTGAGAAGCAAGCGCTGCATCGGTAACTTTTGTAAAGCCAAGTGCGGGACAGGTCGTTGCGTTCACAGGAGTATCTTGCAAAACATACCAGTATTCTGTTTGAGTGCCTGCTTTGCTGACTAGAGTAGATGCATCTTCACATATTAGGTTAGCTAAGATACAATATTTAAATATTCATAATTTTCACGAGTTATATACATACCAGGAATAGAAGGAACATCCACGGAACCAAAAACACACAAATTGGCAGCGTCAAACGAAGTAAATGATCCAGTGGCTCGTTTGGATACCTTTGGATATAGTTTGGTAGTAGATATACGACCAGCAATTGATGGTGGCAATTTGCGAGATTCCAAAGTAGTACTGTTGGAGAGAGAAGGCGAGATATCGCCAGAACCAGGGTATTGATAACATGTAGAGCAATTTCCTCCTGTGGTGGCTGTACACGCAGCAGATGAAGCGATTGATGTGGGTAAGGGAGCTGAAGTTGATGATGCAATGGCAGTTTCGGTTGGAATACTGTCTGTGGTGTCTGGCTGGGATGTTTCAATTGGATCGGGTGATTCGACCGGTTCGGAGGTTTCGACGGGTTCGGATGGCTCAGATGTTTCCGATGGAGATGGAGATGGAGTAATCTCAGGCTCTACGGAAGAGGTGAGAGATCCTGTGGAAATGCTCTGCGAACTGAATTCGGTTTCTGAAGTCGATGGATTAACTTCGGAAGTAGAGGGGTTGGAAGGAGCAGGTGTGATTTCGGGTTGGGTCGGAGACGTTAGGGAAGTGGTTGAAATGCTTTGAGGGAGTGGCTCGGAGATAGGAGACGGAGAAACAATTTGTGAGGATAGTGGGTTGGAGGGGGAAGCTGTGATTTCAGGTTCGGTGGAAGTACTTTTAGGGATCGCCTCGGAGATAATACTCGAAGAGATGGTTCCGGAAACCGAAGATTCCGAGGAATGTGGTGTGATTTCGGGCTGGATGGAAGATGTGAGGGATCCAGTAGAAATTACCTGGGATGTGGGGTTAGAGGGAGAAGGCGAAGGTGTAATTTCTGTTTGTCCGGAAGATATATGAGTTTCGGTCGAGATTACTTGCGAAGTTGATTCGGAGAATGAAGTAGATGGAGAAGGTGTTATTTCGGGGTTTGAAGAAGACGCTAACGATTGACTCGAAATTCTAGAGGTGATTATTGATGAGGGAATTGTATTACTCTCGATAGTATTACCAGAATGCGCAGCGGAATTAGTTGATTCACCAAGAATCGAAGAAACAATGGCGGAGGAACTGGAAATTGTGGTTCCGGGTGTGATTTCGGGGATGGAATTGGAAAAAAGGGATGTGAGGGAAGATGTTATTATTGAGGAGGAGGAATGGATCTGTGCACTACTTGGGAGTTCTGAGATAGTTGCGGGAGTGGAGGGGGTAGTGGGGGTTGTTCCGCTAGACTCGTGAGATATGCTTGATTTGGTTGCGGGAAGGGATTCTGGGGGTGAGGAGGGAGTTGGAGTCTGTTCGAGGGTATTGGGGGTAGAAGTAAGAGATGTTGAGGTGGGGATTTTTGTTCCGCTTGAGAGGGAACTGGTGGATGAGAGACTGGAAGTATGGATATTACTACTAGATGAAGAATCGGTTTGTGATGTACTTTTCTGCGAGGAAGTTTCCACCGAGACGGATTTTGTGGATGTAGATTGTGAAGGAGTGCTAGTTGACTCGGGGATCTGGGAAGATATTTCGAGGCTTGAGGTGGAGAGTTTGGTGGTTGAGAGGGAAGATGGGATATTGCTTAGTGATGGCTTGCTTGAGGTGGACGCGCCGGGTGTGATGGTGGGAATAGAAGTAGTGCTAGTGCTAGTACCACTTTCCTTTGTCGAAATTTGACTAGAGGAGATAATGCTAGAAATTGTGGATCCCGAAGTCGTAGGTACGAATTCAGTGGATTGCGAAATTGTGGATTTGGGAGTTGCTGAGGAAGGGTTTGTATTGGCAGTCAATAATTGAGATGTTATCGAGGTGGTGACTAGAGGTTTTGAAGTCGTGGCTACAGGGGTTGTCTTAGGGGTTTGGGAAGATGGACTAGTTAGGCCGGTCGAGGAAGAGCTTTTTGTTGAGAGACTACTGGAACTGGTAGATTTTGAAGTAGTGGCTACAGATGTTGTTTTGGGGGTCTCGGAAGCTACACTCGTCTTGATAGTGGATGTGGAGGATTTCGAAGTAGTGGGGATTGTCTGCGTAGTTTTGGAACTAGTGGAAGCTGCTGTCGTTTTTGGAGTTTCTGAAGATAAACTCGTCTTGGTAGTCGATGGTTTAGATGTAGTAGGGGTAGTAGGGGTAGTTTGTGTGGTTTTCGGACTTGTAGTCACAGAAGTCGGAGTCGGCTTTGGAGTAGTTGCTGTAGTTTTTGGACTAGTAGTTGCTTGTGCTACAGTTGTTTTAGGGGTTGTTTTGGTTGTTTTAGCAGTCGCCTTTGTAGTAGTTTTATGAGTCCTAGCTTTCGCAGCGTCTTCCACTGCTCGGTTCTCCAGATTTACAGAGACTGCTGGTGCTTGAGGATATAAGTCGTTGCTGATTGTGTATGTTTCTCCGTTCTCAAATGTTGAGCTTCCTCCATAAGTTCCTGGATCGGAAGGCTCAACGCATTGGGACATGATATCCTGGAGTGCTTCCGTACAATGTTCCAGGGTTGGATTATAGCTATCACTGCGCTCAAAAGAGACCTATATCTATTAGTATACCGGATTGAAGGGTTTCTGGATGTCCTACCTTGAAGTCTGAGAAGTTAACAGTCCCTGAAGTCATCCCTGATACATCCACCGAACAAAATTGGGAGATTTGATCTTGAGAATTGAGGAATGCAGTCAATTCCTCTCCGGAGGGATCCCCAGAAGCTCTAGTTTGGTCATTGCAGACTGCAGCAAAAGAAGTCGATATCGAAGAAAGAATGAAAGCGGTATTGAGAACAAAATTGAAAGGCGACATGGTAAAGACTGGAAGTGATGTTGGTACCAGAAAGGAATGACTGGGAATACCAATGAAAGAAGTTTTAGAAAGAAAATCGAAGGAAAGAATGAGAATAGTTTACGAGATGTCATGGTAGGTATTATCACATATATATATAGATGCGATATTAAAGATTGCGAGTTTTTGGATACCCCTAAGGTCGACGATATAATTTTCCATTGCCGAAATGATGCTAGAGAATCTAACGGGATGGATGAGAAGAGGAATCGTTGAGAATCCTACGACACGACGTGAGTATTACAATTTTGAGGCACAGCTTATAAATGTTACCGACAGAGAGTTATACAGCGTTCTACCATTGTAATGAGATCCAAGAAATTTTCAACTAGAAAGAGAAATTGAAGGGGTAATCTCACAGAGATTTTCGTATCTCACTTGAATATGTCTACTATATCAAAGTGCTCATGGAGCTTCAGTTTCGAGAACTGAAGATATTGAGAAATTATAGTGAGTGTGATTGTGCTTTCCATGATGCAACGTCTGTTCTATACCAATAAGGCTAGACCAGACCACGACATGGGAATTTCCCTTCACTAATGTTACATGACTCGAAGGAATGTACGATACAATCCTGTTACCGAATGTACGGACCCGTTTTCTATAAAGAGAAATTTTCGAATTTTAATGTTGATCATACCGTAAGTTTGTTCCGAGTTTGTCTGATGATCTGGTAGGTAGGTCGACAATCAATAGTTTTTAATTCATGGACCCAATTGGAGATTTAGGGAATTCGAAAGGTTGAATGTATAGAAAATTCAAATTTTTGAATTATCAAAACATCCCAAACAATATGTCATCTCTCAGGAAATAAAAACCTCGAATTGCCCAACTCCACCCAAACAACGAACAGCATCACCCAGTAACCTACCTCTTCCTATTCTTTAACGGTATCCCACATGCAGTTTCGAAAAGTCGGTTCACACGGCTGTACATACCCGTATGCTATATCATGATGAAAATAGATCAAGAGGGGGGCTCTTTAGATGAATAATGTAAGCTCGCTTGAGATAGGCTGTGTACCCCGTATATGAAGCACCAATCAGGAATGTTTGGATGACGACTTCCATGTTTGTGAGATTGAATGTTTGATTTCGACAACGACCAACTGTTGGTGACTATAAACAGAAATTGAGGGTTTGGGTTGTCTTTTGGGGGCGATTGAAGATGTGCTATTCTGTCTGTGATGTGGTGTGGTGTGGTATGAAATTTTGTGGGGTCTAGTTCTGATTTGCGGTTCTTCTTCATTATTTTCATGTTGGCGAGATGAAGAAATTGTCTGCAGAATAGATTTTCTCAAGAGGGCAGTTTGCTAAAGTGGGATCTGTTCAATTCATTCTTTTCATCCGGTACCACTTGGTGGTTCATTGCCGATTCCGAATTATTGCAAAAAATGAGTGATGGGTGCTCCTACACCCTCCCCCCCCTCATGAGATAGAATCGTTTTCAGGAACTTGATTTGCCTCCAGAGTCCAACGACAAAGTCTCCTACTAATATTAGATCAAGAAAACACAACGACACTGATCACATGCGGATTTATTTAAATCGACATTACTCGCAGGAGAAGGAATAGATGCCCTTAAGAACAGACGGGTTCTATGGAATGCAACAATGCAAACTTCCAATCCTGTGTGCGGCGAAGATCATCCTCCCCGTTCATGGAGCTGATTTTCTCTGCTTCTGCTTGCGGTTGGCTTCATGTTGTGAGTATTCGAATCGGATTACTGCGATTCTCAAAAATATACGACCCTCAATCCCTCTTAGCCATAACTTTTACCTTCAAGTCGATGATCTTAGATACTATCAAAAAATCAATAAACAAGATTTACGGTTAAGCTTTTGCACATAACAGAGCCGTCTCATAGCATACGACATGCAGCTGCCTCTCACTGACCCCATTGCGTAAGAATTGAGGGACATCTCCCAAGAGGTTATTGCGCAATAGTTGGCCAGCAAATTAACCGGCTCTTGGTCTCTCAAATTCCTTTCCCATTTATTCAACAGAAAACTTTCGAAATGTTTTTCGATGTGGCTTTGATGTAATGCGAGAATTAGTAAGACGTTCTTTATCATGATTTCCTCCATGCCGTACAAAACTTTATTCTCACTGAATCTACAAATATTTGTTTCCAGAACTCTGATAACCTATCTACCCACTTTTTCACACCTGATCTATGATCAGATATCTGGTGTGTATGTATGTTGTTTCAAGATCTTACAAACGAACGCAAATGCAGAAATGGTTACGAATTGATATGGCTTTTTGATTGGTTACCCGTGAATGTATTGTGGAGAAAAGCTTGAAATGGGGCTCAATCAGTCTTTGAAAGTTTGAGGTTGGATTGGCTAAATTTAGAAATATCAAAGCCATCAGAATTTACCTTGGGAACGTTCAAGAATTGAATGTTGGAGAAGATCAAAAATTGTTAAGCGATTTCTTCAATGTGTAACTAGTTACCTAGGTATTGGCAATTCTGTTCCAATGTTTGCTGCAACAGAGGCTTGGGTGAGATCTATGCCACTTTTCTATAGCTATTCCAAGTACATTTGGGTCATGATGACCAATATAATTGGACAAATGGTCTCGTTTCATGTTTCTTCAACATGGTGGTCGGAACACACATCCACGTCCTTGAATAGCTATTGGAATCGAGAAGGGATGTCTTATCTGCTTATCTGTACCGTTATGCTCGAAGCCATGGTAATGGAACCGATAGATAATCTTCAACCGATCTACAGCATCATCGTCCATACTTTGTCAGGTTGAGGATGTATCAAACTACTATATGCAAGCATTAGTCTTGTTGGACTGTAACCTTCCAACACCAATAAAGACTCTACAGAGCCAAAGCGGATTCCGAGATGTGTGAAATACATGATCTTCGCTCTTCGGTCTTTCGGAAAACAATAGGCTATAATTGAATTTTTTACACGACAATACGAAATCTTAATATGTTCCCTGTAGCGATCGATAAGGCGTTCGTTTATCGACGCTCGACTGTCGTTACACATTCAAGCTAAGTTTTGATAGCTTTTTTTCCGTTTCTTACTAAACAAACATTAGGTGCGACTAGTTAGGACCACGTAGACACTCGGTGATATGAGCTTTAAAGTTACGAAACAACATACCAAGATACCAGACAACGAACCCAGCAGACTCACGAAAGATATCCCCATTTCGTTTTGGGTAAGAGATTCTGAGTCAACCATTTCATCCACTGGCACATACTTTGCTTTTTGACAGAAAATGGGTTAGAGAAAGTCTAATGGAAAAAAACACACACCTACGTCTCGTATCTAGATATGCCTTTGTTATCCAGTCCATACATGTTCTCTATCACACTCGAGCTAAAGTTGGAATTATTGGTTGTCTCACGATGCCTATCCAACAATTGGTAAAGTTACCCTCGTACCTAAGTATATAGATATGAGATCAGAGATTCAAGTATGCAATTTCAAAAGTGTTCAAGAGCGCAGAGCCCCGTGCGACACGCTTTGCATCATGAAGCTTTTTGACGGTCCGCGGGGTAGAATTTTAATTGCGCTTGTACTCCGTACATATTGGCTTTGTGATAGCTCGACATCTGTTTGTTGTCAATCTGTAGATAATCACAGACGCACGAAAGTTCTGAAAGCATAGATGGATAAGAATGACAAGTAAGCATACTACTAATCGACTAGATTCAGCCCTGTACGCGACGTCGTGAAGAAAATCTGCCAGCCCCCAAAAGTCTGACACGAATGTGGGGGGTACAGCCAACATTTACAATGCTGCATCACAATTATCCTCGTTCTACATAAGCTGAAAGGACGAGATAGGACAAACTCCAAACAAGCAATGTATTTATGTATGCAGCACTGGGCCAAGCAATACGAAGGTCGGCACGCAAAAGGGCACTAGAGGTTTAGCGGATCATCTCTAGTATCCGTGCTTCGGAACATAGCGCGTCGAAGATGTTTCAGCAACGGAAACAATCGTCCCTTGTTACGTGATCGACATAGAGCTGGAAATCATGTTTTGGGTGTTGTTGTGCAAGGCTCGAGAGAGGCTTGGTCCTTCTTGTCAGATGAAATGTAGGCATATGGTAGGAAAGTGACTAGTTTTGTCTTAGTGTGGATGGGTCTGTTGGTGTTGGAGAAACTAGTGTAGTACTACTGGATCCGTATTTCTTTTTTCTTTGGGTTGCTTATTTTGTTCCTCGGGAGCTGGATGGGCAGGCTGCGATTTTTGTTTTAATATCAAGTCTCCCATCTCCCTCTTTTTTACATTTCAAAATTCTATAGTCGATCGTTTCGTCATAGGCAAGCATGGCATACTCGTTGTTGCTGCTTGTTTTTTCTGCTGCGATTTTTATATGCTATGTATCTTATGAGCGTCTATTCAAGAAAGTGAAGATACCTGATGGCGCCAAAACACTGCCGGGTCCAAAAGGTAAGAGAAAATATTTACAATATCTCAATGACGGATCTTTACTGATGTTTTGTTATAGGATACCCGATCATTGGATCAGTTCCTGATCTTGACCCAAAGAATCCATGGATGAAAATGGTGGAATGGAGTAGGGAATATGGAAATATGTACCAAGCGAATTTGGCCGGTGATACTACTGTCTGGATTACCTCTCATAAAATCTGCGAAGACCTGTTTGTCAAGAGAGGTGCTATCTATTCGGATAGACCATTTCTTGCAGCCATCGGAGAAGATTGCAGATACACAAATCGATACATCCCCCTTGTGACCAATGGCGGTATGTCTCCCAGCATCTGGAATTTCCTCCCACAATACTAATTATCCATCCAGATGACATGAGGCGCATCAAAACTTGGATGAAGGCCACCATGTCCAGCATACCACCCGATCGTCTCAAGGGCCTGTCTCAAAAGGGCGCCGCAACATTCGTCACTCGTCTCATCGCTCAACCACACCTCTTCAAACAATTCTGCGAAGAATGTACCGCTCAAGTCTCATCGCAAATGGCCTGGAATGATCCTCGTCTCTCCACCGCCAAAGAAACCATCATGCGTGCCAATCAACTCCTCCGCCGTATCTCAGCCGATGGTGATATCCAAAACAAGCTTCCTTTCCTCCGCAATATCCCAGACTGGGTGCCCGATTTTCTTCAACCTTGGAAGGTAGCAGAACGAGTACGTTTTCAACGGGAGAGAAACTTTTGGTTCGGAGAAAAAGAGGAAGTCAGGAAGTCACTTCTAAATGAGAAGCCGGAACCATCCTGGATGGCACGACATCTGAGCATGCCCACTACACCTAAAATTGAAGAAGATAATACCTATTCGATCGGCATGTTGGCGTTGATTGGAAGTATTCTTACGTCGTCACCCATTCAAAGTTTCTTCCACGCTATGATTGTTAGTCCAGAGTGGCAGGCCAAGGGACAAGAAGAGGTCGATAGAGTCTGTGGGGATCGACCACCTACTTTTGATGATATTCAGCAATTGCCTGTTGTGAGAGCGATCATTAGAGAAATTTTCAGGTGGAGAAGTCCGGCCCCTGCTGGTATGTGTGATTTCTATTTTCCCTCCCTGATCTTTTTCTCAGGCAATTTACATTTCCCGGTTTCGGAACTATCCCCAAAATGAGTAGATAAACTAACAAAATTAACCAGGCGTTCCTCACGTACTCTCACAAGACGATGTATACGACGGATATTTCCTCGCCAAAGGCACCGTCTGTTTCGCTCTCGAATGGGGTCTCTGCCGTGATCCAGTCCTCTACCCAGACCCCGAAAACTTCCGACCCGAGCGCTGGCTATCCCCGAGTTTCCCACTTACAAAGAGCCTCTGACCCACTTTCCATCCATCAAAGCCAATCACGGATTCGGTTGGGGAAGACGAGCTTGTATTGGACAGGATCATGTAGAGATGTTGTTACTTACTGTTATTGCGACGATCTTGTGGAGTGTGGATATTAGAAAGCAGAAGAATGAGAAGGGTGAGGATATTGAGGTGCCTTGGTATGATTACACCGCGTATGTGATTGTCAGACCGGAGTGGTTTCCTTTTGCTTTGGTGGAGCGAAAGGGCGGAGTAGATAGATCTGCTTTGTTGAGGGAAAGAGCGGATATGGAGATGGTTAGTGGAGAGGATGGAGTTCTTAATGGGAGGGCCGTCGGGTATGAGAAGAGAGAGATTTCTTTAATATAGATTCTGGGTATACATGGAAGGAAAAGATGTATCAATCGTGATCATTATAATTTCGTTGTCCTTACCTGTTTACATTTAGATTGTTCTCTATGTAGCAAATTATATAAATAATTTAGAAAAACTCAGTATTATAATTTGGTTCTCCTCGAGTGAAAACTGATTGAAGGATGTTGGAGTGTATTGGATTTCTATACTCGTCCCCATTGAAGATAGCCACAATACACACCACGAAATTTGCGAATGCCTAAGTAGACTCGAAAGTGAATCTTTCGCATACACTTTAAGATTGAATATGAAATGATCAAACTCATGTAGACTCGTGAAACTCGGGATATTCGCATCTGCGTATCTTACACCCCAATTTGCATAACGACGACCAATCTATGACTTTTTTATAGCCACTGCAGCTTTACGGAAGACTATCTCAAATATAGCGTGTAATGATGGTTCCAGGCCACAGTAACATGACAATAAAAGTATACACTCGATTCAATCTTCGACATCAAATCAAGCAATCATCACTTTCAATCGAAATGTAGGTGCTTTCGATGTATGATTCAGCCAGGCTTAGTGAACCGCTGTCTCGTCCACGTGGAGATATTCTTGGTTTTTAATCACCACTTAGTGACTAGAAAACGACGAGTAATATACTTTACTTTCCTTCGTCATACCTGCCCAAAGCTTCAACAAGTAGTGGATGTACTGCTAAGAAGACCCCAACGAGACGTGGCAATGCAACCAGGGTTGAGAGATAGACATGATAACGCAGAAAAAAAGCGGCAGCTAAGACCCTTGACGTTGATCGACCAGACATCTTGATCTCCCATCATCGTCATACTTCCCTTGCCTGTTACGGTCGCTGCCCTTGAGATTCTAGCTCATATTGTAGAAATCTCGTTGAGGTTGACTTGCAATTATTTGCCCCTCGGACAACTTCAGCATCAATTCTTCAAGTGGTACTCTCTGCCGTTGTCGCACTTTTTACGTGACGAGAAGTGCTTTTTCATACCAATAATGTGCTTTATCAGAAAAAGCATGCGGTCAAAATAGAACATCTTCTGCTGGCCATGCAAGTGGTGGAGATCTCGGGAGATCAATGGTGATCAGTTGGTCGAAACAGGGGTGGAGCAATTTAGCTTTTTTGACAAGCGGGAAGTCGTGATTGACAGCGGATGTTCAGTGTCAGGATAAACTGACTCAATTCCAACACCAGAGAATGGAAGATCGATGAGGTAGACGATGGAAATGTAGAAGATAATATAGCGCCATGAGTCTTCCTGTCATCGTGTTGACCTGTTCTTATGGAACATCTTTCTCGATTGATCATAGGTGTGGCATCGCTTCGGCTTGTTATGAATTTATTGAGAGATAGCTAAGATGGCTAGCCTCATCACGTGGTAGATGTCAAGACTGATAGGCTCACACCTCAATGATTGCTAGAATGAATTTGAGTCGCATCTTTTCCCTTGGTGTCTAACAGTCTTCTCATACAATCCATCAAAGATAAATGCTTTGATCATAGTCTTCAACGGTCCAATATTTATAACGAAAAAGACTCAAACTTTTCGGACTTTGGTGTGTCATAAAACCTCGTCGGAATCCCATATTGATGCAAAGGTATGGGGTTGAATGTTGTTGTTCGTTAGAGAGAGGATTAGAATTCTGTGCGGTCTACCAAGAAAGTGCAAGAGATACTCTAATTTATCAAGCACTTGCAGGGTGTCAGTGTCATCTTTCATTACCCTCGTGTCCAAATGCCCCATCGAGCTCAAATGCCGAACCTAATTGTGGTGCCAAAATGGCATGACGATGGAACAAACATCACCAAGAAATCGATGCGAGCGAATCCTGAAGATTTGGCAAAAACTGCCGAGCGAAAATCAAAACACATCTGAAGTAGCTTAAGGTTAAATCAGAGTGGATCTGGCCCTGGAAGAACAGTTCTCTCTACGAATCGCATGGCGAGAAATCAAACTGTCCAACCATCCCAACTCTAAACAGTATATCGTCCGGTTTGCTGTTTGGATTCTGATAATACGAGCATCTGTGTCTTTACTTTATGCCCACAAACTTGTCGCAAACACGTTGTTTAAGCAGACTGAGTACCGAGGCATAAACTTTATTCCGCTTTCTCAATTGATGAGGCTGATCGCACAGACAAATGCCAATGAAAACGCGGTTTGATTTCTTCCATTCAGTGTAGTAGTATCAGACTGTGGACTTGTTGAGCCACACGATCTTGTAAAAGTTTACATATTCAGAGTCGGTGTGAAGATTCAAATAGAGATTTGCAAAAGATACTTCTATCTTTAGTTCAGTGGAAATTCAGAATATGCAATAACTGATCCTTCTTTCATCAGTACTACACACCGAAGCATTGAAATATTTCCATCGATCGGTGATACAACATCATTATTCTCAAGTTGATGGATTTTGATGTACACAGCCTTAACGCCCAGAATCCAAACGTTGCAGTCTAAACATCTAAGATTTTGAATGTCAGATTAGAAGGAACGATTTCCTTATTACCTCGGTGTTGGTGATAATGGGGTTGTGGTTGAGACGAGTTTCATGTTGAAGAAATCCTCCATCTGTCTGTGCCTCCGCCGCTCACGCAGATTCATCCCATCCATCTTTCTAGAATGTCACCGTCATATTTGCATGAGAAATTTCAACCAATCGCAACCTTTCTTTTCATTCCTTTCCGCCGTCATGGGATTGTTTGCGATGTTGATATGTGTTTTTGTAACTGAGGATCTTGGTATGATTGAATATATAAATTCATGTAAGCCCCGATGGATGACCGTTTCTTTTTAATTCATCCATCCAATACAACTTACTTCTAATTGCTTTCTTTACCACTTCAAGAAAATAATAATCATTTCGAGGATTTAATTTATACAACAACAAGGCTCCAAAATGAAGGTTTCACAGTCTCTATCTCTTTTGCTCCTCCCTCTTACCGCGCTAGCCGCGCCAATTCTCGAAAACACTGGAAACGTTAAAGCTGCAGCCGGAGCATGCGCACCAATGATGCTTATCTTTGCCCGTGGAACTACAGAAACAGGTACTTTAGGTACCGTAGCAGGACCTCCATTAGTTGCTGCTCTTGGTAAAGCCGTTGGTGCTAGCAATATGGCTGCTCAAGGTGTTCCCTACCCCGCCGATATCCCTGGATTTTTAGCAGGAGGTGATGCAGCTGGAAGCAAGATGATGTATGTACCTCCAATGTTTATCAAATCCCAACCACTAACTTCTATCACAGGGCTCAAATGATCTCAACTGCCGTTACAAACTGTCCCGATTCCAAGATCGTCATGGCAGGTTACTCCCAAGGCGGTCAACTCGTACACAACGCTGCAAAAATGCTTCCCGCAGCCACCATGGCCAAAGTCAGCTCTGCTATTATTTTCGGCGACCCGAGTAAGTAGAGCTTTTATCAAATCATTCATAACACCCACTAACATGTATCACAGACAATGGAAGTCCAGTCGCAGGCGCATCAGCTGCAAACACAAAAGTTATCTGCCATACTGGTGATAACATTTGCGCTCACGGAGATCTTATTCTAGCACCCCATTTAACTTATGGAATGGATGCCGGTACAGCTGCTGCTTTTGCTAAGACTGCCGCCGGTATGTGATGGGTGGGCTGGGCCGACTTCAATCACCATCTTATTTCATCACAATCTTTTACAAAGTTATTACGATACCCGTGCTAGTGTTCTTTGAGACATTGGATTTGGATTTGGATGATGACCAATTGTTGCATTGATTGCACATCTTCTTATTTATATTTGTACTAATTATTTACATGGTGGGGGCCACTTGGTCGGGAATTAATTTTTTGTCGCATCATCTATGTGGAACACTCTTCTCCTTTGATTTTCTCTCTGGTGACGGATGAAATATGAAGTGTCTCTTGATTTTAGGTTTATATCACTAGTGTAGTACTTTATTATGTGAGGGCTTAATGGTTGCTCAAGATCGAGATTGAAATTGATAGAGAATGTGAAGCAAGATCCTTGAATAAAATGGAAACAACATCTTGTCATACATGTGTACCAGTCGGTGGGTGATGGACTGGTGGTGCTTTGTAGCAAGACCTACACTCGCAACCATTCTCAACGCTATATTTCCCGAGGGGAGCTTAGATTAGCAGGGCCCAGCCTCTATATCCTCCACCAAAATATCAACCGCTTTATCCTCATTCTCCTCATCTTCCGGATACCATCCATCAGCTCGCGCACCCAAAAAGCTCCCAGTAGTAGACATGAGATGTCGCAAATCCTTCGCTTCAATGTAAATATCAAAGGTCGTGATTTTAATATCCTCCTTAAAACCCCCAATAAGATAAGAATTCTTCAACCCCATCTTTTCCATACCAATGTGTTGGCATAGCCATAGGGAATGCAACATCAGGCCCCCGTGTCTCAAGATACACTCTTTTGATCGGTTCCCCATGCGTCAATGCAGCTCATGTAGAAACTATCGCTGTGCCTCCCGACTTCAAAGTCCGATAGGCTTGCTTCGCTGCTGGATCGTGATTTTCATCAAGATGGGAAATGAAAACGTTGCTGAATGAATGCGTGAAGTGGTTACCCCGGAAGGTGAGTGATTGGGCTGGCATAACAGTTGCTTCGACTGGCCAGTTTCCGGCTGTGGCAAATTCAAGACAGCTATCTATCATATATTGATTGCGATGGGTGGCTTGGATTAGGATACCTTCTGGGGATGGGATCCCATGATTGCTTTTGTGACTTCGCCGGTTTGGCAGCCGTTGTCGTGGACTAGGTTAGGAATTGATGAGTCTTCGATATGGATTTTAAGAGTGGTGATATTAAGGAAATTCACGTACTTAGTTATAGCATCCGCAATAAAAGGGACAAAAGACGGGTTATCGCATGCTTAGCAGCATCGATCTAGGAATCGCTAGTGAGTTCCTTGTAAAGAGTTGCGGTCTTGGCCATCATCTGCTTTGGAACGAATGGCTTTTTAACTGATACTGTTTGTGTTTCTGACATCGTGAGTTTGGTACGGTTGGAGTTGCTGGTGCTGAAATTTGATGTCTCTGTGATGTTGGGAATGTTGATCGATATTCAGTTTGTTGCGCATAAGCAAGAAATAAAGCGAACTTAAAAAAACGAAGGAGAGACTCATCGGCGTTATAATGACCAACCAACCACTAACTAACCGATTAATATAGTGAAGCTGCGGCGAAGATACGCCATAGTTATCAGATTGTGCGAACAAGAGGCTAGTGAATGATAGAGATACTGGATACCTTCTTGGACGGAAATTGGAAGGTGTATAACTTATTACGTTTTAGAATTTAGTGATACAATCATTGTATCGAGAAAAGTTCGAGTGGAGCGTAGAGTCTCTTCCAATACGCTATACTTCATGGGGGCATGTAGTAAATCATATAGTAATATATGAGAAAATGAGAACGATTGTATGATAAGAGTTAGAAAAATCATGGACCTTGAAAGAATGAAGTAGGGGAAGGGGAGCTATAAGGGGGTTCACCTTTATTTTTGTATCATAATGATGCGATGTAAAGAGAATGTTTCTTGATATTAGATCAATTCTTCATATTATATAGTGAAATTGTGTGGTAGTATAAGACTGTGAAGGTAATTGAACTATATGAGTTGAACAATCATAAGCTCTGAATGATAGGGTTACAAGGGGTTTCCCGCTGTGTCTATACTCTAACTTTTAGACACAAAGGCTCTAACATGACGAGGGTGTCAGCTAGCATACAGTGAGTATGTAGAAGCTCATATTAAATGATTGTTAAACTTGAACTATGAAATGAGGAAAGGATATATCTCTTGAAGATCAAGCTAGCTAATATATATATAGAATAATGAAGCCTATCAATATAGATCATAACCGAAGAAAAGAGAAGAAAAGAAAAGGAGGGAGGCCAAGATAGGAGTCTGTATAAGCGAAAATGAGACAGAGAAGCATGAATCAAACTACAGTATAATTTATATAACCTATTGTATCACTTGTTAAAGTAATTATAAGTCTCACTGTTGTAAGAATAATTATTACTCATAAGATTTTCTATTGGTGAGATTCAAGAATATATCATGAATATTTTAATCAGAGCCTAGTGATAAAACCATCATATCGGGATTCTCAAGAACAGAGTGTTCAATACCTCGAACTATAGTTCAACAATAAAAATTATCAAATCCTCAAATCAATTAGAATCTTCAAACCATTTAAGATTGAATTTAATTAGAACGTTAAACTATCCTTAAATCTACCTACTTTCAGACATTCAAACCCTTAAATTGTTGAATTGTAGTCCGGACTATTGAATACCCTGCTCACGGGAAACTTGAGTATGGTGTAAAGGGTATATTTTCTATACTAGGCTAAGTTGTATGCTTATAAATTAGCTTAGATGGTAAGTGGTGAGAGTGTAAGAGTGATTATATGATATAAATTGAGACAATTAGAGAGTCTTCAAAGGGAAGGGGAGGGAGTCATTGTGTCTGCACTCCCACTCCCAGACACAACGTATATAAATATTTATACGTAGTTGATATACAACGTATTTAAGCGAAAGCGAGTCTCGACTTTCGCTTTCTACAAGTAGGCACCGAAGTGGTTTTTGAATTCATGTTCATACAATTCCCCATTTCTCTTGCTATGTTTAGTTCTGGGAGTGATTTTTATCATCAGAGACGTCGCGGTATCGGTTACCGTAACCTCGATATTTTCTCCCGCCGATCTCTTCCCAAATTTTTTCACATATCATATCGATCTGCTATAATTTCCAATGAAAATCAATCTCGAAATAGGAATTCTTCAGTCCATACCTGTCTTACGTCTCATCGTAAAAAGACATCCATACACAGGACGAACTGTATCATTCATCTTCGAGCTTGAAGTGTCATTAAAAAACTTTCCATTTAGCGAGTGTAGCATCGGTTATTTCTTCCTTCTGGAGGTAACTAGACCTCGTAGTCCCCAGTCTATGTTAGTCCAAGCAATTAGTATCAGATCGTTATTTCACGCACAAATAATTAATCCTGAAATATCTACATATCCCATGCAAACACTTCCATCTCATTCCCAAGCACCTTTCCAACAATCGAAAGAAAAATGGCAGACGTCGTATACGCATTCGGAGGTCTCGAAAAGCTTCCTCCTAATATTACTAGCTTCGCTCCCATCATTACCAAAACCGTTGTCAACTTCATTAACACCCCCGTTACCACCGCCATAATCCCCACCATTACCGCCATCATTACTACCACGATAGTAAAAAACTGTTCCGATGTATCTATTTCTTGTGAACAGGAATCAGCACCCCGAGCCAAGGCATCAAGCAGATCTTTCTTTGCTCGACCGTTTGACGGATTGGCGATTTGGGATGTTGTTCTGCTTGTAGGATGCGGTGGTATAATTTTGATATGGATGATCGTGGCGACCTTTAATGATTGTAGGCGTTATTTGGAGTCCAAAAGGAGTAAAGAGAAGGATAGACAAAGTGTTTGAATGGGAACATATTAATGGATATGTGGATTTGTGTTTGGTTATGGGGTGGAGGATCTTGAATTCGAAGGGGGGGTAATGGATAGGGTTTCTTGATGTACAGAGGGAGGGAATACATAATTTTTAATCTCAAGTAATGGACTTGAGGGGTTCGTTGGTCTATAATTTATGTCTCATGAGTCTTGCGATATCGAACTACGTCGACTTGGGCAGGATACTGAGTTTGGAGCAAAAGATAGGGAGAATCGATTAGTGTTGGTAATAGCGGTTGAAAAAATACAACACCATGTTACAAGATCATTATCCGAAAGAAATATAAAGATTGAAATAAATAATAATCTGAACGAAAGACCCCATATTGAACCGTAAGATGATGCCGTTCAAATAAATAATATTTGTATCTAACTTATGTATCAGGTTCGATGATCCTTCAAGTGACATTCCATAATCCGACGTCATCGCTACACCATCACCAAACCGGTCTACCTTCCTTTTGCACATAAAACCCACTCATCTCCGATCACATACTCACCTTCCTAATCAAATCAAACCCATTCCAATCCATCCCAAGCTCTCCGTGTTCCTCTCTACACATTCAATAATTTACCGAGCCCATGATCTCCGACCCCTATATCCGAAAATCCCATCCGGATCCGAATAACGACATGCAACAAAACTTCAATCCTCATCACCGACTATCCATTCCAACATATCTCCTGCCTTTTTCAGTTATTCCCCACCTGGTTTCCATGATAATTCCTGTTTGTCGGATATGAATTGAAATCTTACTCATCCGAGGAGAAATGAGCTTACGGATGGATGTATTTCTTACGTTATCGGGTTCTCAGTCATCTCGATTCTAGATCAGAACATGGACCTGAGTTTTTCTCTCTGTGGGGATATTTGATATGCAATGATATGATATCATGCAACATTCATTAATTCTTTACATATGGAAAAGAACTTATAGGTGAAGGCTAAAGGAGATACTCGGAAGTCCGAGAGTCTCAAACCTTCGGAGCCGGTGTAGATATGCAACAAAAGAATTCTTGAAGAAGAATGGGAGATAGGGATTGGTTGGAATAGAGATATAGTTGTATTTCCATGGAAAGACCTGCTGAGATGCTTGTTTAGTCGTTGGAGATGAGGATGAGAGTGGGTACTTCGATTCTGATTTGAGTCGCGGCCGAAGTTTTTCGGCCGAAAAATTTGGAGATGGAACCAGATAGAGGGGGAGTCTCAGGGCGGGTGGTAACGGCCGGATTGATGTGAGTATTGCTTATTATGATGAGATGGAAGATATAAATTTACCTGTACGTTCAGAGGTGAATGGATTTCTTCCTTTGTGGAGAAATGAAATTTTTCGCTTCGTTCAATTTGGATTTCACCCATGGAAGTCCATGAATTTTATGAATGTATTATTATGTAAATACAGCGTCGTCTGTCAAATTTTGATATTCTGTCCATCTACTCTCTCCAGAGCGTTTGATACTTCTGCCATCGACTGGTAGTAGGAGTTATGATTATCTATTGATAAGAATCATCTCAACTTTCCATTTGCAAAATGGAACTTTGCATTGGTGGCCCTCTAAGACATTTGAATTGATTTCCAATAAGACAAGTAAGAGTCTTCGATTCAAATACGAAAGAGAATTTCGATTGTAAATCCAAAATACCAAAATGTTTCCTTCCGAACTCTGTAGCTGAGACAGACTTATAAACAACACCAGATATGTATTAGAAAGCTAGGATCTATCATTGGGATCGAAACGATCAGGAGCCTAAGCTCTGTAATGATGCGTCAATCCAACCTATGTGATTTTCTCCTGCTCCTCTCTCGATAATTTCAGCTGCACAGCTGCAGCACAATCCTCCAGTCGACCAACCTTCGTCGTCGTTGTCGTCACTACAACATTCTGAGCAATCTGCCAGCTAATCAGTACAGCATTTTTGGGAATCTGGTGTCGGGCTGAAATCTCTACAAGTATGTTGTCGAGAGGCCCGGACCGTGCTTTGGTGATTGGTGTTAACCCGTTGAAACTAGCCACCTCGATCCCATGCGCCCGCATCCAGGGGAGATAATCGTATGCGCGCTGCAGGTAAGGATGGAATTCTAATTGATTGAGAACAGGGATGATGATGGCGACGTTCAGTAATACTTCAATGTGCGAACACTGGTGATTTGATACTCCAATGGATTTGGCCTTTCCAGAGGCTTTTACCTGCTCCATCGACAGCCAGATCGGTTGAAGATCGGATGACTTTCTAGCGAGATAGGGTGAATGGAGCAGATATCTACAGAATTAGTGATTATATAAACAATGGAACGTTTGACTCACAAGTCCACATAATCCAACTGGAGCTTAGTTAAACTACTTTGAATCGATATGGGTATGTCGTAGAGACCCTAGAAGACTTTCGTGGTTACGAAAATTTCCTTACGCAGTATGCCGCATTTTTTGATAGCGATACCGACCTCTTCTTCCGTGCCGTAAGCGTCAGAAGCGTCGATATGACGGAAACCACGCTCAATAGCTGCCTTCAAAATATCGACAAGATCTCGGTTTAAAGGTTCTTCGGGGCCCTCTTTGTACCACGCAGTACCTGTGCCAAATCCTATCTTTATTGTTGTTAGTATTCTATTGTATGCAGAGAAGGGTATAGAATCGCTCACCAATGGAATAGAGTTGCCGTCCTTGAGCGGGAGTGAGGGGAATTTCATCTTTGGAGAACTCGTTGCTTTCAATTCTCAAATTTCTAGAAACCTCAAATGAGAGAGTCCTCGCAATGACAGTAGAGCTGGTATCAGGATTGCGAGGGTCGTGAAGGCCAGGAGCTTTGTGAGGAAACGGTGCCGGTATATGACCATCTCCACATCTACCGTAATTCACCATTCCATACAACTTAGGTAAATATCGTCACATCCTCTCTGTTCACTCTTACTCGCTCTTCAGTTTCTACCTCTCTTTCCGGGCTGATGCTTCCAATAGTTCGAACTAGAATATACATGAGACCTTACTGTTATTCTCGAATATATGGGGGAAAAAAAGGTTTCATGTACAGTGCCGTTCCATATATGTATGTAGAAACGATTAGGATTTCCCTATTGTTCCACATCACTTCAACCAATCACCCGTTTATCCCAACAATGCTTAAAATCTCGACCAGAAAGTTTGAACCTGGCTGAAAAGGCTCCGTTACACTGGCTCTTTTTTGTGGACATTACACACACGCTGTACTCATCTTACAGGACAAGCGAGGACGCTCGAGGACATAAGGACATGAGACAATGATAGTGTATACAGGACTTCGCGGGTAAGATAATGAAGTCAGTTGGGTATATCTGTCTGCCCCTTGAGCCGTTGATAATAGACACGGCTTACAATTTCTTGAATTGCCATTAAACGTTCCCTGATTACAACCGCAATAAAAAGAGTTTTTGGACCATTTCATAGTTCCACCCCCTCACCGCCCCCAAATCAATCGGAACTTCATATCTTGAGACTCCGAACATATCGTCCGGCATCTCCACGAAATTGACAGCCGAATTTTCTTCATTTCAAATATAGCCAACAAAAGTGATGTTTTTTCCTATTCCTCATCTATATCAATTGCACCCCGTTCAAGCAAGAACGCCACAAGCTCTCGCTGAGAAGTCTCACTTCCCTAATTCGAAGCCTTCAAATTCTGCAACGGTGTTTTTCCCTCCCGATCTTTTGCTCCGAGCTTAGCACCCTTTGCAAGCAAGAGCGCAACGACCCCTTTTCGGACAGGATTATCATCTATGGAGCCATCCGAAGCCATTACATTCTGCAATGGTGTTCTTCCGGTATGGTCTTTCGTCTCAAGCTCTGCGCCATTCTCAAGCAAAAGCCGAACAATTTCCAATATTCCGTACGCAGCAGCCAGTGACAATGCTGTTCTACCAAGATCATCTTTCACTTCAATATCCGCGCCCCTTTGGATTAATAATTCAACAATGTCGTAGTGTTTCCATTCAGTAGCCAGTAAAAATGGCGGTAGACGGCCCTTAGCTTTTCTTTCGGAATCAGCACCGTTTTGAAGCAGAAGTTCTACAATTTCCCTGTTTCCATTTTTGATCGCCATCATTAATGGCGTTTGATCGAACAAATATTTACTGTGAATCTCAGCACCTCGTTGAAGCAGAAGCTTTATAACTTCTTTGTTTCCATTTTTGATCGCCGCTATTAATGGCCTTACGCGTGAAATTCCACTGCCAATCCTGGCACCATATTGAAACAGAAGCTCTACAACTTCCTTGTTTCCATTTTTGATCGCCGTCATCAATGGCATCCTGAGTGAAGATTCAATGTTAATCCCGGCACCATGTTGAAGCAGAAGCTCTGCAAACTCCTTGTTTCCATCCTTGATTGCTAGCGTTAATGGCGTTTGATTGAACGAATCTTTGCTGTGGATCTCAGCGCCGCTTTCGAGTAACAGTTTAATGGTTTTATAGTGACCGTATATGACAGCCAACATCAACGGTGTTTGATTGAACGAATCTTTGCTGTGGATCTCAGCGCCGCTTTCGAGTAACAGTTTAATGGTTTTATAGTGACCGTATTTGACAGCCAACATCAACGGTGTTTGGCCTTCTCCATTTTTACTTTCAAGCGCATAACCCCTCTTGATGAGTGCCCCGACAAATTTGACGTTTCCAAGCTTAGCTGCCAACCGCAGACGTATTCCACGCTTTAAAGTGTCTGTGCCAATACCGTGGTCAATCAAGAGCTCAACCATCTCGTCGTTTGCACACTCAATAGCTGACGATAAGTCCTCATCTTTGAGAGCTGCACCACGGTCAAGTAGCAATTTAGTGATATCGTGATTCCCATCCTTAATTGCGGCTGATAATGGAAGTTGATAATATTGGATTGAAATTGGAGATATGGGTTTGCCAGATCTATCTCTTCCTCGTAATAATATTTCAGGGCTCGTCTTGTTCTGTACTTTATATTCAGCACCTCTCCGAAGAAGCAAGGCAACAACATTGATTTTGTCATTCTCAATAGCTAGTAACAATGGTGTTAGACCATTCAAGCATGTCACCTCAATGTCTACGCCTGTATTAAGGACTAACTCGACAATTTTAGCGTTTCCTGTTTGAATAGCTAACGACAATGGTGTTTGCTTTTCTGAACCTCTCTTCTCGAAACTACACAGATATGCTTCAAGCAACATCTTTAAAATGATGGGCTGCTCTCTTTGAACGGCCCAATGTACCGGAGTTCGATCATGAAAGCCTCTCGAGACAAATCGACACACATCTGTTTCAATCAATAGCTTGAGGAAGTTTTCTTCTGCTCCTTGAAACGCATCCATCAAAATAACACCTTCTAAATCTTCCACATTATCTAAAAACTTTGTCAAATTCCAGTCAAGACACTGATAGAGTGACGCATCATCTATCAGTTGAGGATACTTTTCAGATAATATGAATGAGATGACTTCTCGAATGACTTGTTGAGATGACTTATCGCACTTTGGGTCTAAGATGTTACTCCTATGTGCGTCTGAAGACATACCCAGTAATGCATATATCTTATCTCGATCATCAGTCGCCTCGCTTCTGCGAAACTTCACTAGCAAGGTGTGAAGCTTCTGACCTTGCGCCCACCAGGACTCTTGTCGCGATATTCCAGGCATTATATCCAGAACCGATTGACAATGTGCGGCGGGGTTTAAAGCAATCAGAGCTGGAAACTGGGAGAAGATCGTAGCGCTGATAAATCTATTACCACAATGCACTGTCGTTGCTCGACGAGCATTAGCAACTTCTTGCAAGATCCAGATTCTTCGAAACCATGGTCGTTCCAATATCAATCTCATTTGTTCGCGCAAATTCGTCAGGTGTTCATTGTTTTCATCGACCCAACCGTTGGACTTATCTTTCCACTCTGCTGGATGCCAACCCAAACTTGCCTTCCGCAGCCGCTTCATGGCATCCATCACCAGGTCAGAGTCTTCAGTACCTCGACCTAACCAAATCACCACTTTTTCAGCCTTCTTGTATATATCACCCATCTGTCTGATTTGATGAATTTTCTCGTGGACATTCTCCTGATTGATACACAAAGCATCAATCCAAAAAATCTGATCCTCTTCCTCAGATCTTAGATGCTGAAGTGCCATATGTAAGTTGAAAGTCACTTTGATTTTCGCGCCGTCAATTATAACCTCTTCCACTTTGTCAATGTATCCCCATGTATAAGACAACGCAAAATATGGCATGATACTATCAGAATCGTCAAACCAAGCATTGATAAACTGCCCTTGAATTTTATCGGACCAGTCCCCTTTGTGGAGTTGGAGAAGTCGAATAGAAGCTCGACCAAGATTGATCGGTTGGTACTGATAGGGATCCATTTAGGAACAGTTTCCAATATTCTTGGAAAGTTCAAGATGTGAAAATTTGTCTCTCTCCTACGGTTTTGTAAATCGTAATATATATTTATCTCATTACAGAGAGTTTGCATCCATTCAGATCGCCTTGGATTTTGGGGATGAGGCTGGTGGGTGAGGGTTTCAATGTGAGAATGAGATGCAGCGTTCAGCAAATCTTATCAGGCATGACCGAGAACATATTGATCAAGGCAGATTTGTCAAACTGGCATGGCTTTGAGGCAGTGTTATAAACATCTATTTAGCCCTCCGCCACGTTGAGGTAACTGTAAAAAGGCTGACAACAAGAGGGTAAAAAGGCACTATGATTGGTGGCAAAATAAAAGCGGTGAGCCACAACAGTAAGAATCAAGAATGTTTGGCAGATATCACTGCACATATGATTTGCCAGTCTTTGTCGAGCATGGTCTATCTGATATACGCTGCGCCAGAAATCTTCAACTGCACATTCTCCCGACATGGATATACAAGGAGCAGGTGAGAAATTGTATCGCTGGACCACTCTTTGCCAGTAGGTGCTGCTCACAAACAATTATTCCTGCGACAGCCAGAAAACACGCTGGACACTCTGAAATGAATATCTAGAGTGTCCATTATGTCTGGTAGATATAAAGACGTTATATAGAGAGTTGAAGAAAGTGCGATGTCGTGAATTATCTTCAAAGTCCAAATTCGTGGTGTAATGATTTTGAGAGATGAAGTAAAGTCAACCATGATACATGCACGAACTTTGAAGTTCCAAACGAAGGAAGGAGGCTCGACGCACGGACCTTAGTGAAATTACCCCTCCTCGAGCCCTTCCCCTCCATCCAGCAAGGGCGGGCAAGTGGGGGATATCAAAATACACAGGTACCGGTACCTAGGTAGTTTTTTCAATAATTATATCAAATTACAAAATTGATATTGTGAGATCAAATTTACGCCAAGGTATTCAATCGCTCCGGAACTATCCACATAGGTTCATATCTTGTTGGAAGAGTATGCTTCATGCTAGAGGTGGAGGAGTTAGCCTAGTCAATCTTTATCCTTTGAATGTTCTCATTTTCTGGCCTACAGTTCCCATTAGACCCTATAGAGAGACATGCTTTAAACATATCTGTCATGAATTTGATTCGATATTGAATTCGTGTTTTGATACCTAGATGTTAGTGTCTTCAAGGTATGGGTTGACCTCTTATACCTGGCATTGAACTCTTGTATACATGCTACTTGACTCCGAGTAGCTTTTATTTTGTGATGGTATTGATAATTACCGAGAAGTTCCAAGCAAGTGGTTTTTATATATCCATTGATTTGGGACCAGTCTACGTGCTTGCATTTGGTACTCTGGAAAAAATAGACACGTGTTTGATGGAAAGCGTGTAAACTGAGTAGTTAGTGCGACCTTCATTTAGAGCTTTTACTGTTCTAGTCAATAAGTCTGAGAAGTGAAGGGCTTTGATAATGCAAAAACGAATGAATGTACTTTTGTCTTTTTCGAAAAAGTCTTCAAGAGCTTCACTGTCTATCAGCTTCACTGTCTATCAGCTTCACTGTCTGTCAGCTTCACTGCCCTGGCTAGTGCCATCTCATTGCCATTGTTTCTGACAATCCGTATTCTACCAGCACTCGAAGAACACTCAGGGGGGACGAGATAAAATTCCTCAACCCTCTCGTGATATAAGCTAATGGACTTGGGTAGGATAAATAACAATAGTCTTTGCGAATCCAAGCGAACACTTTTCCTAGGCCATGAAGACTTAAACCGATCGAGCAAGGACTGACATCCATCTTTACTCATCGTTTCTCTCCCAAACACGTAGAAAACATGCACAGATACTAACAGGACCGTACATCACGAATAATAACTCATACAAAACACATCCAATCCCACCAACACAAAAACATCCTACCAGAACCCAGAGAACCACTCAAGGAAGAACATGTCCAAAACGGAGACACAAGCAATACCAACCCAATGAACAAGTATCTATAAAATTCTTTCAAAGAGACCCAACCAACCTCTAAAGCACCCCTCAGGAAAGAACACACCAGAGCGCAGACAACAGCACTACCAATCAGCAACTAATATCTATAAAGTTCTCTCAAGAAGACCCTCAAACCTTGACATTGTGGCACTACCGCATCATTCTTAAACGGTTGAAAAAGATTCCCATAAAGAATTGGATAGGATCGGTTGTATATTCTATAATGTTCAATCATCCACCACACTAGTGATCACTGGACGTCAAAATACAGTTCATCAGCTAACTTTCAATAAAGTTCAAACTCATTACAATAATAAACAATAAACTTTCCAACATACCTTTTTCCTCTCCATCCTCGATATATACCCCACGACCCCATACCAATGACTCATTCTCAATCCATACTAAGCATCCCATCCCTCCAAACGAAGAACCCCGCATTCAATTCAGCCCTATCAACTATCCAACAATAGCTCTTGAACCCTTGACAATGTAAAATACCGGTAGACAGAAAGTCAAATAAAATAAAGTTAGATAAACATACCGATCTCTCAAATCTCCTAGAGAGAAAATCTAATCACAGTGATTTTCATTGTAATTACATATACATACACACCCATCTACCCAGTGTGCACACGTGATTCTCACGTGTTAAATCAAAATGACCAATTCTTCGGAAGAGAGACGAAAACACAAACAAGAATAAAAGTAAGAACAAGAACAAGACGAAAAAGAAAGACGAAGAAGAAAATTAGTTGAGCCGCAAGATCGTAACATTTCCAATCCGGTGGCTTTGAATTGAATATACATACATACACACATACATACACACATACATACACACACCGTACATATACGCATACGCAGATAAGCAATCCCGTCTAATCCAATGTAATACGATACAATCTAATACGATACGGTAGACGACGACGAGGACGCATACCGGTCGACGCACGGTTTCGTAAGCACAAGTGCGAGTACGCTAATCATGTATCTGCAGTCTTGATTTGATTTGATGTAGAATGCAGATGTAGAATGCAGATGTAGAATGCAGATGTAAAATGCAGATGTAGACATATCCGCGCGACAGCTTTTGAACTCTCCCATTCACCAATCAAACGAATGAGGTTCATTTTTTGACACCCTTCTCCGTACGTTATACTTTTTTGCTTAGCAATCGAGAGGGGGGGAGGGGGAGGGGGAGTTGACGTTTCATAGTTTGATTGTTTGAGGGAGTGGGTGGTGGGTATGCAGACTCCAGATGTGTGCAGAAGTGATTGTGAGTCATACGGTACGGTACACCCACCATGCACACCTGGTCATCTTTTCTTTGAACAGGGGAACGGAGGGAAGGGAAAGGGGAATGGAGGGAATGGGAATGGAAGTCGTGGGGACAGATGGATGGATGATGAAGAGTAGTAATCAACGACTACCTGTTATTTATTACCTGCTATTTGTTACCTAGTTACCTAGCTACCTCGTACGGTACTCTGTACTTTCAACCGGTGCAAAATACAAAATACAGAATACAGAATACACACATCCTATCGTACGTACATGTGATATTTCTTATATTACTTTGTACCATATAATTCGATGGAAGAAGGAAGAGGGGGCTTAGTGCACAACGAGGAGGATACATATACCTAGAGACGATTTCTTGGTATGCATGTTATTGGAGTGTGTGGGATGGGGATGACGAATGAGAAGGAGGTGTACGCATGCCTTACTTTCTGCCTACGATGTACTTCTCACACATCGACCTACCTGCGTGTGGATGTAAGGAAACGGGTGAGATTTATATGAGAGACTGGATATTGGATACGTATACGAATGAAACAAGCCAATCCACAATCCACCATCCACCATCCACATCCACCATCCCTCCATCAAAATTCGGAGAAAGAGCTGCAGAAAGAGATGCAGAGTAAAGTAAAGGGCGCAGTTTGCGTGTGCGCAATCCACCCATCACCCACCCTCCTCTCACACACAGAGTACGAATCACGATGGGAATGGAAAGTGGGGGACAAGGTCAGATCACAGGATTTTTAATTTTTGCAGAGGGCCTCCGTTCCGTGGGACTAGAGTCTAGGTAGAAAGAGTGAAGGAAATGCTCCAGTTATTTTATTGCGGCTTTCTTCGGTCGGTCGGCGAGATGGTTTGGGTTAATGAAGGTCTACTGCGAGTGGATGATCGACGCGGTGGGCGTGCTGTTTTAAGGTAGAGGAGTGGTTGTGTTTTGAGGTTGAGGGTTGGGTTGAGGGTCGAGGGGGTAGTTTGACATCAAAACTTACGAGGGAGAAATGCAAGACGGATTTAAAGTGTCGGATTAAGGATGTAGGGAGAATGGAAGAATGGAAGAAAGAAAGAAAGAAAGAAAAAGGACGGTAGTCTTCAAATGGTAGGTTCTGATTTTATATACCTAGTGATGGATGTATGTGTATAGCAAAATGGCATCTGACTACGAGGTATATCTGACTTGGTATTGCTTGGTTCAAGTGACCGTATTATTCTTTACCCTCCTTACGAGATCTGATCTTCGCGAGATCTTCCTGTCGAGTTAGAAATCACTCATGGGAACGCAATGAATATCAGATGGTTCACACCTATGCAGAAGTTCTAGACGTGGGGAATTCATAATACATCCAAGGTGATTACACTACCGGTACAGTATCTGTAGATATCAATTCCTCCAACCGATTACAGAGTAAAAGTTAGAGTAAAAGTTAGAGTAAAAGTTAGAGTAAAAGTTAGAGTAAAAGTTAGAGTAAAAGTTAGAGTCCACAGTCCACAGTCCAAGGTTGAAGGAATGTTTCGTTCTCGACCCTATCAAATGTCTTTCCATCATACCCGATGCTGCGAGGTAATGGCGGCATGAGATGTCATCTTAAAATGGAGCAAGGCTTTTTCACAGGGCGTAACCTTGGTGTGAGGGTGTAGAACAAGGATTAATAGGCCACCACGCATGGTCAATATGAAGAGAAAATAGAACGTAGAACATGTCTAGTACGAGGAGAGGAGAGAAAAAGTTAGGGCTGGGAGACCTTATCTTGAGTGGATATTGAAAGTAATGATGTGTGTGTAGAGTGAAGTGAAGTGAAGTGAGGGAAAGAAAGAAAGACGGACAGAAAGAGAAAGGATATATGAAAATATCTCTCCTCAGACTTCACTTTATCAAAGGCAGGTGATACCAGGGATGAGATAACAGCCACCACCACCACCACATCTTTCACACCTCTCTCTCACTCTCACTCTCACTCTCACTCTCTTCATTCCTCATTCCTCTTTCCCAATTGTGTAGGTTACAAGACTGACGGCTGATGTAATACGGATAACATTACAGACCAAAGAAACCATCACTGTGACTGTGACTCATACTTCCCAAGATTAGACTAATCTCGAAACATACTACGGTAAAGCATCTCAGATTCTAAGAAAACGCCAAAATAACTAGAGGAGGAAAAGGATCCAATTAAATTCATCGACTGCGCATGTAATTGATTCCACGATGAAAGATATTAAAAATCGAATTGAATTTATTCCCAGTTAAGTAACAAATAAACTTTCTCGGTAGGAACCATTTGCTCACTAGTAAACTCCCACACTTTCACACAAGTCGCATAAGAATATCCTTTTCCCCAGGCACACCACAATTTTTTTGAATTTTTCTCTCTCATCATTTTATCTTTCAACTACACAACACAGCAACAACAACAACAACAACAACAACACACTTCTCCCATTACACCCAGACCACCGCCAAAATAACTGATTACAATAATACATTACATGAGAGCACAGGTTATCCAACATGTTCTAAATCATTGATCCTCCAGATCATACCTCCATTGACTCCATCAGTCAATATTACTTCCTCCACCAATCAAACCATTCCCAACTCACTCAACCCCCTTCAACTCCAAATTTTCCCTTCCAGGAAAATCTGACTTCTAGCAACGCTTTCAGCAGCTTTAGTCCTTCCACCGCCACAATACTCCCACAAGAGTTCAACTCTTTCACCACGGATTCTCAATCACCATGGCTTCCCAACTCCAATTCATCGAGCCTGCCGGCATCAACACATCAACTATCCAACAATCAGTATCTGAACAATCCAGTTCAGCCAGATCAACCTCAACAGGACTTTGTTCTTTACGAGAGCAGAACACCGAACGTTCATCGTACCCCTAGTTTGTCCACCGCATCTGCCTTAACAGCTCAAAATCGTCGTCACTCATCTCATCTCGCATCTGCTTCCCCATTGCCGCAGAATCAGAGAGTTGCAGCGATCATACAATCTACTGGACATTCTTCTAACTCGGCTTTCACAAATCGGTTCAACTCTCCTGCGCAGCTTGTTCAGCACCAGCACTTTTACGCTTCTGCTCCTGTTTCTCCTGCACCTTTACAACAACCTCAGCGATCTCGTCCTCAAGTACCCTTGTTTTCACAATCAACTGGGAGCATACCGCGAACTCCAAACATGGCTTTCCAAGGTAATTCAATACATGATCATTCACATTTACGTTTGCGCAATGACTCACATTCACATTCAGACATGGAACTTTTCGGTGATGAATTCACTCCTTTCGAGGGTGGATCCTCGACACAAAACTCATACTCTTCGGCCTTTTCTTCTCCTGCCATTCCAACAATGTATGATCCAATCAACAACTTGTCGTCCTCAAGCTCCACCACCAATATGAGTTTCGTTTCACCCAGAGATCTTTCTCTTCGCGATTCTTTCGCCACTGCCTCTGCTCCCAACTCGGCTGCGTTTACAAACTTGACTACTCCTTCCACGTACAACGAGTCCCCTGCTTTTGAATACCAAGATTCGCCTTTTATCGGTCAAGATGGACTTAACGATAATACGACCGTTCAAACGGGCGATGCTTGGTTCTCTCTTTTCCCAGATGCAGAGAACTTTGAGCAAGCAAATGCCAACAATTCTCCTCTGCTAGTCGAAGAAGAACTCGAAGTCGCCGAACAACTCAATGCTAAAAAGGATAACCGTCGCAAATCTGGTTCTGCAACATCTCCCATGTCAGCTACTTCTGGTATTCGAAAACCATCCAAGGCTTTACCACCTATCATCGTTGAAGATTCTAACGACACCGTCGCAATGAAACGTGCTCGTAACACTCTTGCTGCTCGAAAGTCTCGTCAAAGAAAAATGCAAAGAATGGAAGAACTTGAAGATGAAATCACACGGCTAACTGCCGAAGTGGCTCACTGGAAGGAAAAAGCCTTGCGAAGAACTTGAATGGATAATAAAGACTGTCTTCTTTCAGTCGCCGGCACAATCATGGATTGGAGGAAGGGATTTTGGGTACCCTTGACTTCAAGGAGATTATGGTAGCAGCTATTGCATAGGGGCAATAGTCATGACGCTATAATTGTGGATTTCTTTGGTTCGAAAAGTATTGTTATATTCTCTATTTCTTTTTCATACTATGAGATTTGGAGTGGTTTGGTAGGAAAATGTGGGATGGTTTAACTTCTTTCGTGTTGCCTTTTATAATAAAGGATTCTAGGGATGTGTATGGGGATATCATTGAATGAGTGGCTCTTTTGCCGTGGGTTTACAGATACATTTTTATCGTTTTTCTCATATTCTTATTTGCTTTGGCTGGATTGGCTTGTTCTGGGGGAAGTTGTACTTTTGGTGAGTCTCCCGTTTGAATCCTAATTGATTCAAATTGTGTGTGTGACCCAAACGTTGTGTTGTTGCTTAGGTTTATTATCGATGAAGAAGAATCTACTTGTTTCTGCATCAATTTTATTTGCTTGATTGATAATGTGACGTGATGTAATGATGAGTAGATGTCTGATATATGTGTTGTTCTATCTCTCTATCTGCTTGATACCTTATTCGCTGGTTGTTTATCTGGCGGCATCTTGCTCTTCTCTCCCTTGAGGTTACTTACAGATAGGGAGGGGCGCAAGGCGTCGTTTGCTAAGTATTGAGCAGCCAGCTCAGTTCCAGCTCTCCTAACTTTCCATCCATTTATAGTATATGACAAGTCTCTATATTTATACACCCTTGTTTCGTTTAGTTTCTAAGCTCTTCCTTAGTTTCGGTTGTTCCATTCTGACCATTCATATTATTTCATTTGGGTTAATGGGATATCTTGGTGGTGATTGCGTTGTGTCGCTGTGTCGCTTGCCTGAGAATCAAATGATTCACGCGGATTCTGTATACATTATCTTTCATCTTTTATTTGTTGTGGTATTCGATTGTGGAGGTTGATAGGGAGGGGTCTCTGAGAACTATTCACGTGTATCATCATCATTTGTTGGAGCTCGTACTGAATATTCTTGATCGGGAGGACGGGGATGGATCGTTCGCTTTATTTGCTTCTCTCGCCTCGTTCGCGCGTTTCCTGATATTTGAGTTGGAATTTGGAGTTTTTTTCGTGGCGTGTATGTATATCTGGCTTGGTTTGGTATGATGAAGTGAAGTGAAGTGAAGTGAAGTGAAGTGAAGTGAAGTGAGAAATGGAAGGATAATAATTATAGGCGACGTTGGGGAGGGGCTCATTCAAAAGGGAGGCGAATGATTAGCTTTGTTGTTACAACCGTGATTGGTGGTGTTTAGTTTTTAACTTGGGTGGGGGAAGGTCATATGATGATGAATGATTGTTGGATAGGGAGGTGTATTGAGGTGTATGGGTATGGTTGTGGTCATGTGGTATTCGTTGTATCGGTAGGTTGGTAGGCATGTGGATAGAGTAGAAGACTATCTTTAGATGCATAGCCTGGGAAGAGAAGGGCGGGGGAGAGATTCCTTTTCTTCAAGGGATTGGTGGGTGATAGGTGAGGGTTGCTTTTGCAATATGTGTGTGTGAGTGAGGGATTGGCGAATGAGTGAATGAGCGTATCAGCACGCGTCAATGGCCTCGTTCACGTGCATCAGCACGAATTTCACGCCACCACAAGTTACACATGTTACTGATCACCATTTCCTCTCTTGTATGAGTCATATACTCCAGCTAAAGTACCAATCGGAACCTTGAATCTTTGCTGGCCAGAATCTAAACAGTTTGATCTGTCGATCAAAGTACTCCTCGATCCCTTCCTCGCTGGTATTCGCTGGACTTGTTTTGGTGGTGCCAATTGGATATCCACAGTGACAATATCAACTTTTATCCGAGAATCGAAGGCTTTTCATAGGGGCCGAATGTCATGCAAGTGATTGTTGTTTGAGGAAAGTATGGTTACATCGTCACGAAACTGATGCGTTTATGTGCTATTCTATTTCTTATAGAAGAAGTTGGAGGGTTGAATGTTAAAAGAATATGCTGATTCTTTTTGCTTGATACATACAGCAATTGTATTGTTTTCGGTATCTGATCAGCTATATCTCTGGGTAAAGTGAATTAATCAATTCTTATTTCTTAATTCAATTGAATCCTATTCAAAAGTCGATGGTGCCAACTGTGTTATCGTACATGATCGAACAGGACACCGTCTGTATAAATAGTGCTGGAAGCTACTCTGTTTGCTCTGTGTGTTGCTCTGATCATAAGCCGATTACGTTTGGAGGTCTGTATACTGTATTGTATGTATGTCTCAAGAAAGCTTTTCTCCCTCTTCTAACTTTCAGTTTATCAGTAGGCTCATCTTTCGAAATTCAACTTGGTTTGCCCCTTACGCCAAACTCCTTTGCATACGATCGGGGTAAACAATTTTCTCAACCTGAACCATGCCTTTCACGATGCCTGAGATGAGCGATAGATTTGAGAAAGATGACACGGCTTCAATAACCTCAGTACCGACCCCGACACATTCCTCAATCGATGATGGTTTCTGCAGAACCATCGACAATGCCGTGCCTGAGCCTGGAGGGATATTTATCATTCGCAAGCGAGGCTATGGTAAAATAATTACCCTCGAAGATGGTATTTTGCAACTAAAGTCCTCTGTCAGCGAAATTGGAGGGTGCCATTGGATTTGCGTTGAGAGGGATGGCTGGCTTGGGTTTCGCAACTGCATATCGGGAACGTATATAGGACATGATGGATGTGGAAAGTTCTATGCCAAGGCCACTCGCCATAAGGACTATGAATCTTTCTGCGTACGCAAACATCCGGACGGGGACTATCTGCTGTTGACAAGACACTGGAACAAACTTTGGAAGATGGATATCAAGAGGAGTAGTGATGGATTGAACGAGCTGGTTGAGACGGAAACTGGAGGAACTACTTGGCAATTTGTCAAGGTCATCTAGAGGATCCTTGAGAGATGGCATGGGAGCTCAAGCCGCACGCATTGCACTTTTACTTGGCTGGTTTTTCTGTGGGCTTTATGGCAAGCAAGCAGAAGGGAAACGGGTCAACGACATGGAATATCACCTCATCTCATCTCACCATCCTGTCGTTTCCTTATCTTATGTGTACTTGAATATAATTAAGAGTTGTGTTCAGTGTTCTTACTAGTATTGCTCATATTTCGTATATTGGTCTGTGTGGTGGTGCGTATTAAGATTTTCGAAATTATTCATATAGGTGATATCGATTTATATATCACTAAAGATATTCAATATAGAAGTATTATTGAATATCAATAGAAGTAATATAATCCCTTTTTATATATATAAGATATGATATTAAAGGCTTGATATGTGTCACCGTTATACTATCGTATACTAGTACAAACACTGGTTGTGTTTGGCTTGTGAAATCACTCTTTCAACTCATCGAACCTTTGGTTGGGTTTTCTATCCCCCACATTCTCAGCTCACAAGCCACCCCGACAACCCCACAATGACTCAAGATGTTACACTTGGAGACAATATACCACTTGAACCATGCTTGAAGCATCCATCTGGATCCAACCCATTGAGTACTGACACATGTACAGCCAGATAAACCACTTTTTAGTAGCGGCGTCACTTTTCCACATTAGAAAGGCTGGAAGTACAACCAGTATTACCATTGGCCACCGTTGATCGATTATTCCAGAATCATCTTACCCATCTGCCAGTTCGCTTATCAAGCCACTGTCATATGCGGCGAGAATATGCCCGCATTACCCTCGCAACCTTACATGGCAGTATTCCACCGGTGCGATATGTAAGTAACGGTTGTGCATAGTTCAGCTCGTGGATGATTGTTCTATTCAGGTATTCCTGGTATGCTAAGCATGCCAGAGTAGCAATCGTAGGCTTGGATTTTTTATGGGGTGCTTGCCAGTGGGACAAATGGGCATTTAGAACAGACGATTCAAGTACATAACTATCTGGGGCATGCACATGGTACAAGTATTTGAAGCAAGGGTGTGACAAGCACAATGCGAATGATAAGCTTTGCATTTTTATCAGGTCTTCCGAAAGATCTTTCGAAGAAGGTGCCTTAAGACACCGTTGCTACTTCGATCATTGAACGGGTTTACAAATATCTTGTGTTCCTCCATCGTATAAGCTCGTAGCGCTGCCAAATCAAGAAAGGTATCAACTTTCTCTGTACGTTCGCTTCGTCCCCATTCAATCAGATCAACAATATTGACGTATGTTCTTCGCACCGCCTAGGAGACGCATCAACATGAATCTACCAACTTGTCTCGCTACGTCCTTACCTCCTCGCACCGCTTACATGTGTTTGGAAGCGGCTCTATACCAACCGCGCGGCAAAGTGCATGCCACGCAGTCAAATCATCCTCTGCACCATACCACATATGCAGTTCGCTGTCTAGCGCTGATTGGTACCTCGTCCATGCATCGTCTGACGCGGTGCTGTTGCGTTTCCATCTTTCATGTCTCTGTAGATTGGCGTACGAAGTAGCTGGTGGGAGAGAACGGTCATAGTTGAAAGTTGGGAAAGAACAGAAGAAGACATCTAGAGGAGTGTTGATATCCTGTTGATGGATGTGAGCGTTTCGCAGATGCTGATTCAGAGCCTCTTCGCTATCAAAAGATTGATCGCAATCGTCACAGTCAAAGGTTAGAGTGTGTAATGTTGAATATCGGAGGTGTTGCTGTAGCGCCTCTCCGCTATTGAATGATCGATCACAACTGGTACAGTCGAACGACAAAGCGTGAACGGGAGAGTCGCGCACATGCTGCTGCAGAGCTTTCTGGCTGCCGTAGTGACGCTTGCAAGAGCCGCAATGGAAGCTCATGTTGTCAAATTTTGCTCAACAGTATTTATCTGAGCTGATCGTCCCAGAAGTTTTAGGTGACCACGAAGGTTGGAAAGACTCAAAGTTGAGGATCCAGCAGGACTGTGTGCATGGAGGGCTCACATCTGGTATCTTGTCTATCGACAGCTTTTCATCACTTTGATACGCGTAATGTAATCTTGGAAGGTTATGTGTCACTAGATTATTGGATGATAACCAAGAAGGCGTAGTTACGCAATGTGGTTGTTCAGCCGACATTCCGTTCGTCTGGTCGTACATATAGCAGTTGAAGTTGTACTGGAAAGATCTGACCATATAAAATCGTGCCTAGGCTACAGAGCCTAGTCAATTTACCAGGAAACTTATACGATCCCTCAATCTAGAAGAATCCTTAACGATAAAAGTACTACGCATGTTGACAGACAAGTGAGAGTCTAATTCAGATCAGCAGCCAGGTTTGCAAAAAGAAGTTGAATAAGTGAGTAATAAAAGAGGAAGAAATTTAATGTAATGATTGATCAGAGCTGTTGTTGTTTCTGCGTTATACTTTACTCCAAATTCTTCATGTTCAAATTGAATCTGTCTTTTTCATGAGGAAGAAATCAATCACCAGGTCTCGAGAGCTTACATAGTTGAAAATCTTGATAGAGATCAAGGATTCCGGGCCCTGGCGCTTTAACGAAGCTACAAAAGAATTTATAAATTTATATGATTCTCCAGAGTGTTTCTTTTTATACTAAATGTCATGCTCGCTATCCTCTCTTCCTCAGTCTATTCGCAGATTGATGTTGTTCTCTTGAGAAGCGCAACCCAAAAGTGTTAAGTTGCTCCAGATTAAGGTGGATTTTCCTCTGATGTGCTAGCTTATAATGTTACGTATCGGAGAAGTATACCAAGCAGAGATGAGAGTAGGTGACGACAACAATAACTGAACCTATTCCCAGAATCATAATGTAAATAATTCGCCGGTGCAGACTAAAATCTCCAGGTTGTCGCTGCCGTCAATAGCTCTCCCGCAAAATCTTACAAATCGAGTCAGTCCTCTCATGCAATCAATTGTAATATGTAGCTTATGTTTTCCATATGAATATAATATGAAAAGGGTATTGATATGATTACACAGCTGTGCTAGGGCCTTGTCTCTTTGCCGACATTCGGATTTACAGGTATGAACGTTTTGACGGACGTTCTGATGCTTGTGTGATTTTACTTGCGTATACCCTGGCGATTTATACCAAAGTGATGTGATTTCTAGGGGAAAAGAGGCATGGAAATTCTTTTGGAAGTTTTTAACACTAGGTAATACTCTTGTTATAAAATATCGTTAAAAGATATGGTTCGTGTGGTGCTAGAACAGGGGGAGCTAGTCCCAATTCATGTCAGTAAGAGCTCTGATATATAAGATTTCTTGTCTTCATGGTAGATAGGATACTTAATTCAATCAACCTCTGAATGCCTTTATATTCTAGCCTATGCTTTCCACCTTACGCTGTAGAGAGTCATACTTCAAACAAATGTCCTCTTTCCGGTCACATAAAGAGTAAGGAATCCCAATTTCAACACACACACCAATACCCACTACTCAACTTTTAGATGACCTTCTTTAACTCCCATATTTCCATACATCTTTCCCACAACCACACCCTTGGAGCTTCCCTCTTCGCCCGCTAAGACTAAACCCAGATGCTGTTCCGAAACTTCTCTCACTTTCACGATACATTTATATGTATCCAACCTTGCGATTCCCACACAAGTGTTTTCCAATTTTGGAGTCGGAGATGAATTAATAGCGAGGGCCACAATTTCGCAAAGAGATTTGAAGATATTGCAACTCCATCCAATCCATATGAGAAGTGTTGTGTGGATCAGCGCAAATAGAATGTGTACAAGAAGGATACCGAAAGCGAGACGTCTGGTAATGCCGTTTATAGAGTAGCTGTAGCCATTGCGCCATTGTCGTATGTCGATAGGGGTAAAGTTTTCGAGGTTTGTTTCCAAACCTTCAGACGAGAGGATATCAGGGAAAAAAGTATTCCATTTTGGATAACCCGATGGCCATAACAACGGTGGGAATTCAAAATTCCCTTTGAGAATAGCATTATTACTCATGCCATTTCTAGCCATTGCATCTGCAATCAGAGTGGTGGCTGCAACACCAAAGGCAGTTTCTCTGTCATTGTAAGTTCCCGGCTGCGAAAGTGCTGTCACAATTGGTATGAGAGTCTGATTAGGCGACAACGCAGAATTCGCCCAGCCAGCATCGAACTGGACCTTTTGCTGGTCAAAATCGGATAAATTGTTTCGTAGCCACTTATCTAAGCTCCTATCGGGGCTATCGAATCCTGATAGGTGAACAAATCTATCCATACTAGGAATGATAAAGATTTCCATCGGTTGCCATTGGGCAAACACAGAGCAGGTCGTGAATTCAAGAGGGACCCAGGACTGGTGTGTTCCACACATACCATCTCCGAATTCCTCAGCACATGTTATCATAGCAGCTCCAATTGATGCTCTTTGTCCCTCAGAGCTTGCCCAGGTTGATACACTTTGCCGGGAGGCATTCCAGAGATCTAGCGTAGTGCTAGCGTTAGAGTACCAAGAACCACGGGCAGGTTCTTCCAGTGGAAATGTAAACTTCATATCCACACTAGGATATGGTGGACTCACAGGATGTTCTTCTCTGTCTGGATCTATAAATCCGATTGATCCGTTTTCAAGGCTTCCCAAGATCCAAAAATCGGCTGAGTGCCAGATCAAGCCAGTAGCCTTTTGATAGATCCAGTGAGTATTGCTACTACAGGTTGCGAATGCCTGAGCCGCCGGCGGATCACTTCCATCTGATAACGTGAGCTTCCAACGAGTAGTTGTATTGGCAGAACCCAAAGCTAGAGCTACTGAAACAAGAGTCTCCGCAGCCGGTGTGGAAATAGTCTGGCTTAATAACCAGGAAATTGTATTCGTGAATCTCCAGTCCAAGTAACCCACCCCCTCAACAAAACGATTAAAATTTGGACCTGGGAAAGAACTCGAAGTGTTTCGAAAGATAGGCATGGTTATATTCCACCTCAATGGAGTATTAGATCCCAACGAATATGTCGCACGAGCCCAATCAAAGATGACTGAGGCACCACCACCAGGGCAACCAACTGGGATTGACAGATTGTTGGTAGTATTGGAAGCATCACAAACATATGGCGAGTAATTTGCATCGCTTATCTTCATCGGCCAAAGTGAGGATTCATTCGCACCAACAAAAAACAAGGGCTTCGACGTGGTAGCGGAGCCGACTAAGTATTCCAAATTTTGCCTCACAGAAACTTCCCACCAGCCCAATGATGGTAACATTAGAATTGCCGAAGCCGGACCACAGATTGCGGCTAGAATTGTCAATAGTGACAACGTGAGTGCGATCAAAAGGAACTTCTTCGTCCCACGGGTACCAATGGCCCACAAATCAGGGGACAAAAGTGAACCAAGGTCATTGATTCTAAACCCGGCAAGGAGACCACCAAAAGGGATTCCTCCATTTAGGACTTCGTACTGAAGTAGATTGAGCCCCATGGTTGAGAGTGAAGCACCAATTAATATTTCGTGCATTTTGGCCGCAAATTGAAGTGCATTCAACCGAGCGTTGAGATTGTCGACATCAGAACCGATAGAATCAGAGTAGACTTCGAGACTATTCAAAAGCAACAAGATGATGGTGACGGTGATTGGTAAAAGGTGAAAAGCACAAGAGCGAGCAACATGCCATCTGCCTCGAACAGTAGCTTCTTTCAGATCTTCTGATTTGTGTTTCCGATTTTCCATATAGGTAGAAATGAGTTTGGATTGGGTGAAAGGCCAAAGGAAGAATAATCCTATGATTTTAAACCAGTGTACTTTGATTTGGATTCGAAACCTTGGTGACTTTTGAACCGGGAATCCAAGACGGCGATAAAAAGTTTTGGAGACCATATTTAAATGAATAAAATATTGATGTAGTCTCGTCTTATTTCTTGAAGAAAAGGGTTGAGCTTATATAGAAGGTGGAAGTGATTGCGACCCCAAAGCATTTGATGAAAATTCATTCCGAAACTACCGCGCCGTCTCCTTTAAAGAGGAATTGTGATATAGGAAGGTGATACAAAACTGATATCAGCCTCATTAATTGATGCGTGGAGGCAGTGACTTGAGGTCTAATAACGCCACCCCCAACGGCTTCGTTTGAATTTAGTATATGTAAAAGCAAGTACTAATTATGTGACATAAAATGCAGCTCTGAAGAAATAATCCGGTAATTAGAGCAGGTCGTGCAGTTTTCATTTGTGAATGCTATTCTTAGTCGCTTTCCGCAAAGAGGTGTGGTGCAGTTTGTGTTACTCGTGAGACTTGGGATGACCACTGCTTGAGCCATGACGATCTTTTATTCGTCACTGACTTCACCGATTAGGAACTAGTCGACCACTTGCAAGAGCCGACTATTGATTACCAATTAATCAAATAGAATTCAGCATGCTACTACGAGTATTATTGAGATCAATGCTATCTCCCTCTAATCATTTTCTTTGCGGGAGTATGTATAATTATTATTCTTTATTACCTCCTACCTGCTACACTGATAAGTATCCTGTGCCTTGTAGGTCAATGTGGGAGATTGTCATTGAAGTTTATGAGGAAGTAAATGTATGTTGAATTCTTATATAATTCGACATCTTTCTTGGGTGTATCAAAAATCTAAGTAGATATGAAGTTTAATATTCACTAGCTATTCTTCTCTTCATCTATATTCAAGTATGTATACCTCTTCTCATCCCACTCTGATCGAGTCATAAAGATACGTATTGCATTTGTTTACGCCTCTAGGGGTAATAAGAAAGAGAGTACCTACAGCTGAGGATCGAGCGGGGGTTTCTTTTCCACGGGATGAAGAATGAGAGTTGGGGTTTGTGAATAATCTTGAATGTGATCTACATCGTGGCTTTTTTGATGTTAGATAAAGAAAGTAAGAGTGTTGATGTTAGGGTTTTGTTATCGCTGTGATCGTTAGAGTCTTATGGATTGGTGCCACTATCATCCCACATATCCTAGATTTCGTTGTCATCGTTATGTTGTTGCCTCGAAATTAGGTTTTTGTTGGTGGGGAGGGTTTGTTGTCGCCAATTTATCTATTGTTATACAATAGACGCTCCTCGTGTTCTCATCAGTATCGAACGACAAATAATATTGGAACAAGATCACATATTCCTTTACCGTACCCAATTCCGGGCCTTTTCTCCCTCTTCTGATTGTCCATATCCTTTCACTCCACGTTCTTTGGTGATTCGTCCTAGCGGCATCTATGATCCTGAAGCACTAATCGTAAGAATAATTCTGTAGTAAGAAATGCTGATTCTCAGGATACTCTAAATTTCATCGGGATTACATCATGTAAGCTTTTCAATGTGAGATCAGACGTAGGCTTGTACATTCCAAAGCGCTATTCTTTTGCTACGATTACATTCTAGAGCGTATCAATAGAGGTTAAATACACTAGAATAAGAAAGCTGAAGAGGAAAGAGATTCTTAAGAGATCTGTTCGACTCCCAGGTCTTATAACACACCGCTTAGTTTAATAAGCTGGCGGTAGACGTAATGAGATGTCACATGCCTGCGTAATATACCTCACATTTGGTAAACAGTCATTCCAAGATTTCGGACCAACATTTCACATACTGATTTTCTAAAGAACAAGCCCACCATATCCTGCCTATCGCCAGAGTTTCCCATGAGCAAAACGATATCTACTTGCATCTCCTCTCCCTATTCTATCCCTCTGGTCCCTCACCCCAGACACTCATCTATGTACCATCCACACCCACTTCCTGATCTTGACATTACACCCTGATCTGGGGCTTCGCCCAAACCAAACTTACCAACAGAAGTTGCAGCCCAGAAAACGCAGCCATGATTTTCATTTGTAACGAATAACTTTCCGCAAATGCTTCTAGGATATTTCCTTGAGTCTCGGGTGAGAAAGATGCGATGGAGGAGCTTGATCGAAAAATCTCGGCTATCTGTGCTGGGTCTATTATGTGTTGGAGCCGAGATGATAGATAGTTATTCATTGCTGCTGAAGTGATGGCTAGACCGATGGCTCCGCCAAAAGCTCGAAATTGGAGAAGTGCACCACTCGAGATGGCTGGAGGAAGGAATTAGTATGCCTATTATTTCCTCTGATCTACAGTAACAGGAAAGTGAGGAATTTATAATAAGGGAGGTGTTTCTTGCCTAGATCTCGTCTCTCGACAATATGCGGAGGTATAACAATAACCATTCCATAAACAATACCAATTCCAAGACCAGCAATAGCTTCGTACCCATAAATAGCCGAATTGACATTCAAACCATTCGGAATAGTAGACATAAGTGAAATCCCAACAATTTGAAGGATGGAACCGATGAACATCAGGTAAATCAGTGGGATATGTGCTTTGCCCACAATAACATTTGCGATTACAGTCCCAAATGCAATGAGTGCATTAAACGGTATAAGATGCACACCAGCTGCTACCGGAGACATTCCATCGACAACTTGGAAGCGTTGTGGAATATTGATCGTGACGGCATTGAATGGTATACCCGAAAGTAGCGACAGCCTATCAAATGATTTGTTGTTAGAGCAACACGTTGTTGAAACCTAGAACTCGAATTTTATACGAGCAAGCTTTCTTTACTCACATTAAAGCACCCATCCATTTCCGATTGACGACAAAACGCCAAGGAAAAATTGGCTCGGTGCGTTTCTTTTCATCTGTAACTAGACGTTCATTCCACACGAAGAGAATCCATAAAACACCAGAAATGACAAATAGTGAGATGCTGGTTGCGGAATGCCAGGCAAATTGATTTCCTGCACCCAGAAGAACAGTCACGAGCAAAAGGGAAGCTCCTAAGAAAAGGAATGCACCTGTTCCATCGATTTTTGAAATAGAACTTTTGCTGAATTTTTCTTTCAAAGAACGAGAGACGTATGCTGGATCATTTTGATGAGGGAAACCTCCTGGTACGCAGATAAATAATAACGCGAGGGCTAATGCACCAGCCGGGACACTTCCATTTCGTCAGTTTAGGTGACTTCAGAGAAGGGGAGGTCAGAGTTAACGAACTTAAATAGAAAGGCCCATCTCCACATCGATTTCTCACTAAAGCCACCACCAATAAGTGGACCAACTAGATTCCCCATCGTAGTTACCACAGAGAACAAAGCTGTGTATGTTGGGAACTTGTGCTTTGGTATCATTTCAAAGGATATTGCGAAGACTAATGCCATACTTCCAGCCGCGCCAATGCCTTGGAACACACGACATATGATACTGTTGATATATTACTTAACCAGCTCCTCCAGAGATCATCAAGTAGATTACTTACATTTGTGTAATGGTCTGTGCAGCACCGCATGCCCCAGAAAATGCGGTAAAAAGCAACACTGCTGTTATGATAGAGGATTTTCGTCCGAATATATCGCTGACTTTTGTCCATATTATCAATGTACCTGGAGTATATTAGCACCTCCTATGATTACCTCTTTTATTGACCTAGTGATCTCTTACTTGAGTAAGTCACTAGATATCCAGTGACAATCCAACCAGTTTTATCAAACCCATGCAAGTCGTTCGTGATCGAGGTCAGTGCTGTGCTCACTACCGTGAGTTCGATGTTAACAAGAAGCATGCATATGGAGAGGCTAGACTCCGTAGAGGTATGAAGTTAATTTTATCGTACTTCCAAAAGAACGGGGAGACTTAGAATAAATAATCGCACCTTAATGCCAAAGAGTATAATGTCTTTCCAGAAAGGTAGCCGTTGATGTCATTCTCGAAAGGCTGCTCTGAGCTTGGCAGTTGGGTACTTTCAACAGGCATATTTTCGGGCTTCGAGACCTCGGCCTGCATTGGTTCTTCTTTCATGGTGACTTATTAAATGTTTTGTTAGAAGTTTTGATAAATTACCTGTACTTTATACGGGGTAAAAAAAGGATTTAGAAATGATAGAACTATGTGTTAAATTGAATAGCAGGTGCTCAAAGTTTGTGTTTGTTGGTATCACATCAGTGGTGATTTTGACAGAGCTACGAGAGCTATATGCAATACGTTCATGCGCTAGTGCACTAGTGCACTCACGTGTACACATTCACTTGTATCGCAACAGTATTAGCCAAAATGGTTGTAGGCGTTGTACCTGGTAAGCCGTTGATTGAACTACCGCGAAAATATACCGCATTCTGTCTAGCGTTTCTCCAAGATTGATGAGATGGGTCTCTATGAAGCAAAGGTAATCATAATGTGTTTGCCCTAGTTGTATTAGACTCATTATGGGTAGCTTCGTGGGCTTCTTGGAAAAAGTCTTGACATTTCGGGCCCATATTACTTAGAATAGTAGCTACATAGCATTCGTTGAATATAGGTATCAATAGACTAACAACGAGTGAGAATAAAATTCGAAAATTCCATCCGATTTACAATGATGACTTCGTTTTCGGTCCGTTCCAAACCTTCATCTTCTTTTTATTTCCATCCATCAATTTGAGAACCTCTTCATACTCCAAATCCGTGAATTCCTTCCCGTCACCAACATCGCGAGGAATAGTCTTGAAACCAGGCGGACCCGCCACAGGTTCGTGAATATAATATCGACTGGAATCTATCTTTTGGGGCTCTTCAACACACATTCGACAGAACTGCGCCCATTGAGTGAAAAGGTGAGCTGTCTGAGGTATTTGTGCGATAAAGGCAAAGATATGAGGAAGTGCGTTATATTGGTGAAGTTGTACTGAAGCACCAGCTTTGAAAGCTTGCTTGGCCATGAACCTACCTTCGTCAAGCATACGCTCTTGGCCATAGGCAAAAAACATCGGCGGTGGCTTGATGGAAGGCCATGACTTGGAGGAGACTGGGCTGACCAAAGGATGTGTTATTAGGTTCGTCGTAGGGGAGTAAATATGCGATCTCGGAGGCGTACTAGGCCAGATGGAATCCGGCGTTATAATATCGCTGAGTGTTGGATGAACGTCGTCTATTATATCGTAGTTTTTATTCCGCGCGTATGATGGACTGGTTCAATTTGCTAGATCAGCATTTCTCTCGCGAAATTGAACGATGAAAAGAAATATACATACAAAGACATCGTGGCATCACCTTGAGCACAGAAAGTCGCAAAACCTGCAGGATATGGGATCGACACACAATTGCCATGGAAGTTGATGCGGGTTTTCCTCTGTTGGAAATGTTGAAGCAAAAGGAGAAAACTGAGACATAGGTTACCTCCGCTGCTTTCTCCAGCGATGACAATATTCTCAGGCGTGGTTGCTTCGTGAAAAGCATCCTCGGGTGGGTAGAGAAGTGATAGGTATGCTACCAAAAGGTCGATTAAAGGTGCAGGGAAAGGGTCCTGAGGGGCCAGTCGTTGTTCAAGAACAAGACAGCGGCCTTTGGTAAGTTTTGCTAGAGTTGATGTAACTGCACGTACAGAAGCTGGTCCTCCAGAGCTGGATAATCAAAGGTTAATTTTCACGCATCATATCTGAGTATGACTGAGCTTACTAGTTGAGCCCCCCATGAGCGTATATAATGGTTGTTTTGGACCGTGTATCTTTCATGAGACCTTTGTACTTGTCCTCCTCACTAATGGTTGGCTCTTTCTCGTGTCTACCAACTCCGGATCGAAACCCGCTCCACTGTACCTGGACATCAGCTAATGTAGCAACTAAGTCTGCGCAAGAGCCATCATCAAGATCATAAATTGCCTCAGTGATAGCAGTGATGATACAATCATCCTTCGGAGCTGGCAGGATTGTCCTACTGGCCCAAACTGGCCCAGTAGCTGGCTGGTCAGCGGTTGTGATTGCTTGTTGCAGTGATATTGGAGTATAAAAGAGATAGCCCTTGTCTTTTCTGAATTTTTGTGTCCAGCTCATAAGTTTCTTCACAGCATCTTTGTCTTCATCTGGTGCCATGTTGACGTACAGAGGCTGATGCAAGATGATAGGTGTAGGTGAACGAGGCACAGCGATGATCGTATGAACGATAATTTAGGTTGGGTATTCTCGAATTCTTCTGCACCAACTTGCTATAAGTACCTAAAGGTATACTTGCGCTATACCCAAATGAAAACGGCAGAATTTAACATACGATTTTGTACAGTATGAGCACCCTCGGATGAGCTTAACCCTATGCTTATTAATGCGGTAAGGCGACCAGCCAATCAATGACTGAATAATGGAAGCGTTTTCGATCTCCCATTAAAATATTACAAACTTCAAATTCTCAATATAAATTTGTTTTAAATTAGACTTAGTGTGCGAACTAAGCCCCTCAGATCCTATTGTATTAGGCATAGGCTTAAGCTTACCTAAGTAAATTTATACGGTACCTAACTTAAGGTTTCAACATTGTAATGTCATATGCCTAGGTACATGTTAAAGCGCTTTTTCGTATAGGTACACTGCGAGGATATATACACGAAGTGATGTGTTTAAAGGTCCTCGAGAGTAACTCCATAAATTACCATCGGCACTTGTATGGCCAGAAATTATATCATACTCTATACTAAGCACATATCATAGTAAGGTAGACAAGAAAGTGTGACAATTTGCCGTAGAAGAACTGTGAGAGCAGGGTACAATTTATCCTTAGATTCTACAAATAGAGGAACGAGAGCGTAACTTCTGCAGCGCACTATATAAACTCACTATGCGTATGTGAGAGATCGCATTGCAATTGGGTCTGATCCGTGACACAAAGGACTAATATAAGTGGAGTGTTGTATAATTTCTGACCGCCAAGAGTACTCCGTACCCTACCTCGCCCAAAAATAATCCTTTTTGTTGGGTTCTCTGTATAATGAATCTGCTGAGTAGGATCTATTACTAAGATATGATGTTCATTACTGTGAGTTTGGAACTTTTGAGAGACCATATTTTGGCTCACACTAGGCAGTGAAACAGACCAGGCATTTGCTGTGCAAAAGTGTTATGAAGTGAATGATGTTACCGTTCAGCATTAGAATGCTATTGGTCATTATTCCTGACACCGCTACCCCTGTCATTCCCGCTTTAACGATTTGAAGCGAGGGAGTCTAAAGCTAAATACAGTTAGCTCAGAAATAAGTGTTGTGACAATAAGTATTGAAATGAACAACTCTTGGAATCTTGTGTAATTCAATAGTATGCATGCGTGGTCAGCATAGTCTCTCATATTCCACCACTCGCAAATTTTCTCGCAAAAGGTTTGTCCCTGTCGAAAAAGAGTGGGGCTTTACCCATGTAATATTATTTCTGGCGAAATGTATGCAACCATCAAGCGCTGCGCCGTTGTCAGGTCTCACCCCAATGTAACCTTCCCTAGTTGCGGACTTCTCCACAAACCAATTCCTGCTTCAGTCCGGAAAGACTTATCTATGCATCTACTAATGTCTCCCATGTATTGCGTGCATTGGAATGATTGAGGCTCGGATGATCATGAATTGCTTACCCGCCGCTTGCTCGTGCGCTCCTTCAACCCAACACTCCTTTAGCCAATACATAGTCGCAGAACTGTGGTGTGAATGAATCATGCTCAGTCGTTCATATTTTGCCGTTTGAAATGACAACATCTACGCTACTGACCCGACAGTCTAGCATAGCCAAGATAACAGTTGTCAATTGAATAAATTGGGAGAGTCTGAAATGGCTGTGGAATGCCAAGCTCTCCATTTCAATATTCATATAACCTAAGCTCTCTAGAGTAAAATTTTGATTCTTCTATAAGTCCTTACCAGTGTTGTAATTAGTATTTTCCGTATTTCAGTTATGCTCTACTTTGGTGGTACGTGTTGATATTTATAAAGATATTTCAATTATTATTTTTGAAATACTACTAATAATGTACTAAGACATAAGAATTTAAATATTTATAATCAAAATCTATATATTTTAAATAAATCATTACCTAATAATGTAAAGGAGTAGAAGGTGATAGGAAATCTCCATTATTAAATTTAATAATATTAATAACTCGACAAACGATATTATAATAACTTCTATAGTTAGATTTAATGTATTAAATAATATTATATTATCTCATCTACAGTCAGTGGAGTTCTATAATAGCCTCTTCCTCTAGAAAAACTGATTAGCTATATTTGATTTTGATTATTTAAGCTCTGAGTACTTTTAGACTCTATTCAAGTCTCTAAATGAATTGAAATTAATTATATATCGTAGGGGCAATTGAAGTCCTGTAATATAGTCCATAGAATATTATCACTATAAGAAATTAAATAAGCACCATCTTTTCATTCTTAACAGAGATATTATTCAAGTGATATTAGGGGTTTAAATGTCGCTTGATTCGGTGAGGACTTCGGCGTTTCACGGCCATTTCAGACGCCCCCAATAAATTGACATGTGCAACTTGAATCGTAATTGTTGCATACGTTCATCTTTAGTTCAGGGTTAGGATTCCTACACATCCTGCCTTGAAGATATAAAATTTCTCCAAACCAGAAAAAGGATGCGAGTAAGCACATGTACATGTAGGTTAAGGTGGTGTGTATAATCTTAGTTCCTCGTCCCCCTCCCCCTTTTTCTCTTGTCCCTTTGTGGATCTAATCGATGAGTCCAAGCGAGGAGGGGCTCACATCTAGAACTCACTCTCATAAATCTCTTCAGGGCATAGCTCTTTCCTTCCGGTATGATCCATCATAGATTATTACAGAGGGCTCTTCAAGCAGCAATTGCCAAATCCTGCAAATAGAACCACAGTCACCTTTGCAGGCCTTCCATTAGTCCGTATAATGCACTGTCAATTCTTCGTCACACAATGAATTAGTTATCCTGGTAGAAATACGTAGTCTAAGATGCAAACACCAACCGCCATCACCACTAGAATCTCTCCAGGGCTTTTCTCCAGATACCCCAGTTTCGTCCTTCAAAGATACTCAACGTCAATACCATGAAGGACCTTATGCATGAAAGAGAGGCACAGATTAACCTGTATTGTTGATACTGAGGACTGAGCACGCATTATTGTTTAAAGTTAGAATCTATTCTCTATGTGGATGGAAGGGACGGTGTGGTGACTTGGCTTTTCTCAACGCTGAATTCTTGTTGGCTTGATGTGAAATTGGAAAAGGGGAGTTTGCTGTTCGCTGCAGCGATGCTTGGATGGTTGCACAATATTCCTGTGACGCAAACTTCCGTAAGCTAAAAGTTTGAATATGCCCTGCCGAGATGATAAGACTTATTATTACAGGGAGAGGCAAAACCCCCTCCATTTCACATCTTTATTCGGTTTGAAAGACCTCCGCCGTAATCCTATTCATTTTTTCAGTCTCGATTCCAATCAAACGCGTTTAAACCCTCTTCTTTCTTCAACAAAAGAGAGTAATGTCGGTAGATTTACACTTAGTTCAACCTGTATCATTGGTGTTATAAGCCCACTTCTCCTGGAAAGTTTTATTCCCAAAAACAGTGGACTTTGATTGTTCTACCTAGATAAGCTACAGCATTCAAAGAACCCCACTTCAACAGACAATGTCGGACACTACACTACAAAGTGGAGTTCAGATTCCACCTATCAACGCCGTACCGACTTTATCAATCATAGGACATGCACCAACCTCGGTTCTTGGGAGCACAATTGCGCTCTGCATCTTCTTAGGGATTGCTTTAATACTCGTGATGATGCGGGTCTATGTTAGACTGACCCGAGCCGGCCGTTTCTTCCTGAACGATTACTTCTTGCTCGTCGGTGCGTCTATGGCAACTGTTTTCACCGTCTGTACAATCATAAACTTCTTCCAAGGAGTTGCTGGTCATCATTTGCTTGAGGTGTTCGAGCTTGTGCCTGAAAGATTGACTTTGTCTACAAAAGTAAGTTGATCGGTTCGTATTTCAAATCCCGACTTGATTATTTCGATATCCGGAATATGTATCTGATGTAAATTTGGTTCTTTTAGTTGACGATGGTATCCGAATTTTGTTGGGTGTTCAGCGTTGTCTTCCTCAAATTCTCAATTCTTCACCTGTATGTTCAAGTATTTGGAGTAGAGAAACGTTTCCTCTGGACAGCATGGATACTGGCAGCTTTTGTAGCCATAATAGGAGTCCTCGCCTTGTCTTTCACTGCAACAAATTGCCAACCTTTCTCTGCCTATTGGACTTTGGCCGGACATTGCGTTGATTTCAAGCCTTCCTTTCTAGCGACTGGAATCCTGAATTTAGTCGTGGACATCTTGATTTTGATTCTGCCGTTGCCCAAATTATTACGGTTGAATATGCCAATGAGGAGGAAGTTTGGTCTGTTTTTCATTTTTGGTATTGGATTCGGGTAAGGAACTTTTGTTACTCACTTACTCAGACAACCAGCTAGGTAGCTAATTAATGGATAATAGTATTTGTGGAATCAGTGCATGGCGCATTCAAGTCATTACAGACTACGATTTCCTTGACCTAACCTACAGAATTCAATATCTCGGCTTAAGTACCGGTTTGGAGATACTCCTTGGCGTAATCATAGCTTGCATTCCAATCGTGCATCCAACTCTCTGCCAGCCACTTGTTTTCTTCCTTAGCCTCGGAACACGCCTTATATCTTTTACACGAAGCAAAGGAACTACCGACGTACTTTCGAATGATCTCCCAGCTCTCAATACCAGCAAGAACTTGGGATATTCGAAGACAAAACTCAGTGAGAGTCAATTGGACAGGAAGAATTTTAAGAAATTGTATAATCATTTGTATCCTATGTCGGATTTGAATGTTAAGAGCCAATCTACCTGTGCTGCTGGAGATGTTACTAGTAGTAGGTCAGATCTCGTTGAGGAGATAGGGGGTGATGTTGAGGTTGTGAGAGAGTGGAATGTGCAATATTCTGCCGAGCACGTGTGATTAGATGACAGATTTCGAATTTAACTTGACAAAAGAATGGAATTCATTACATCTTATCTCCTTTATATGATAAAAGATGGTTGCTTTGGCAGGATTTCTTTAATGTTAAGTTGTAGATGGTAGATCTTCAATGGAAAAAATGGTGTAGCTAGATTTACGATACGATTATTGATGCCTGAGAATTCGCGTTTCATTATTATTTTTGCTTACAATAAAAATAATTTGTCACGTATATGAAGAATGAATACAGTGTAGAGTAGTGAACTAATTATTGGATTGACTAAAAAGAAAGTGGAATTATAGACAGGTGGTTGGACCAGTATGTGACTAGAAGTCGGGAACATGACAATCCGTATCACTACTAGAATAAACGAAATCTGGAAGCGAGAGGATTGTTATGGCTAATTATCATGGAGGAATTCCCCCAAATGTGGAGCCGGGCCTAAAATGGTCTAGAATCGACATATATTCGAAGTGGTATCCTGGAGATACCAGCCACTTAAAGAAGGGTCCACTCGCTCTCGTCACCAACGCCACAATCCAAAATTCACCTGTGTTGGTCCAGATAAAAATAACAAGCAAAATAATTCAGATTTTCGTAATAACTTCAAAGGGAAAAAAATGGATATCTCATAATGATATTGATATCTAGCGTACACACCGCCTAATTTCATTAACCAACCGAATCGTCTCGAAATAGACTCCGGATCGCTCATGAGTTTGCTCTTCGACGAAGCTGAATTACCGGTCCATTTCTCAGAGCAAGAAAGGCGTCCACAACTTGATATTGATTTTTATTTCTCCGTCCCCAAATATACTCAGGTTTACCGGATCCACGGCTCGATATATCATCAACTGATCGACGAACATCGCAACCATGAATCGTCCGAGCCAAAGTCATATACATCTCAAGCAAAGCAATGTTCTTACCAGGACACTGACCAGGCCCGATAGAAAAGGGTTTGAATGATTCTTGGAGAGCAGCAACATGCTCAGCAGAAATACCTAGTTCGTCATTTGGTATCCAGCGCTCAGGCCGAAAGACGAATGGGTCTTTGAACGTCTCCTGGTGGTAGTGTAACGAGTAGCTTGGGACACCGATCAGAGTGTTTTCTGGATACCAATGACTGTCGACTTCAACACCACCGGGAAGGACTTGACGTAGAAGCTCTGATGGTCCACTTGGTGACATTCGCATAGCCTCAAGACAACAGGCTTGTAGATACTGGCAATTGGAAAGAGCCACACCGGAGCGGATGTCGTCGGTTGAAGAGAAGGTGTCTCGTATCTCTTTCACAAGCTTTTCGTAAATATGCAAGTTTCGTGTTAAGTAGAAAAAAGCGCTGCAAAGAGCAGTGGCAGTTGTATCTGAGCCAGCTGTTACCAGAAGATTGGCTGTCGCTACGAGTTCGGTGTGATTGAAGGCGGGAGCGCCAGTCTCAGAGTCTTTGGCCTGGAACAAGTAGTGGAACATATCTTTCCGTTCATTTTCCGTGCTGCTCCTTTTTGTACTTTGCTCTTGCTTCTCACGCTCTTCTACGCATGTTTCTAGAAATTTATAGAAATTAATCACAGGCTTCGGAGTAACCATAGCAAGTAACGTATCAATGCCGCGAGGCTTGAGCCAAACCCATGTGTTAACGAAGGGTGAATTCGAAATCTATGGAACGAATAGATTAGTGTCGTCTTTATTCAATGGTGAGATTCTCTTACCGGATACATGAACTGCAAATACTCGCCAATGATATGTGGAATCTGACGAAGTGGGTTCTCCTTGGGTTCTATTGTCTCAAAAGACTTCCCAAAACATAAATCGCCTAGTATATCAAAAACAAGGTAATCAACCCATTCACCGCCCAGATTCTTCGGCGTCGCCCACTCAGTTGTGCCTTTGGTCTTTTTACCATCTAGCATGAGCTCAATCCAGCGGTCAACATTTTTGATAATGAAGGGCTCCGACGAACGCAACGACTTTTCTGAGAAGGCGCTGTTTAAGGGTTTTCGCAACACCATATGTTTGTGAGGGTCGGTCGTATTCAACGCATTGTAATCTTCATTGTTTCTCCGCCAGACCTCGTACCACTTAGCCTTCTTCACGTTCGCCTTGGAATTGTAAATTTCATGGTATCCCTTAGGGGTGGCTATCAGGACTCCATCTGGCCGGTAACGAAATCTGTCACCTTGTACTGGTCAGCAGATGGCAACGAATGAAGTAATATGTCTCAACTGACCGTAAATTTCGTGATTTTGCCAAATCCAAATGTGACGATACCCGGTCGATGCTTGATAGCAAGAAGGCCAGCCCGAGACTTTGCACCAGAATGGACCTGGCACATCGGCCAATGGATGGAAGTAAATATTGTAGATGGCTTCCGCAAATAACTACATAAGCTAGTCAATGTCTTTCATAGTCACCTATGCGCAGAAGAACATACGTATACGATTGCAGCAAGTAAGAGGGCCAGCAGCCCGTGATCATGAATAACATCGACTAAGTTTCCCATTGTGTTGATTTAGCTTTTCAGCAACAGGGCTCTCACTCCGACGTCTAATGGCGAAATTTTGCGAAAGAAAAGTAGCTACAGAAAGGGGCAAGAAAAAGAAACGAACGCTGAATGGGATGTAAACGCCCGCTGCTTACAGACCTAATCAAAAATGGCCTAGGTATCTATTATTAATTGCCTCGAACTTTGCAAAGTAAAAGAGTCTACGCTCATTCATAGAATCATTTTGAACCGAAATGTCAAACGATTTTTGATTGCAGGGTTGTTGAAGTGGTGAATTATGAGGAGTATTCGGTTTGTACCGGATTGTTTATTCGGCAACTGCTTGGAGCGGCTTGTAGTTCTGAAGCCATTTTCGGGTTGATGCGTTAGTGCTTATGCGCCACTGAGTGTTACACAATGCAGCATCGAAAGATGGGCGACGAAACATCCTAGTGGTCATCATTGCAAGTACATGAGCAATGACAGATTACGGGGCACGGTTCCAGAATCCCCAGTGTCTTCCAATTTTTCATACGACCACCAACATTTTTCCAACTCTCCATCGAATTCTTCACTGGGCACTACTAACAACTTCAATCTAGCTGCAATGTAACTTCAATAAATTCAAGACAACATCCCAATATCTTCACTCCAGTTTAAATCTCTCATTCGTACCGATATAGTTACACTGCAGACACTAACGAACAACACTGCGGAGATACTCTCTTACTACCAGTCATAGGTCTAACCAATCCTATCTGATCCTGTCATAATCCTGCATTGTTCTGTTATGTTTGCTTACAGTAAAGATTGCAACTCATTTAACCTGTAACAAATATTATATGAACATAGGTGAATGACTTCTATTTAATGACCTTTGTATAGTTAAGCGAATGCGAAGAGACTAGCCCTTTCAGTAGCACTTAAATGAGGGCTACTAGCCTCGCATATAGCTAGCTCTTTAGATATAATATAATTTGACGACTCGAACCTATATATTAAGTACTATATCATTTATATTATTCTCAAACTAATTAAGATCAATCTATTCTAAGCTAGATAATTAAACCTAGATTCTTTTACTATAGTAATTTCTAAGAATCTATATTATATAGTATAATAACAAAACTTATTATAGGTATTACTATTACGATTATATACTATAGCGTATTAATAGAATTTAATAAACTAGAGTAAGAAAGTTAAAGGAAAAAGAGATTTTTGAGAGATGTCTTTATCTCTTGTATAATAAAAGATCGCTTAATTCAAGCTAGTCTTAAACTGGGATTAGTATAATGATTAATTGTATAGACATATAATGTTTACTATGTCACTATAAGAATAATCAAATTAAATAGTATTATGTTACTTATTGTCAGCACAAGGGATCCTAGCTATCTGATTCTGCCGCATTCTTGTATCTCCAAAATACCTGGTTACAGCGGGGTAGCTCCAGGTTGGTCTCGCTCCTACAAGATGGTCACACTTTCTAGGGTCGACACCGCACTCAATGACTTCATTTGGCCCCATTAATGTAATGTTACATATTCCGTATCACAGCATTTGAAAATGGCGGACCCATACCCTCCACCACAAGGGCAAAGCTTTGGTTTCGGCTTGGCGATTTTCGGAAAGCCAGTATCCTGAGGAGAGAATGTTTTATGGATCATATTATATTCGCACGGATAGGAGGGTAAATATGCGATGTAACCACACTCTCAATAATGTAAAGGACGCTGACGACGCATATACAGTGAGGTGGTAGTACCGTGTAACATATCATATAAACGCGGGTTTCGTGGCAGGCTTACGCCACCCAATTATGCAAGAGTTTGATTTTTGGGGAGTAAGCGTCTTTAAAGTAAAAATTATGGCCAATTCTGATACGACAATTCACACGGTGGTGGTGTGAGTGAACCATAAGATTTCACAAACACGAGCAGTACCTCGATACACCACTTTCTACAGAGAACTCTCGCAAAATAATGAGAAAGTTAAAAATTGTTCATTTTCCTCTTAAGCTACCGGTACCTAATTACTTATGAATGCTTTTGACGTAATTTAAACTGCAAGTATGGTCCATTGTGACAACATGTAATGTGATCCTTGAGTTGAAATTCTCCCATGCGATCGTAGCCTTTGCCAGACCCCTCAATCCCTTCACCAATCTTGCCCATTGATCCCTCTGTAGGCTTAATATCCAGGGACCAAAGAGTTCTTGCTATAGTATCACTGATTTCAGTGTAAGCCATTGTTCTCCCTGCACAAGCTCTTGTGCCAATTGAGAAGGGACTAAATGCTGCTCGAGCTTTTTCGATCGCTTCACTGCTGTTTTCCGGCGATTCAATCCAGCGATCTGGGTTGAATTCGTATGAATCTGGAAAGACTTCCTCATTGTGATGGAAAGCATATGGGGAGACTCCAATATCGATACCTTTAGGTATATAGTTGCCGTCTATCCAAACGCCATCTGCTGCATTGATCGTACGCCAGAGGGTGCTGCTAATAGGTGGTGACATTCTCATTGATTCATCAATACATGCTCTCAAATAACGGCATTTCGCAAGTCGTGGTCCCGTTTGGATTTCCGAGGCCGAGTCAAAGGTTCTTCGGATTTCTGCTACTAGTTTCCCGTAGCAAGCTTTGTTTCGGGAAAGGTAAAAGAACAATGCTGTGAGAGCAGTGGAGGTTGTATCGGCGCCTATTTTGTTCAGTTCATGCTAGTGATTTTGAGATTGAAAATTTAAGTTTAACCAACCTGCTATGAGAAGGAATCGACTCTCAGCCCACAGTTCGTTCTCAGAGAATCCCTTCCCAGTATCCGGATCCTTGGCATCAATAACGAAGGAAAATAGATCTTGGTGAGAACCTTTTCCCGAAGCTAATCTGGTTCGAACCAGTCCAGCCATGAGCTCAAGGTATCTCTCGCGCATCTTAGCCGTTCGTCGTGCTAGAATTGTCTCTAGCTTTAGCTTCGCCAAGCGTGGGTACTGGACGTAAATACCAGCTTTTATACTCGTGGCTTCGACTGCCTTGATAAGAAAATCGTTTTTTGAGCTCTTCTGAAGTTCAAAAGATTGCCCAAACCCGAACTCTCCCATCACATCATACCCGAGGTATCTACAGCGTTCGGTCATGTTGATAGGAGCCGACCATCCATCGCCGCCAGATTTAGCTGCGGAGTCCTTGATATATTGTACGAATATGTTGATATGATTCAGAATGGTTGGTTCAAATGAGCGCACGCTTGAATCGGCGAAGCCTTGACTGAGAACCTTGCGTTTGAATTTATGAAGGTCTTTATCGATGGCCGTGAAAACATTGTAGGCTCCTGGTGCAGGTAGCATAGTTTGGTAACCATATGATTTCTGGACACTTTTCGAAAAATACAAATCTTGAGTACAGTTAGCCAATGATTCTAACCAGTGCAAGAAATATCTCACTGTAAAGTCCTTCTTGGCTATTCACAATAAGCTTGTTAGGTCCTTGTCTTACAAATCTCCCTATAAAAAATTAGCAAAATAGCAAGACCTAGAAATTAAAGCAGTAACCATATCGTTCGTGTGCTTTATGAGATTCGATATGAAGCTGTCCTCGAAAATTGTGATAAGCGCCATAAATGTCTGAGACTTTGGCTAGCAAAGGGCCTGGATATCTGGATAATGGATGGAAAAATAATCGATAAGTCCAAACGATAACATTCTAACCGCAAGTTAGCACTTCAAAACACGCCCTTCACTTATCGATGTTCTTACTCTTAAAATAACACAAAAAATAAGAACGACGAAGCTTCGCCATAGAAACTTAGTTATTTGCTTGGAATCAACATTGAGCGACGAGATCAATTCTAAGGTTGAGAAGGCCATCGTTGTCGATGGAACAACAGTTATATGTTCTGAAAATTAGTAAGAGAGATTTTTGTTTTCAATGCCCCTCGTGCGGACTCCTCAAGGAGCATCACTTGTCGGAGTTCATCGGTTCCCCAAAAATTGCCGGAGCACCTTGGCAAACTTCTGCAATTCTGAATAGTCCTTCGCTTACTTTGGAGGTCCCGCATGAATTACACAACTATGAAATTGGTGGTCAGAATCTAGATTGGAGGAGGCACAAGTGATCCGATCCTCTGCATGTGCAATGCAATATAGAATCTTACAATTGCGGACCACTTCCGGATTCAGAATGAATGCATAAGCAATTCGCCTTTCGAGTTTGAAAGAGTGCCTGATGGACAAGAGGATACGACTTGCTTGGTTCTCCTCTCGTAGCTTCCAGCAGTGCCTCACGGTTCTTCACCGAGTAAGGAATTCAAGCCGGATCTAAATACAATAGGCTCTTACAGAACTCCAGATTGATATATTACCCCGGTCTGTTATATGCAGAGACTCCCAGGACACCAGATTGATATGTAATCTTGGTCTATCAAGACCACGGGAACGGAAATTGTGGAACTAGTAAACCCATATGATGTTATAACTTCTCGATAAGGGAACTATATCTACACAAGTGTTATAACGTAAGAAAATTGCACATACCTAGAATTTTCTTCATTCAAACCTTTCAAAGCCCAAGTTTTTGTTCGATATCAAGTGTACTACCACTTGTTCTCAATCTTGTTACTTGAAAATTGTATCTACTCCAAGCTACATGATGACTCTCGATTATACAAGCCATCCGGCAGAGCTTGTTAAAGGAGGAGTATGCTGATAAGTCTTTTGAGAATGAATTGCGAATATGCGCTTACTATTATGACAGGAGGTCCCCAACAACCCCAAAGTGACTGTCGAGGATTTGCGAAATGCAATTCCTGAGCACTGCTTCAAGTCATCTTACAAGCTTTCATTTTGGTACCTTTTCAGAGACTTAGCTGTTGCTACAATAACGGTGGTTGTAGCATATTTCTATATACCTCGAATCGAGACTACCGTGCTTCGTTATGCGGCTTGGGCTACTTATGGAGTTATCCAAGGACTAACGGCCACTGGTATCTGGGTGAGACTCGCATACCAAATTACAAATTCTAACACTCCATTAATATCTCTGCAGGTACTTGGCCATGAGTGTGGACACTCTGCATTCTCCCCGTCCGACATCTTGAATGATACTCTGGGTTGGATTCTGCATTCTGCTCTCCTCACGCCCTACTTCTCCTGGCAATCTAGCCATCGACGCCATCATATATATGCAAATCATTTGGTGAAAGACCACAACTACGTTCCCCTACCAAAGGATAAGTACGCCGCGCTCTTGTCTGTTGATACTGGTCGACTCGAAGAGCTTACTGAGGATTCTCCGATTTACACATTGCTACGCATAGTGGCACAACATCTATTCGGTTTTCCATTGTATCTTACAGCGAACATCACTGCATCCCAGGGTTCACTGAATCAGGCTCAATCCAGCATAATTCTAGGCAATAGTCACTTCTCACCAGCAAGCACACTATTCCGTCCTGAGGAATCACATCTCATTGTTCTTTCAGATATTGGCATTGGCGTTGTTGTGCTGGGACTTTGGTACGCCAGCCAAATATTCGGCGGATACATTGTTGCATTGCTGTATCTTCAACCTTATCTCTGGGTCAACCACTGGATTGTCGCTATCACCTATCTGCATCACACACACCCTGATGTCCCTAAGTACGAACCAGAAGCATGGACGTTTCTTAAAGGTGCACTTGCAACAGTTGATCGGGAGCTGGGGTGGGTGGGAAAGCACATGCTACACAACATTGCCGAGTTCCATGTTATTCATCACCTGTTCTCGTAAGTATAATCAAACTCTTGATATAAATGACTGAAGAACTGACTAAAGAGTTAGTCGTATCCCTCAATACCACGCCGAGGAAGCAACAAAGGCTATTATGCCGTTGCTGAAAAGCTCTTACCATTGTGATAAGAAGCGAAACTTTTGGATATGTATGTGGGAGTCTTTTACCAAGTGTCAGTACGTTGTTCCATATGATGGGAAAGCCAAGCCAGAAGATCGTACAATGATCTACAAGGGTGGCCCAACGCCAACTTCAGAGATCTTTATGAGGAAGAAAGGATGGGCCAAGGAGGTAAATTAGAGGAAATGGCTGGGATCTGCTGATAAATCAAGTATTTGAGCAAGTGCAAGGAGAGAAGAATGCCGCGTGGTAATCTGGACACCAGACAGAATTCTAATCTGTACAGCGAGAAGGTATATTTTTCTTGAAAAAATGGATAACAATTCTATATAACACCTAAACATAATCTTTTGCCATTAGTGAAGTTTTTCGCCTGGAAAGTTATATATATCCAGCGTGAAGCAAACTCACTGGAATTGATTCAATGTAGTCTTCCGTATAATGGACTGGTTCTCTCGCTCAACACCGAATCAACCGGGATCTAGCATCACATCTCAAAGTAATAGATTAATCAGAATTGTAGTAAATTTTATTTGAAATATTGGCTTGTAATGTTTCGTATCGTTGGAGGATTCCAAGTAGGAATAAGGGTAGATGACGATGGCAGTTTTATTATCGTTCAAGGATCATGGCATTTCGACTAAACACCATTAAGGATTTGACCCTCTAGCAAAACATTCTCAAAGATCCTAAAATCTCGCAAGTTATCCTACTTCATTTCATTCTATTCGCAAAGCTGTCAGTTGTGTTCACTCTTCTTTTTACTTTTACTCCCATTTGATCACTCATGCAACCTTATGTCGGCTACATGGTGATGTATTCCCAGTCTACCGACATCCTCTTCGACATTCTTACTATACTAGATTTTTTTGCATTTCTTCTTTTGGCTACTGGGTAGTTTTTTGAAGACAACAGTTCAGTGATCATGGAAGTATCTCGCTGCAATATCAAACTTCTTGTTCGTACGACCACATACTGCGCCTCATGCATACTCCCTAGCCAATCGGGAGGTCGAAACAACTGACACTTCATAGAACATCAACAGGCTTCTTCTAAATGGTCAGAATCCATGTTACATTCAATTGCGACGCCCAATCTACAAGGATTAGCCACAGCAGCCGTTACCAAATTATATCCGTTGGGCGCCTAGGTCGACTAGCATGTATATATGGGGTGATTACAATAATAATGAGGGGTAATTGTTTCAATGCTAACTACACAATTCTAAATTACAAAAATTCGACAACACACTGATTGAAGGATGGCTTCCCTCGCGCCGTGCAAGTTCTTTGCAAGTGGATATTGTATGAGAGGAGAAAATTGTCGTTATTCTCACGAAAAGACTACTATTACACCTCAAGTTTCTGTTTCTGCCAAAAAGCCATCTGAAGCTGCAACTTCACATTCAAGACGAGATCCTCGCTCTCAAATTCCATGCTACCATTACTCTCGAGGCAATTGTCGAAATGGGAGTACTTGTCCCTTCTCGCACACTGCAGAGAAGCAAAAAGAAAAGGCAGCAGAACCTGACTTAGACCCTGAGGTTTGTTTTATTGGTTTGAAAGTCAGCCTACGTTCTAAGTTAACGTATGATAGGAAAACCAAAACTATGACAACTTCACAAGAGATTTCGGAGGCGCATTGGCTAAATTTGACGTTGGCGCACAAGTGTCTAAGATCTCGCTACCAACGGACTTTTCTGCCGCTCGAGTAGATGGATTGCCATTAGATGTCACCGCAGAATCTTTCGTTTCACTTTTGAAAAAGAAAGGAGTACAACTTAAGCCCGAGTGTGTGAGGATACGAAGGTATGATGACGCTGCATCGGCAGATATCAAAGTTGATGATCCTACTTTTGCAAAGGGATTTTGCTCAAAACTCAACGAGAAGACCTTTTTAAAAACCAAATATCCAAATGTGGAAGCATTTCATGTATCTGCCGGTCTTCAATCCGGCACCAATTCTCATCAAATCGAATGCAAAAAGGTTCAATGCTCTTGGTTCAAACCCTCTAGGACGATATGGCTGCATTTTGGAAGTAAGAGTGTTGCCGAGAAAGTTTTCGCGAGGTTCGATTCGAAATCTTATAAGGTGCTGGGTCAACCAGTCAAGTGTCATCCGCCGAGTAGGCGGGTTGTATCACGATTCGAGCCACTGGCGTGGACGCTTATGCTCACAAATCTGCCTGCGAAAACTGCGGAGAAAGACATCACTTCTGCTATCAAATTGCCACATCACATGCCTCGAAAGGTAGAAATTGGAGAGGTTAATTATAACGTGGAAGGAGAAGAAGCTAGTGCAATTGTGATGTCCCTATTACTTGGGGTTGGTCCCATTGAATGGAGTCAAATCAGTACAGAACTGGAAGGTAAAAGAGGTTAGTTTCAATCTCTAGCTATCTTTCATAGATTTCAAAAATCCAGGAATCCCTCAAGTCTCTTATTTCCTTAAACTTCCTGTCTCTTAGATAGACAATCACTGACCCCCTGGACAAAAACAGCAAAAGCTGTTGCTAGATATTACGAGGAGTCCGATGCAAGAGCGGCAGTTATTTCATTGCAAGAGATGCCTCTACCATTTTGTGAAACCATGACTTTGACTATCCAGCTTATCAGCACCGCGAAGTTCAAAGTTGCAAGCTCAATCTTCAATGCCGTCCAAAGTCGAATCCGCACCGTCAGCCAAATTTGGAACGAGCAGCATCTGAAATTTAAGATTTATCCCACCGCTGGTCTTAAACAGCAATACAGAGTTCTAAAGATTGAAGGCGAGGCGTCAAAAGATGTGGCTGCCGCGAAAGAAACGTTGAATGGGATATTAGACGGGACCACAGTGATGAATGGTGGCAAGCCTTTGTGGACATCTTCTTTGATCGGCAATGGGATTGTATTTCAGAAACTTAAGAAGATCCAGCAAGATCATGGAGTGATCATTCTTCGAAACAAGAGAAAACAAGAGATAAAGCTCTATGGCCCCGAAGAAAATTGTAAGGAAGTGGAATCTATCATCACGACAATTATTGGTACCGAATCATACACTGCTCACATAATTGAATTGAAACCTGAAGACTTCCGATGGGCATGTAATGGTGGTTTCAAAATGATTGCTACTGCACTTGGAGATAACATTGCCACATTCGACATCGTCTCAAGGCCGAGGAGGATCCTGATCGCAGGCACCGAAAAGGAATATGAAACAACATTAAAAATGATCGGCAAGAAAGAATCCAAGCCAGCGTCTGAATCGGTCACCACCAAAGAGGACTGCGTTGTATGCTGGGGAGAAGCAGATAATCCAATACTCACCAAATGCAATCATGTATATTGCATTGAGTGTTTCGAACTTTCCTGTAGCGCCGCAAGTTCCAGCGGAAAGAACTTTTCAATTAACTGCCACGGAGACATGGGAAGATGTCAAGTCAGCTTCAGCCTTGATGAACTACAAGAGATTCTCTCATCCAAAGCATTCGAAGACATCCTCGAGGCCTCTTTCTCATCTCATATCCAGCGAAATCCACAGACATTCCGTTATTGTCCAAAGCCGAATTGCGATACCATCTATCGAGTCACAGATACCATGCATTTCAATACCTGCACGGAATGCTGCACGGTAATATGTACACATTGTCACCATCAGCATGACAACAAAACGTGCGCCGAGTATGAAGATGAAACGTCGGGAAGATATGAAGCTACACTCAAACTGATGGAAAAGATCGGGATCAAGAGTTGTCCCAAATGCAAAATATCTATCGAGAAATTAGATGGGTGTAATCACATCGCGTGTAAGTGTGGAGCGCATCTTTGCTGGGTATGCTTGGAGTCATTTGAACACTCGAAGTTGTGCTACGAGCACATGTCAGCAAAGCATGGAGGGTGTTACGATTATCGAGAGTAGGCTATTGAGGTCCAGGTCACCTTTTATATCCCTTTCAACTCTGAGCTGGGATATGTTTGGTAAAGGATTATATACGAGCACCTCTTTTCCTTCCGCAGTATTTAAGCTCATAATTCATCAATTTCATTTTCTATCAGTCACTTTCTCGAGTCACTTTAGTATTCTCTATAGTTCTCTCAACCCATATATTCATTGAGTTTCATTCTCACCAGTTCCACATAAAAAGCTCCATCTTCGTAAAAGAAAAGTGGAGTCTAGTTTAGACTATATGATTAGCGAGAACTCAGGGGTATCGGAAATCTTCCCCACCACATCCAGAATAATCCTTCAGAGGAGTCCAGGCGAGAGAGAATTCCACAGACTACCACTTCAATGATGCTTTTCGTAATAAGCGCCGTTGAGATATACATGCAAGTTAATACCCAATTGTTTACTTGAACGCAAGGTCTATAGGTAGGACCTGAATATTGTGTTTGATAATACGGACTATTATTGAACCAGATTTTGAATACTTAGATCACTGATCACTGATCACGAAGACTGTAAAAATGCCGTACTTGATTATCTCATATTGGGATTACACTATTTACTTCGTTGTAATGAACCTTCCACTGCCCTTCTGATATTCAATATACCTATAGCCACTAATCTCCGTTCCCTCCTGCTTCTAATCCCGATGTCGCATCTGGCACATCGCAGATTTTTGACATCAATCCTTCAATTTCTGCATAACCTAAAAGCCTTTGGTCATGCTGTTTCCAATTCGTTATTTCAAGAGGAAGTTTACGACCAACAGCGTCACTTAGGAGTAGGATCAAATTTCGTTTCACTCGACCCGTTGAATCTGTTGCTGACCAAGCTCGCTTACCATAAATCAATTCCTCTTCAATTCTCTGCTGGTCAAATTTCTTATTTTTCGATATGGCCAGACAAAGAAACCAGTGGAACTGGAGGCAGTCTATTCGTGGAATAGATCCAACTTCCACCTGACGTCCATGAATGTCCCGGAATAGACAATTCAGCTCCATATGGTTGCACTTTAACAGGTTCGAGTCCATTGCCCGAATTTCCCATGTTCTGAACTTAAAGTTCGTGTCAACGAATGGCACAATACAAATTTGACATGCCTCCCAAGCGTCTGCAATTTGTTTTTCGAATATTAAACCATTCTTGGGATCGTATGTTCCCAGCGTAGGATTTAAGGCCCATGTCGTGACAAACATCAAAGACATTTCGGCCGTGCTTATTCGTGATGGAACAATATGAACAGCTTGCCGACAAATTTCTGGTCCCCATGTTTTTGTGACAATACACTCAACTTCTTCGAAATCAACATCGCCAAATGCGAACCTTGAGCCATCTATGTTGAGATGGTTTTTTGATACTCTGCGAATTTGATGACAATCCTTCAATCTCTCCGTGAACATCGCATCTTCTGGTCTTCTGTTGTTGGCAATTATTCGGAAAGCCAGTCGATAAGAATTTTGTTCACGGGCCCCTGTCGTAATTGGATCAAGTTCCACTACAATGGCTTCCCAGTTCTTGGACCACTTATCCAAGATGCTATCATAAACCGCCTCCAAGCCTAGTAATTTAGCATTTCCTTCCAAAGAAGCGCGTTGTTTGCGAACCATCTCACATTTATCTGCGTGTCCAAGGTACGTAAGTTGCAACTTGACTGCCCAGTATCTTGGAAAACTGGGATTGAGAGTTGACAGATAGTTCTCGAGTTTCTTAATCTCTGGCTCTCTCAAGGATGGTGTTCTTTTGAAGATTTTCCCTTCGTCAACAAGAGTTTGATAAGACAAATTCTCATTCTCGTGCTCAGCCATAAGATCGAGAAACCCAATTGCTGCCTTGAACGCTGTTGATTCTTCTCGTCCCACGTGTAATTTTGAAGCACATTCTTCCAACCTATCCCTGAACGACATATTGATTACTGAACCAAAATTAAGAAGAATGATTGATTGACTTGAGGATGCTGCTGAGACAGGATGTTTTGATGAAGAAGTAAATTGTTTACTGATCTTCATTTTGTTGTTGGCATAAACAAACCGAAGAGGAAAGAACGACATCAAGATGCAGAAGGAGCTCTCGAAAACCCGATTGAAACCTTGCGACAACTATTTTCAACATTTTAATAAAAACGTGATTTTTCTAGGTACAATCCTGCTGAGGGATTTTTTAAAGCGATTTTCAAGATTCTCCCTCAATATGACGTCTCGAGGTTAGTTCTCTATTTTTAGAAACTCCTCAAACATTTCAAGTATTCACTAACTACACCATCTCATATATCCATCTTCCCATTGATACTGCCTCCGAAGAATTACTCTCTATTTTAGCATTCTAGTATAGAAAATGTACCCTTTATGCCATACTCAAACTTTTCCGTTAAAACCTCAACACCATGAGTTAATTACTAGGCTCCAATATATTCCACCAGTCCCCTCCTCCTCCTTCCGTAACAAATAATCACAGAAAAATCATCCCTCGACTGCACTACACGTCCAGAAACCAACAAGTAGGAACTCATTTCAGATACATTCACTATTCACACTCAGTACAAACAAATAAACTCATCTTAACCATCTTAACCATTTATATCTTCCAAACCCTAACCAACCTCCAGATAAGCATCAACCTCGTCTCCAAACAACGCTTCAAATGCGTCAATCAGATATTGATCTAGACTTAACAGCACCTCAACGATCCGTCTACAACCATCAAAACCCTCTTTCCTTCCCAGACCACACTTCTTCTCATAAATCTATAAAAGCATTTCCCAGCCCAACCACCACCACAAACACCAACCCCCATATCAATAAACATCAAAACTACCACACAAACACCCATCAATCATCCCGCCTGATCATCTTAACACACCCCCAACTCACAATTCTCGCGTGCACATCCCCACCCTCACAATCTAACCAAACCGCCGCCCCCTCCACACATATACATTCCACCAAATCTTGATTCCCCTTACAAAATCAACAACCTATACCACATTTCTTAGAAAAGAACATGCCTACTCACGAGTACAGCCAGTGTACAGCTCAGCAGCGTAATCTTCCACTTTCCATAATTCACTCTTAGCTATATACAACCCAGTAATGATATACACTTGATCCACATTCAACAACATTCCATATGTAAATATCTTCAACAGTTTCACTTATCATCCTACCCTCCAAGCAACCAACGCACCAACTACTATCCTCTTCAATCAAATATGATACCTCACTCCAATTAAAACCTCACACTCACACTCACGCTCACAAAACTCAAACTGAAACTCAAACCCATCAATCCATTAATCACATCATCTTCGCTATAAACATTATAAATTAATCCTATAGTTCTCGCAATTCCTACAAAGTACAGCTCGACGTGAGCGATTGAGTATGTGATACAATAAAAACACGCCGCTTAAATAAAAATCATACAAAGTTGTAGATCCAAAACTAGAGTACCCATCTTCATGTTTCACCGAAGATTCCGAGTGTGTCGACAGAAGATCCTCCGAAAACTGCTTATAACCCATCTCATGTTTTTTGGGTCTGAATTCAAGGTTCGCAAATGGAGAAGCTTTCAATTCCCACCCTGCAGTCTCTTCACGGATCGCTTTTTCCTCTTCCGACTCCTCCGCATTGACGGCTCAACTGCAGCCGGCCCATCTGAATTCGAATGATTTTCTCTCCATATCAGACATCGCGTCGTGTTTCTGTGCTAGGAACACTTGTTGTAATCGACCATTAAAGTTGGTGATTGAGGAGTAAATACAGATCTCTTGGAGGCTTCAAGAATTTCGGCGACTGTAGAAAGAGTCAGTCGTCTTCGTTGAAAACTATCGCGCATCTCAAAGTCTAGACTATTGTCCAACAATCAAGGGGCTCTGAATCTTTGAGATGCTTCAATTGTTCGAATAGATTTGTTGTAAACGGACTATCATACTGTGCATCTTCTAGAGTTCTTTAATTAACACCTTATCAACCGTTGCAGGTACCCTTCGATGTGATTTATGCCATTCAAACATGGTAGACCGAGGAGGAAGCACCGGGGAAATTGGCGCATTAGCATAGGGACCAAAATAATCTGGAGTGATAGTATATTTTTCGACTCTGAAGCCGGTGTTCTTAGCCTTTTGGTCTTTTCCCGTGTCAGTAGGCTCATCTACCTTTCGATGCGTATCCGAGATCGCTTTGTCAAGAGCCCCTTCAAGAGGTCCTATAAAAGATCAGTACACATAATATTGAGAGCTCAAACCATAATGGGCAACAATTTACTGACTTTGATAGGCCATTATGAACTGTGAATGTTCGTCGCAAGTGAATAAGGGATGTTGTCAATTGTACGAACAGAGTGGTGGATAGCGATGAATGATTATAAATATGTATACAGCAATTGTCATAAAATTGAGATGTTGTCTCAAGATTGCAGGTAAAGATCGCTCCCAGATCACATGGAAAATTGACCTCTAGACGAAACTGGCAGACGCCATGAAGTGCCTTTTGAGACTGACCACCATGACATTGATGGTTCACATCTGGGCAGGTGCGAAAATAGCAGTCCAGAAATTCTGGAGAAACGTCATTAAGGCTACTCGCGAGTTCATTCAAACCCAGTTTCTCTTGCTGCAGTAATGATCGCAGCATCCATATCGGCTCGTCTGTATCCAGGGGCACGTCCCAAGCAGGATGCAATCCCAACCAATTCTGAGAAAATGATAATCAGCTATGATCCTAATATCAAAGTGTAAATAACATACCTCTGATCAGGGTTTCGACTTTAATAGTCACAGTACGTTTCTCCGTATAGCGTTTACTATTGATACTAACTTTGGGACTCGAAGTTTCAGAATTGGCACCGGCTGTACCATCAAATATTGGACCGGATAAATCGAAAGGATTAGCCCCCCTGGGAATACTGGCATTCCAAGAGGGAAATGTCATAAACTGGGGAATACCACTAGCTTGAGCTTCTTTAGTTAGGTTACCATTGATATAATCGAGATTATACGCATTTTGATTGGTTTCATCAAGGACTTTTCCAATTGGACTCCGAGGTGTAGGTGGGAATATCGAGTCAGTACTAGCAGTCCCTGGACTGTGGGCATCGGAAGAAACCTCGAGTTCTATCTGACCTGTGATATAATCGGCACCAGGATGGAGATCGAATCCATGACCTCTGAGATAACCTTCAACGTCATTAGAATCAAAAAACTCGCCCTCAAACCCAGGAAGGGTACATTTCATATCAGAACTGATATTTTCCAGTAATGGTGTGAAGGTTGTGGAAAAGGGGCCCATAGAGAATCCAGTACGAAATTTGGGCATCAACTCATTATCAGTATCAGGTGCTTGATTAGGATAGTATGTACCCGACCCTCCAAGGTGAACTAACGGATAGCGCCATTCATGAAGAGATTCCTTTGATGAAGTGTTCATGACCCTTTTAAATCGCGCAATGCATTCTTCCTTAGTTTCATATTTCAAGCAATAGCCAAAGACTTTTTCGAATAGTCGTTGTGGAGGATTTGGCATTGTAAGCAGCTTGTAGCCTTCTTCCATCGTTGCGCGGTGCACTCGACGTGCAAATGAAAGTTCAAAGTAAGAATGTGTAGTTGGAAGCGGGACTTCGGCATGAGGGTAATAGCTTTGGAGGAAATCATTACTGGTAGGAGAAGGTATCTCGACTCGGTATTGTTGAATACTCGTCGAGTCGAAAGGAAAACTCGCGTTATCTTCAGTTGCCCTGCTGATTATCTCATACTGTCTAGGTTCTTCTGTGTCGTTTTGATTATATTCGATGTGACTTTCTTCTTGTTCAGAACTAGTATCCTTCGATACAGTATATCCACCCCACGTGTTTATTGTCTCGGTGGTAGTCGGCTCATCTGAGAGTAGAATAAGGGGAGGCGGGCGTTGAGCGCTCTGACTTGTCAAAGAATGTTTGGTCTCACCATGAGAATCATGTGTAGTATCATCTGGCGAGTCACCTTCGTGCCTTGGATTTTCATCGCCTGCATTCTGTTTTGCGAGCGCAAGGAATCTTTGCGTAATTGATTGAAGTTGCTGACCGAACTCCGGCTCTCGTTGTAGAAGACCTCTACTGATGGCAAAGTCATAGAGATTAATGAATGTATTATTCATTTCCTCATTTGTACCTCTGAGTTCTTGGACTTGCTTTTCTAAAGAAGAAATTGTTGTCTCTTTGCGATGTCGATAAGCCCTCTGGGCCATTCGAATCTGAGTTCTTCGTCTCTGGGAAATGATTAGCAATGTGATAATTGTCAGCATGCATTGGAGAACATAGAGAGTTGATATCCTAGATCAGATAATCTGATTTGGCAGGCTAAAAATGTTTTGCCTCCAGAACAGACATATTGCACCCAGACAGAAGGAACTTACATCGGCAGCAGTTTCATCTTTGGTATCGACTCTTGGTCTCCCTCTCGCCTTTTTTCGAGCTTCATCTTCATCATCGTCATCAAGGTTCGGAGACTCATTTCTGACTCTTTTCCTTCGCTTCTTCCCTTGTCCATGCTCATGCTCTTCACTTTGTAGTTTTGTATCACTACTATCTCCATGCTTCTCCACCATTCCAAATGGTATTTGATTTTGCATCTGACCCTTCATACTCATCATGCTCTGATTGCGAGATCCAATTGAACCCCTCCCATCATCATACTTCTCCGCGTTCAAAATTCCCAAATTATTGGAATAGGTTGATTGGAATGGATGGTTCATAAAGGAACCTTGTGAGGTATGTTCTGTGGAATTGAAAGCAAGTGCCTGCATATTTTGGTGAGGTCTTGTGTGATCCCCAACAAGGTTGGATATTGAAGGTGGAAAACGATATTGCGGTGTATTGGTAGGACGATTACTGATCGCGGATGAAGAAATCGATGTCGCAATAGACGGTGCACGTGAATGATAAACGGTGTCTTGAACTGTCGAGACACTATTGTTTTTAGATAGATGATTACTCGGAAAGGCAGTGCCGGTGGCGTTTGACATTGTATTGAAATTATTGGATGGAGAATTGTTGTTAGCTTGAGTATCTGTTTGCATAGCGGCTTGAGTGAGGATTGTCAAAGCATATCGATCGTCCTGCTGCATAGGAAGACCGACATAAGAAGAATTCATCTTCGACCAATTTGAATGCGGGGGTGGGACCAAATCAGCTTTATAGATAAGTTAAGCACACACTTATTGGAGACGGCGATAATATCACCACGCCTTATATCGACCGGTTAGTAGTTTGTCTTGTCTTTTCTTGTCGTCTTTGTCAGCCGTGGAATGGTTTTTGGATGAAGTATTGGCTAGACAACAATTCACATTAACGCCGACAGTAGCATAATCTTTCTATTCCAGTCATCAGATTGATTTTCTTCCTTTTTTCCCCTCCTCTCTATGTATATACCAGGTAGGGTGGGTATGCAAGGGAACTGGAGACAAGGTTTATCAGCTTTTCTTCAGCCGATTGACTGTACCGTCTCTCTTTTCTTCCTCTACTCGCTCATCCTCTTGAGATGGAATGCAGTACAAGGTAAGGTCATGCAAGTAGAATTGAGTCTAGCCGGTAGGTTCCAGGTAAATCCGGACGATATCCTAGGTACTCGGAATCTGATGCTTGGTAATTGGGCAGCTTTCGTAAGTTAAGTAAGAACTAAAATAATCAACAGATTTAAAGTTGTGGATTAATAATCAATGTACGATACGACAACTGCTTGTCGGTGGCTGTGGTTCCTTTGTTGCAGATGGATGTACCGATATGCGACGTTTTCATTCAAGTATGGTTGGATTGGATGTGTGGTCAAGGGCAAGGAGAATCAAAGAATTCCGAGGTGTTTCGATTACTATTCATCCCATTCATTCTGGGGAATCTTCGGAATGAGACACATTGATATTGTGTGATAAACACAAGTTGATGATTCAGCTTCATACAACCCGTGCACTGGCTCGAGACTGGACACATAAGACTGGGCACATGAGACTGGGCACAAGAGACTGTGGGCACCCAGGAACATCTCATCCCGCATCTAGAATATTCGTTACAAGGTGGGCTGGTAGACTGGTGTGTATTGATGACTATTACCAAGTACCGTATCTGCCGCTGAACATCCCCAACAGATCCCAATAAACATAACCCGGTACCGGCATATATATATCAAATCCGCAAATCCGAGTATCGATCAAGGTTTGTGCAATATCCTGATACAGTATAGTAGAGCAATAGAGTTATTACTATGCCCAATCTTAACGTCAGTCGAAGGGTCTGTCAAATCTGTGATCTGTCCGACCGAATAACCCTCAGGCCCTCGACTTCTAGATTGTAATATTGTGCCGTCCCCGCTTTACTTTCATTATTCCTCTTCTCCGTATACTTCTACTTCAGAACAATGCGAAGAAGCTTACCCATATTATATTGACCCACCAGGATATGGAACTTAGCAATTTCCATATTCACAATATCGATAAGCCATCTTAATGCTCAATGCCAATATCAAGAATGTATATCTCTATTCCTGAACGCTGAAGTTTTTGCCTACTTTACAACCCATTTCCCTAGCAGCATTATATTATAGTGCAGCATGTAAGATATCCCCAACGCCCTCAAAACAACCAAATACAGTAGTAAACACCAATCAATGTAAATAATGAAAGAAATAACCATCCACCTGGAGTGGAGGTGTAAGTTTGAAGCCCCCGCCAGATTGGTGCGCTTGAGGAGCAGTAACTGTCAACTCCTCCTACCCTCATTGAACCAAGCCGCGCAAAACACCCTTCAGACCAACCCCATTTGACCCGCAATGCTTTTATGAAACCTGTGATGACCAGCTGCAGAGACCTACGACATTTCCGAAAAGAAAGACCGGGTATCGTGATGTCTATGCAAAACCGAAGATGAAATCCCCCATGCTCGTTTGCGTCGTATCGGTGCTTTTATAATTGTACATTGAAAGTGGAATTAGAAAGTGGATATTAGAGACCTTGGTGACCCGATGAAGATTCAACAACGTTATCGGATAAGTTGATGAGGAGTTGTGCAAGGCATCGTTTGGTAGCAGCGTCATCGCGAAGGACCGAGGAGAAAGTGGCATCGCGGAGAGGTTCGGGGAGACATTGGCGGAGAGCTTCGCGGGCTCGCGCATTATCACTCAATCTGACATTCATATTAGCGGGAGCGAAATCAAAGTCTTCGACGTATTCTCACCGAAGGAAGCAGCGGACGACATGCTTCAACAATCGCGCGGTTTGTTGCTCAACAAGTTGTGAAACCATATTGCTGAGTACTGTGCCAACAGCATAAAACCGCTCATAGGTAGCACAAATATAATTAAGACCGTGATCATCGAGGAGGATCTTCTGCACAATGAAGATTGCAACTGTCTTACTAAGTTCTGATCCGGTCTCCATGATTCGAAGACATAGTGGGATTATTTCAGTAGTGAGGAGGAAATTGATGACATCGGATGAATCATTCTTGACAAGGGCACCAATGACTCCAAGGGAGGTAAGACGTAAATACTCGAAAGGTCGGGATTTGGAAGTCGTGTTGAGGAAAGGGTAGAGGAAAAGAGGGATGTGAGCTACTAATGTCAGTTCTGCGTCATATCAATGATGTCCGGATAACCAACCGTTCAAGAAAAGGGCGCGAGTCTCATTGTGAGAGGCAACGCACTGTAGAAGGGCCAAGGCGTTGCAGACTCGATTTGATGCGGCGGCGGTGAGTTGGGAGGGATTAAGGAGAGTATAGACTGAGATTATCTCTTGGAGAAGTGATGTCATCACACCTAGATCTGTCAGCATGTCATGACGCTACCCCTTCCGACGGCGTAAATTTACCAAAAGAATGCCACAGTATCAATGCAAGCTCTGGCACTTGCTCGCGCTTCTTGCTGAGTTCCAGGAGAGCCGCTTCCCTGGTGTCTTCATTGAGTAAATCTGCAATGAAGTTCAAAGTCCTTCTGTTTTCTTCTGAAACATTGGAGTCGATCATGGCTGCTGCGTCTTGTCCGTGATTTGAAGAAATGGAAGGTACAGCGGCGTTGTGGTTTTGATTTTGACCCGCCATGCGATTATAATGAGCTGCCTGAACCGCCGCTGCATGCTGCTGCTGCGCCTGTTGAAGGTGGGTCTGCTGGTGCATCCATGGTTGGTCGACCTGCGGATTGTATTGATGTTGATGAGAGAAGACGTGTGTCCCCGGGAGCATGGTGCTCATTATCGCGATAGCCGGCGAAGTTAACTCGAGGGCTAGAAGATACTGTAGTGTTAATAAGAAAGTGTTGGGCTTCAATAGATTGTCGCAAGCAATGGCGTCTCACAAGAGTGATCTTGGATGAATTTGGAAAAAAGGTGAGATGAGGGGTAGAATAATTGTTAAGGTTACGTAGGTATCCTGCTGGTTATCCTATTTCAGGGTTGGAGGGAGCTTTTGTTGTCTTGTCTTGTCTGATGTGCTGTAGCGGGGCGGGAGTTTATTAGTGCTTCGAGCCGGCTAAGTTTCGGAAAGTTGGTAATCTAGCCTTAAAGACAAGGCCAATATGGTGTCTAGATACTCGAGTAACAGGTAGGGGTAAACTACCGCAATGGAGTTCTGATGTTCAAAAGAGTAGTACCCAGGTATTGGGTATGGTCTCAACTCATTTATCCAGATATATACATAATTGATAGTCGTACATGTACATAAACTGCTCATTATCTCAAGAGAAATCAATCAAATATCAAAAACCACAAGAGTTATTAGAGTCCAAAGGCTATCTTCTACTTTGATCATGATGCCGATTGCTTTATATACTACATAGGTGACACTTAAGGGGAGACTGCATTGGTCAAAGAGAGTAGGTTCTTGTTGGGAATAGTCAGTTAGTCCAACAGAGAAAGCTTGATTATTCAAAATACGAATAAGCTTTCCTTAAAGAATACCATGTAATACAATGAGTATATACCATCTCGTCATACAAAGGCGGGACTAATATGAATCACCATCCTCGAATACTAGGATTAAGAATTGTTATCTCATTATCTTGAACAGACAGACAGAGTATTGATACTGGAAATAACATAGTCATTAGAATTATACCAAAAAAGCAACCTATATATTCCGGGTATAATACAATTCTACCCTCTTATCTTTCTACTATTAAACATAATTCATCATCTACATCAGTAATATCCTCAATCTTATGAAAAGAAGGTAGACAAGTCCATATTATCACCCCACACCCCACTAACCTCCACGGCAAGATTAATCATTGTACTGATGGACCAGAGAATAATCAAACCCCATCCAATTTTTCTACTCATTACCCATTTGTTCATCGGTACTGCAATGAGAAGTCCGACTAATGTGATCAGCAAAGTGATAGCGCTGACCATTAGTGTACCACTGACTTCAATCTCGTATGGCTTATATTTGATATCTTTGTTCGGATGCTTGTGATGTTTGTGGTTGGCCTCTTTAATTGTCATGTATGCGCCACTAACACCAATGCCAATGAGAATGTTTAGCATCGGTCCGCCAAAACAAGCACTCAATGCCATAACAGGATATCCCAATCTGGCAACTGTGATATCGGCGACGAGGTCTCCTAATGAATTGCCAACAGCGAAGATAGTAAGGCCAAGGATTGCATCTGAGATACCTAAAATGACACCAAATGCTTTGAGAACTCCGACAACTTCGTTGGCAATGGTGGAAATCCAAGCGATGGCAACGACGAACCCGAGGAAACAAAGCACAAATCGATGCTTAGGGGGCCGAGAATGGGTTGTTGTTACTACGAGAATGGCAAATGCTACCAGAGACCCGAGAATGGAATACAAAACTAGACGTATAAGCGACCTCGAGTCACCGTCGTCAGTGTTAGCCCAAAATATGAATACCACAAAAAGAGGAGCTGTAAACAATTGAAGCACGACAAGCCAGCGGTTCCAGTCTCCAGAATGTTCTACCCCCGGTTCGTTATGAATCGCATCCTCGTGAGACGGGCCGATATTTTTGGTGGGTGACATGGGAACTTGGTGCGAATGAGAATGATGGCGCTCAGCAGAGATGGCTACCGCCGCGGTATTGTGTTGACCAAAATCTGAAATAGGGGACCGAGGACAATCATCAGTCTGTGTGTTCCGTCGACTCCGTTGGTATTCCACCCATTCGGATCCTGCTTCTGAAATGAATGATGGACTATCCGGGATCAGTGATGGGCCGGTGTTTCTCCTCGATGTGCCTGATTCCCTCCTTTGGTCGATGGAGCTTATCTCTTCCTGGTCTTTAGATTCTGACTCAACCACTGGCAATGTGATTGCCAAAAGGAAGATACTAGGGGCCGAAATAACGCTGATAAATTTATCCCATCGGCTCTTATCTCTCCACGTGCATAGTGTAGGAAATAGAGCTGTAAGTACGATTTGTGGGCTGGGTAATATGCGATATGGCCACCATCTTATTGGCCTTTCCGGACAGTACAACTCGTGCTCCAAATTAACCGACTCAGGTGTGATTTCAGAATCTGGCAGCAGGATACTGGGAGCCTTAGAACTATTCCCTGATAATAAGAGTGGAGAGTCCGTGTAAATAGGAAATGGTAATATTGGTGACTGTGTCCGGTTTCGCGAGCTATCTCTTGATGAACTTGGGATTTGAAGCTGAGGTCTTTGTACTGTTCGTGATCTAGTAGAGTTTGCCTTTGAACTTACAGGGTCTATGTTTGGTGAACGTGGATGCCGGGGTGATGCTGCTGGAGATTCATTCCCGGGTGGTGCCAACAAATCATCATTCCAACGCGAAGTGCTGTTTGTGAATAGTCTGTCATTTTGTGATCCATCGAAGGACGGAGGAGGCGAGATAGAGACTGTGGGCGATTTGGGACCTGGAGAAGGAACTCTTAGAAGCTGAGGAAAAGTCGGGGTGGCTGCCATTATACCAATATCCGGCACATCTGCGACGGTGAATGCTGCGGGGTCCGGGAGCTTGAGGGCTGACGCAGCGTTCATAGAGACGGCTCTACTGCGTACTGTATCTAGCTTAGGGCGCTGTGTATCATTTTCGCCAGTAACGATAGGATTTATGCTCAAAGCATATTCAGAAGCCGGAGCTGATGTTGTGGCAGATGTCCTGATTTGATCAAATGATGTCGATGGGTCATCTGAATATCGTCGCAAATTTATCGGCGGGCCATGGGAGCCTCGAGACTTCTGTAAAGATGATAGAACCGACCTAAACTCTAGAGCGCCGACCAGACTAGGACGAATGGGAGTTAAAGTGTTCCTCCGGCTACCGGTCGGTCGTATCACTCGCATATTGCTAGCCACCTCGGCAGCAATGTATCTACCTTCATCTCCATCCTCGTCACTATCTTCATGTTCAGGCACTCGTGGATGAGGACTAGAGCCACGCTCCAATTCCGCAAAATCTTCATTGCCACGGAATTCTCTTTCTCCTGCTGGCGCATCCTCATCATCTCCATCTTCCTCGGTAACCTCTATCTCTTCATTTGTCATTGCCAAGTACTGACCCCGAGCTGCGGCCTCTCTTTCACGACGACGACGTCGTCCTCCCAGGTACCAATGCCACATCACTACTATCACCACGTAGAAAAGGTAAAACCCGATCATCACAAAACATTCCCACAAGTGAAGAGCACCATCTGCAAGAAATACCATACTGAAGCTTGCTGCAACTATGAAGAAGCCAATATCCCTCACGAATGTCTTTTTGCCAACCTTAAACTCTCTCACTAAAGCCATGGATCCTGCGACAACTGCAGTAATAAACCCAGCTGCTCCGATGAGCTCGCCCACCGCGAGACTACCACTGTGCGAACCCATTGCGGCAAAAGTCGAGAATACATCCGGACTACCATTCCCAAAAGCTAGGAATGTTACGCCTGCCATACTCTCACTCATGCCCAATATGCTCGCAATTGTTGATAAATTGATGCAGAAGAAATCGCTCGCAGCGATTCCGATTGTCGAGAATAATAGTCCAAGCCATAATATAAGAACGGTGAAAGCTAAGGGTTGGGCCGTTGGTAGCTTGCAATAGTAAAGCGAAAGGTAATTGAGGAGTCCTGCAGTTTCATCGGGGCAATTCGCCAATATGAATTGGCATTTATCATCGGCATGATGGACAAGGCGACACTATGGCATTGATGTGAGTACAAAGTCTGGCGTAGCTTTTGTGTATCTACAAACCTCTTCATCTCGTTTCACAAGTCTTCTACTGTCCAGCGCATCCAATGCTCGTTTTTGTGCCACACCATATTGAGAACCGTAACGATATTTCGCGCTTTGATCTGCGACAAGACTTATGACAGCTAATAATGAAATGATCAATATGGTAAGATAGAAAGCTCGAAAATTATATTTGGAACGTTTTGGTGGGCGGGATAACGCCTTAGTCGAAGAAGTTCGATGCATACTTGATGCATGATCTGATGTGGACCTGAAGCTTTTGTTGAAGCAATGCGATTGCAGTTGCGATTGCGATGATAATTGTATTAAAAGTTATTAGTACCTACATGGGAAGGAATAGCTTCTGATAAAAGTAGAAATCCAAATTCAAAGTCGTAATCTGGGCTGTGCTAGCTAAATTGCCAAGTTGAATGGGATATTTCGGCAAGGAAAAGGAATCTTCGTCATAAGAGTGAATGGCAAAGTACATCGTAATCGCACGTATGTGTGGCTAATGACTGGGTCTGATGGTCCACCTCTAGAAGCACTAGATGCTAGATAGGTTATCGATAAACCTGGGACAAGGGCGATCAACGGCAAACGTGTATGGAGTAACAAGATAACCTTGAAGGTTACATCCACTGGTGTTTCTCGTCGTGTTCCTGACGAGAAGTAGGTACCGATAGGAAGGATATAATAACACTTTCTTAACACTTGAGGGGAGATCTTGTCTGGCACCAACTTGAAATTGAAATGGGATATATTGTCTCATTCAAGAGTCCATCCTCTCGCCGTTTCTTGATGAAAGTGATGTGGCAATCACCACGTAATGTGAGAAGGTCTTGTCCCGATTCTGAATCGGCTTATGTAAGCCAATCTCTCGATACCTAAGGCTGCAATACTCGCGTCGGGGTTGGGCAATCGGTCCCCGCTGTCCTGCCAAAATGTAAATAATAGAAAATAAACAAAGTTCAAACTTAACATCATTGCAACACATTTGCCTATCACGACAATTTTTATATTTCTTGATATGCCTAGAGTCGCACAAAATCCAAGTGCGAAGAGGGGTAGAGTTGCTTCTGGCTCTTTACCAACTCCTGCAAAATCTCCCGTGAAGTATGATTGCCCTGGTTGCTATGGTGTTTAATGTCCATATCTTTGGCAGATGCGATGCTTTTCGTTTGCGTGCGCTCTGCAGAATGAGATTTTTACGATACTGATTGATGGCAGGGTACCTTTGAATGATGCATCGCCTGTGAAATTGGCTCTCAATGACGATGCGCGAGAAAAAGCAAAACGACTGAAATCGAGAAATGCCCACCATGAAACTCAGATGAACGAAATTAAAAAGGCTGCGACTCCTCGGAAATTAGTGAACTTCGAACGAGCAGGAAGTTCATCGCCGTCAGTGAACCACAGAACACCGGGGCGAATAGGAAAAGAAAATGATTTGGATGGCGGGGTTATGATGGTTGGAGGAAACGCAGTCACTCCCATGAAGCGTGTTCCAATTCTCGCAAACTTCGAGGAATGGATGAAGATGGCCACAGACAACAAAATCAATGCTGCAAATTCTTGGAACTTTGCGCTTATTGATTATTTTCATGATATGTCACTTTTGAAGGAGGGTGATGGAGTCAATTTTCAAAAGGCCAGTTACACTCTTGATGGTTGTGTAAAGATTTATACGAGTCGAGTCGACAGTGTAGCTACAGAGACCGGCAAGCTTTTGAGTGGATTGGCAGATAGCGGGAACAACAAGAAGAAAAGGGGCGAAAATGAGGAAGGTGAAGGAGATGAGAGTGAGGAAGAGGTAGAAGATGAAGACGGAGTTGTTAGAAAGAAGGCAAAGAAAAGGGTATGTACCACTTACATTCATTATCACTTTGTTCTTCTCCAGCCGACGTACAAGTTTTTCAAAACAAGTCAAATCTCATAGTTGAGATGTGAAAGATCGCATTTGATGTGAAGCAGAATTATGGTTGCACATCATTTATCTACCCCGGAGTGGTAGGGTGTGATGGACGTCTTTAAGTTTTTGTCTAGCGGCATGCTTTTGGAAGAAGACGGGGGACTTTCATCTAAATATAACATCAGTTGAAATGCTTTCTGGCACATACGACCATAGACTGAAGAGAATTGGGCATCCCGTCCGCTCTGCCATACACAAGCTTCAGATCGGTGGATTAGTAGTTGGGTGGGTGACCACCAGCGAATCCCCACTGTTGTATGTACAACATCCCCTTTTGTTTCTTATTTTGCTTCGCTTTACTTTCTGCTAGTGGATTTGATCCTGCAGAGGCGGCGAGGATGATGATGGACACAACCAACCCATGTCAATCCGCGATCTATTCTTCATAGGGGTGTTAGTCTCAAAGTTCCGTTAGGGCTGGGCGACAGTCCATGATTTGCAACCTTGATTCTCAATTCATTCAACTTTATCTTTTTCGTTTCATCCTTCTTGGCTTGGGGACTGCAAAAGGGAATTTCTTCCTGGAGTGTAAGGCTTTTTGGTTCTAGTCTAGTGCTTTTCCAAAAAGTACTCGAAATGATCTACATCCCGAGGTTCACCCGACTTTTGATTAAGTCTGATCGTGATGTGATACCTGTTTGTCTTGGTCAAATAGTGCACTTGGTATGATTGATCAGAAAAACACAGCTAATCATAAGTTCAGACTCAACGCTCATCGGAAGCAACTCTTGCAACCTCGTTCTCAGCATTACAATTGAAGAAGTTCGAACTTGAATTCTCCGTTGATCCTTTATTTAAAAAAGCATCTGCAGACTTCGATGAGGGTGGTGCTAAAGGTCTACTTTTAAATCATCTCTCTATCGACTCTAAAGGGCGTATTGTTTTTGATAGTAGCGATGACGCAGGTGACGCTTCGGCAGAAGGACGGGGTAGAAGACGAAAGGCTGATGCCATTGAAGAGGATGAGGAAGATGTTTTAGAATCGGCAAATGTTACTCTGAAAGATGATGAGGATGATGAAGATGATGGAGATGATGTGGAGATAGATGTGGAAGCCTTAGGAGTCAAATTTTTTCCGAACTTGGATTTCCTTGAAGAACAAGACATTTGTCCATCATTGAAGAATTTCGACCTCGGAGATCCCTCTGGTTCTATGGATATTCCATTTTTAAAGGCACCAGAAGATTGGCGACAAGAGAAAGACAAGTCGGATGACAATGGTGTTGGTGATAGGTCAGGAATTTTCCTAGACGATGATAACCCTATTGGATTCGATGATGACGATGATGGACTCCTTGGAAATTTCGATATTCCAGATGATGCTGGATTTGGTGAAGGTGGTGAAGCTTGGGCTCGTGATGCCGCAATCGAGCCACGCATGCGGGTCCACGATGTGGGATATGATAATGATGGTGGCGATGGTGAGGATGGAGAAGGAGGTGCTGGTTCATTTGACCCCGAAACCGGCGAGTACATCATATCTCTTGATCGTGGATCCAAGAAGGAAGGCGGCCATGATGACATTTTGAGTTATTTCGATGAGGCGTTGCAAAAGAATTGGGCCGGTCCTGAACACTGGAGGATACGAAAGATCAAAGACGTCAACAAGCCAGCAGTTACAAAGCCACGCAAAGAGAAAGAACCATTCGAAATCGACTTCATTTCTCCTTTAAATACCACTTTGGCTGAGACTATTTATACTCATGCATCAACCAATGCTACGATATCTTTGCCAAAGAAGGATTGGAAGTCCAAGACAAGAAATCTTCTTCCCGATGACAAGCATTTTAATTCCAAACAACTGTTACGTCTTTTCCTTAAACCTAAAGCTAGAATGGGCAGTCGAAAATCTGGGTTTGGTGCCAAATCCGGAACTTTTGGTCAAAAGAAGGAGGAGGATATCCCTGAAGGCGAGATTGGTGAAGATTATTGGGCACGAAAAGAAGAACCTGCTCACACATTAGAGGATGAAGCTCCACCTCATGGGGATTATGACGCCAACTTCTTCCAAGATGACGGTTTGGCAATGCCAGGTATAGATGATGATGACGATATGGAATTCGCCGATGCACGTGAACAATTTTCGCCTGGAGCTGAAGGCCAAGGTGCAGGTATTGGTGGTATCGCTGCCATATTGAATGCCGGAGCTCAAGGTGTAGACGGGGAAGAGGGCGCGTTTGGTACACAGCTGGTCACACAAAGTAGAAGATTAAGGCCTGAATATGTGCAATATGCTAGGGTTGCCAAGAAGGTTGATGTGAGGAGGTTAAAAGAGGAGTTATGGAAGGGCATTGGATTCAATGAGCCTGAACAACCAGTAAGTTTATCTGCTACTCATAGAACCCGAATGTTATCACTAACAAATTGAAACAGGACATGTCACTTTCTACATCACGACTACCAACCCCACCTGTCAAAATTCCTACGGATGAAAATGAAACCCTTCAGTTTACAACCGTCATGCAAAACCTTCAGGCTGTATATCCAAAACAAGTTATGAATGATATCTCGACTAGTTATTGTTTCATCTGTCTTCTGCATTTGGCCAACGAGAAGGGTCTTGTCATTGATAAGAAGGAAGGTTTAATGGAATTGGATATTAGGAAAGACCCAACTGCTGAAATTACAGTTGAGTAATGACAGCAACTTGGGGTATGATGAACGCTGGACATAAGGATATGCAATGGGCGTTCGAAAGGGATTTATTGATCATCATCTGGTCTGTTTTGATTTCTATTTCGGTGCAAGTTTATGCTCGTGGGCGTGCGTTCACGTTGTGCATCTCAGGGTCGAGGTACAATGGTCGGCTGTACTGTATGGGAGTGGAGACTCTTTGTGTGTGTATGGTGCTTTATGAATTGAAAGAAATCAGTTGGGACAGATGGTATAAATTAAGATTATGATGATAATGATGATGATTTTAAGAAGAAAAGAAATTGTTTCGTGTGGCGAGAACAAAAATTATTACCGAGGGTCTTGCATGCAACGATAACATTGAAAGATAAAACATGATATTCTGTGCTATTCGCAGACTATCTTTAATGTATTGTTCGTTAGTTCAACATCTCGATCCTTCAGTTCCAAGGCTTTTGACTTTTTGGGGTGGGCATTTGCTTTGATGTGATGCTTCAGCAATGGCTTTGGAATTCGAGTGCCGATGTTTGAACAATCTGGGATTTGAATATGGTCTTTTTTAAGTATCTAAGGTTAGCTTGAAGTTAAGACTCGAGATTGGGTAAGTGGGTGGGATGAAAATGTGGGGCGGAGGAAAAGAAAATACTGACTGACTCTTGAGAAGTATGTGGAAATTTGAAGTGGAAGAAAGGTTTACATATGAATAAAGTTGGGATGGTGATACTGATGTGGTTTATATAGGTATTCACTACAGGCTGTTGAACTAGCTGAAAGCTAATCTTTTGCAGAACAATCAGTCATTCACTATGTCTTTGTATGAATGCGTGCTAGTGCTAAACGGGGTAGTTGAGATCGGACGGAAACTTTCTAGTCTCTGGCTTAAGTTTCTAAGATCCTTTCTAGGGCGACTAATGTTCTGCTTCTAGTCTTGTGGGCTTAAATATCATTATTGGGAAGACACAGTGTATATATATGTACTAATGCAAGGCACTACAATCACAAATCATATTCACTAGGGCATGATTATGTTTTTATAAGGAAAGTTATATTTTTATTCTGAATTTCAAAGTTACGATGAGTTCAGCAGTGGAAATGAGAAGATTGCGTGGAAACTAGGACCAGCCTAGATTTGAGAGCACGAATTAAGAAATGAAGGTCAAAGTTGATCAAGCATCGGTCTTACTAATGACAACAGGCTTTTTAACTTTTGTAAATGCTAATCTAAGTGCTTCGTTCGAATCTTGAATACGCTTTTCTCTACTTTTGCGCTTTTTTTCTTGGAATTTCTTTTCTTTAAGTATGTCATTTTCCCGCTGCTTCAATTCTTTCGCTAATTCCTTAGCCAATTTTTCCTCCGGTGTTTCTCGCTGCTGCTCCGATTTTCTCTCCAAAGCTCTCTTCAAAGCTTTCTTCACACTCTGCTCCGCCATTTTTGACTCCTTTTCCAGTGCTCGTCTTTGCCACTGGACTGTGGCCTCTTCTGCTGCGGGGTCTGGAACAACACCATAGTGAGCGTTCAACTCAGCCTCCAACTCAAACGCCAAGTCATCTTCTTCCCTAAGCCACAGTCGCAACATGGTTTGAATTAAAGCATCGGTGTAAGTTCTGGAAAACCATGGATCAGACGCGTGTAACAAGCCTCCTGGGTGATGTTTTACGGACTCGGTCGTCATGTCGCGCATTAAGCTAGCTACTGCGCCTATGCGGTAGTGGAAGTGGCCATTATCAAGCCTCGAAATATCTTTGTGGGTGGTGTAGAGATGGAGAAGGTGGAATTTTTCGGTAGGTTTCCAGAGGTTTTCGCGGGGGTGTCTTTCCCGGCCGGATCTTCTCATCTTCGCTATTTTTCGCACGAGGCCCGGCGCGACAGTGTCTTGCGTGGTAGTGTCTTCTGTGGTAGTATCTTGTGTGGTATCTTGCATGTCAGTATCCTGCATATCAGCATCCTGCATGACAGTGTCTTGCATGATAGTATCAGCCATAATTGTAAATGCCAGTGAAGTATTCTAAATCTACTTAAAAAGACAACTGATATATAGTTATAGATGTATGAACAGTAGGGTAGTTATGAATGAGGTTTGAGTTCTAAAGAAGTAACTTATCCCAGATGTAATCAAGCCATTTGTACTTCCACATGCTAATTTGTTCAATTCTTGTTCTTCATCTTTTCATGATGATGCATCTATATCGTCGACTCGAGGGACTGTTCTCGAGACAATCTTATTGTTCTTGGAGATCGCTTGATAAAGAAGAAAGAAGATGACAAAGAAAGTTAGACAAGTCCATTGTGTGGAACGACGTTCATTCTTTGTCGTACCAGTTTCCCATGTTATGAACTCGTTCGATCCCTCGATCACATGATGTTCACTTGATACCACATGGTTCGTTGAATAGGTTCGAAGTAGCACTACAAATTTGTTAGAGGCTCTAAGCCTGATCATGGCAAATTGCAAATTGCAATTCTAGGATTCTATCAATTTCTTGCATCAATTGCATGCCGTACCCTGCCTAATCACACAGAAGAGTCACAAAAATCCGCCAATTACTCAACCTTTAATATGATGCGATCTTTATTATCATCTCTAACGAAAGTAGACTATTTCAATGAACAAAATACCCCTCACCAGCATCGAGTTGCCAACACTCTCGACCTCCAAACCAATTCCACAATATCAAAAGACAGCAGACGAACTCAAACTCCTCCCCAAAACATCATCCATGACCCCCCCCCCCCCCTCCTCAATCCCAAATTCTTTCTCTCAACAACGGTTGAACAACCCCACCATGTTCCAAAATCCAAACCCGTCCGGTCCCTCCATCAGCTTCTTCCGCTTTTCTCGCGGCGTATACAGCGACTTATTAAATACCACCCGAAATGGGCATTGCAAACTATAGGCGACATCTGTGAGAGACCACTCGTTGAAATGAGAAGGGGAGCTTAGTCCTTAGTGCGCTACGCGATAAAGTAGGCTGATTTAGAGATTTACCTGGCTAAAGAAAAGTTGAAATTCGAATGGAATGGCGTTATGTATGCTGGTAATTTGAGTGACTGGATCAGCGGCGTCGAGTGGCTTTATTCCAAAGACCTTTCATGAAAGTATCGCGGCAATGTACCGCCATTTCCCAAACGCTCTATAACTTTACAAGTTGAATTCTTTAAAATTTTAATTGATAGAACTCCTGCTTTCTTTTCAATATACCTTCATTTATCTCTGGATAGGAGATTCTCCATCTGAGATTCTAATCTTTCTACTCCCACGAGAGATATTTTGGAAGGAAAGAATAAAGAATCCTGGAAAACGAATAACTATTTACATGGTCACAAATTATTTTTAACATGTCCAATAAATTCACATTCCCCCCCAACCCTCTTCATCCACACTAGACGATATGACTTGAAACTCTTAATACTATACATACATACATACACACATACAATCCAATAAAAAACAAAACTAAACCAAAATCTCAAACCCAGAATTACGTCTTAAGTTTCTTTTCCTCTCCTCATAAATTCGATTCGCTTATAATCATTGATCAACTACCAATCATCTCACATGAGATTCCTCAACAAAAATTACATTTTCCGATTCCCTATACGAGAGTTAAAGCCATAGGTCTGCAGTGAAATATTCAAAATACACATATCACAGATCCCATTCCGAATATTTAAAAAAGACAAACAGAATAATTTCCCTGACTATGCATCATTTCCGAACGATATATAGAGTCTAGAGTCTAGAGTCGCGAAAGTATACATACATACATACCAACCAACCAATCAACAAACACATACCAGCTCATCATTATCATTCGCAAGAAATAATCGCAAGAATCCAGATCTCATTCTTGCCTACTTTCCCTTCCCTTCCCTTCACTTCTCTCCTCTTCTCCTCCATGATACAATCTCCAACTTCACAAAATACACCCTAAAAGTGTCTAATGAGCTATACATACCAACTCCACACTAACCACACAACAGCTACACAACAGCTACACAACAGCTAGCTACTCTATCATGATTTCAACGCGGGTGCTCGATCGATTAACATGTGAGTGTACGATATCATTGCGATAATCACGCGTATATAGCTAGCTGATGGGATGAGGTATCGCCACTCCTCTCCCCTCCCCTCCTGCTCATAATACATCATATTATAAAATATTATAGTGTATTGTAACATAGCGAATTAATCTTCCATCCCAACTCCAACTCCAACTCCAACTCCAACTCGAATTCCAACCCAAATACAAATACAAATCCTCACACTCCTTCCAGCCCTTCCCTTTCATTCCCTTCCATAACACCACTCTACTCTACTCTACTCTACTCTACTCTACTCTACTCTACTCTACTCTACTCTACTCTACTCTACTCTACTCTACTCTACTCCACACCTAACATCCCAACATCCCAAAAAGCCATAAACAAGCAGTACATAAAAGAGAGCAAAAAGGGAAGCCCTCAAACTACGCCATCTCAACCTCATACCCTACTCACCCAAAACTATGTTTTTCATTCAAGAATCCAAATCACAAAACCCAAGCATATAATGATTGAAACACGAACAATAATCTCTACTCCATGTATTCTATAAATTGGTAAAATCGCGCTATCTATACTATACAACAGGGTATTAAATGCGTGAACAAAAAAAGGAATCCAAAATTTCCCACCGAGTTCATAACATAACATGCAAATTCATCTTCCGTGTATGCGTCAACATATCGAGAATGATAACATTCGCCACCAATCCAGAATTCCAGATACAAAATTATCCATCCGCCGCCCAAGAGCTTTTATCCCGTCCCAATCCAACGCAACCCAATGCAATGTAATACAAATCTCATACACACTATCCATTCTCAGCCATACTGTTACATTTCATCCATCATTTTCATCCACCCATTTAATACTTTCTCGCAAGCTTCGATCTCGATCTAATCTTTGCACCAAAGAAATAGATAAAGTAAATCAAAGCACAAAGACCAATACTAATGAATCCAATAGTACCCATAGCCCATTTCGTAGACATGTTATCGAACATGAGGACACCGAGATGGGCGAGACCTGCTGCGAGAGCAAAAGAAGGAATGAGGAAAGCTGCGATTGCTGCACCGGCGACGTTGGGATAAGAGTCTGGAGAGATGAACATTAGCGAGATGTAAGCGGTACAATGAAGGGGTAACATACCAGTAATGTAATTAAGCATACTAAGCCACAACAATGGATCTGCAAAACCAAGAACACCACCTGCTACAACTGGTGACCAATAAGATACACTTCCATCAGATGTGAATGCGAACCAAAGAAGTGTAATTGGGAAAAGCCAGACGGTAACCAAAGAAGTGATGAATCTAGCTTCTGGACGGTTAATACCATGCTTCTTACGATCTCTCGCGTAGAACCAAGTTTGAACCGGAACGAAGAGAAACATGACAACTACTCCGACGACGAAATTAAGGTATGTAAGATCGGCACCGATGTAAGTAAGACCATTGTTGACGACGAACACATCAAATACACCATCGAGGTATAAGAAGAGAATACCGTAGGCGAAACCGTTGTACAACCCGAGGAATAGAACGACCGGCTCCGTGAACATGATTCTGAATGTCATGGTTGTGATGAACTTCATCTCATGGAGAACATTGAGTCTACTCGTCAAGATGGCTGCTTCTTGCTCATCGACAGTTGCACTCTTTGCGGCTGCTTTGGCGATAACCAATCTTGGTAGTGTTTCTGGGATAAAACACAATAAGATAGAGAATGCGAATCCGATAATTACGTTAATCAAGAAGATCCATTTGAGACCCATATTTGCATTGTCGGCGATCCACTCTCCAACGGGAGATCCAAGGGATGGACCAATGTTTGCAGCTGTGTGCACGTCATTAGTATTTTTTTTTGTCTATGACGAAGTATAATTCAGTACTTACACATGACGAAGAGTGCCATTGCTTGTCCGGCACCATCAATGTCACCAAATAGATCCGCAATTGTACCAGCTACGTTAGAAAGAGCAGTAGAACCTGCCGTGCCAGCAAGGAACATAAAGATAACAAGCATAGGAAGGTTAAGTGCATATGCGGTTCCCTGAGACTTGTTAGAACAAATTGATTGAAAATTGCTCTGAAAAAAGTGACTCACAAAGTTCAAGATTGCATAGAATGCAATGCTGATAACATAAATCCATTTGCGGCCACCAAGATCACTGTGAATGTTCAGTTATAATTCTTGTTCACAACCACGATGATCGCGTTGTGCGTCATATGTCGTGTTCAACCTACGATAATGGACCCAAGAAGATAGGACCGACAGCTGTGCCCAAAATGAACATACTCTGACCCAAAGTAACAATTTGAGTAGTTCCTCCAAACTTCTCTTGGATCAAGAATTCAGCAGATACATAAGTTGTACTGGTAAGAGTAACAAATGTCTGTAACATGCAATAAACCACCACGATACCCCATCGTTTGAAGGCAGACCAATGCATAGGATGATGCTCATCTTGAGCCTTTACGAGTTCGAGAATGGCAATTGTTTGATCTTCGTGCCTCGTAGCAGCGTTTTCATTTCGCGGAATGATATCACCTTTTTCGACGTTGGATGAATCTGAAGCACGGTTATGTTCGTCGATCTTCTTCTCGGCAGTGTCGGTAGAAGCCATGGCGAACGAGCGAGCGAGCGAACGAACGAACGAACGCACAATAAACGGTGAACTTTTCTTGAAAGAGAAGCTTGGCCAAGAAAGTAAAAATCTGTAAATGTACAAAAGGGTGTATGTATAGAGCGAGAAAGATAGATAATGTAGCAGAGGAAGATTGGGGCACTATTTTAACGTCCTTGGCTGACGGTTTGAAGATAAGAGAGTCGGATGATCAATTCATTGGAGACGTATGCAAGAGATAGGAATATATCTTCCAAAGGATGATGATATTTGTGAAATTAGAAGTTCATGGGAAGAAAACGGAACGAAGGAATATTTCGATAAGAAATTTGCAAAATTGGCCGTGCCGCGTAGCCCTATTATCGGTAGCATTGTGATGATTTGGAAAGGTTGATCCATGTTGATGAATGGAGAACATTTTCATCGGAATACCTGGGTTTTGGTAAAGGTACGGAATAGTCTGGAATAGTAAGCAATGAAGAGGCAATGAAAGTTCATGATTGGTTCATCGTTCCTCCGTTCATGCTTATCTTGACCTAATCTGGAGACTCGGGGATTGTCGAGACGAGGTATCCATTTTCTCCCTTGAGCTTTCTAATTCCAGGTTTCGTTCTAAAGGGTCTCTGAGGGTCTCTGAGGGTCTCTTAACAATGAAGGTTGGTCAAGAAAACGCAGTCACAAGCCACAGATAAGCAATGGTGTGCCGCATCAGAGGTGGATCTTCTCGTCTCATGTCAAGTTCGCATGGGAGATGGAGAAACAGTGGATGGAGAAATGTATTAATTTAGAAGCTGTTTGTCTGTCCCCAGTAGGTCGATAGTTCAGACAAGAATCCATGTGGCGAATGCGAAAATGTATCAAGTGGAGGAGTCAATTCTGGCTATGTGTGTATGATGATGGGTTGTGAAGTTGTTGTATTTTGAAGCAAGATGAGGTGCAGATTGCCCAGACTTTGGTTGAAGCCTCCCGTCTTGGGTCGGCGATTTTATGGCATGTACGGCATGGCATGGTGTGGTTATGTATGGAGATAGCCCTGTTGCCCAGACGGGAGGGTGAATAAGATCGTGGAAAGGTGCATAAAGCGTATGCCCAGAGATGTTGGACATGGCTTACATGGCTTTACCGTTGATTTGCCCAGACGGAGAGCAGATCATCAGCCACACTAAGGGAAAAGGGCGACATCCGAACTCTGGGACCTTGGGACAGTGATTATGGTCTGGGGAAGGAGGAGTAGGTGAGTGGTTAGATACGAAGATGAAGCGAAAGATAAAGGTCCAAAGGCTCCAAAGAGATGACATTCATTATCAAAAATGGGGAAGGGAGATGAGATGAGATGGAAATGGAGTGAAGTGAAGTGAAGTGAGACATTGAGGTGATTGATTGATTGATTGATTGATTTAAGCAGGTAGACCTTGGCATTGAAAGGATGGACATTGTTTAGATTTGATTATTGACATTGTTCGAGAAGAGAATTGAATTGAATTGAATTGAATTGAATTGAATTGAATCGAATTGAATCGAATTGAATTGAATTGGATCAAATCGAATTGGATCAAGTTGAATTGAATTGGATCAAATTGAATTGATGTGAATCAAATTGACTGGACTTGAGGTGACTTGACGTGACTTGAATTGATGTTTCATTCTACTCAACTGGTCGTATCATACAACGTCTGGAGATGAGTACTCGGTAGACCGCTATCATTGCTTTATGTATTGTACTTCTCTAATAAGTTCAAGGCATCACTACCACCACCTGCATTTATAATATTCATTAGGGGGAACAAGGCCTCACCAAAATTCCCTTCAGAAAAGGAAACAATTGGAACACCTTTGTGATAATCAACGTATTAAGGTATTTCCAATTCCTTGTCTTTGATCTTGCTCTTTCCCTACCATTTCCATTCTGTTTGTCGCCGTGAAATGATATGAAAGGGCGAATACTTCCAACCAAACCACCCGAGAGGTCGCTGCCAGATATAAGAAGATCATCGATAGCAGAGGCCAAATCCAACTCCAACCGCAAGAGGTGATTCTGGCAACCTCTTGGACTTTACTACTTGCTAGACTGCGAATGTCAATGTCCAGACCAAAGTCATTATGGTCGTTTGCACATTGGAATCATTACTGTTGTACAGATTCCTTCTACTACACAATACAATAATTATTCACCACTGCAACAGGGTTCATTGACAGCCCCAAAAAGTCCATACGATTTTGAAATTTTGTTTGAGAACGAATTCGTCGTCTGAAGTTCGAGAAGTTCTATCATAATCTCTACCTCAAGATCTTATTGTTCTTCCCGTATTTCCCATTATCAAGATCATCATCAATATCATACCTCACTTTAAGCCCTTGATCCATCGGAATACCACCGAGTACCGGGCAATTGTCAGCCTCGTCCATCACCGGTTTGTGCTCTCTATGTTGACCAATCGTAAATCCCCAAATATGTGTGGCTTATGCAGGTAAGTGTGATCTTTCCAATTATAGCTCGGGCTAAGGCTATGAGGGGTAAGGCTGACAGACTGCCTTCCTCTTTTTTCCCCCTAGGTGCCCCTTCCCGATATATCATACCTCGAAAAGTATCTCTTGATCTAATCAAATTTCAGTAGAAACATATAATTTACATGGCCAGAGATCGTTTCGACATTATCCATTGGATCTTTGCCAATACATATTGATTCTTGCTTTCCAACGTACCATCTTTTGACCCCGAAGATCAGCTAGCTAGCTCCAGATTCACTACTAGTTTTCTAGCCTACCCCGACCATTCTTCAAAATTTAATAACCTTCAATTCCCACGTCACCATCACATCCATCATTTCAACTTTCAGAAACTTCTCCCAACTCCATTCGTGCTATCACAGTGTCTTAAACTTCTATCAACACATCTCAGTTGAAAGTTCTCGCACTTGCAATCTCATTTCAATTCATCTTCGGCCTCCATTCATCACCGCCTGCAAATCTCAAGATGCCTACCAAGAAGAAGAAGAACATTTCTCAACGCTCTACTCAAACGAGACTTCCCTATGCCGTATCCAAGAGACAGAAGGACGAATCGTTCGAAGTCTCTCGATCCAAGCGAGCCAAGGCCTATGTAGTAATCTCGGATAGCGACGAGTCCTCCTCTGTAGAAAACGACGATGGCGACGACAACAAGTCTTCCCAGATCGGCGCACTCGATAGTAGTGTTACTGCTTGGAGTGATGAGGACGATGACGACTCCGATACTGGATCGGTTATTGTCGTTGACTCAGGACCTATTGCAATGGCCGCTGCAAGAGTTGCTGCTCCAAATACTAACCTGGACAAGTTATTCAAGGGGGTTATTCCAATAGAGGTACGTTCTGTCTTTCAAGCATTTTCACTCATGTTCATCAGTCGTGTATGTCGCCGTGCCGACAGATACCTCAGATTCATTCGTCTGATTGCGATTACCTGAAGATCGCTTGATCGCATCTGTTATTCCTCAGGCTATGGACAACACCGTTGAAGTTATTGCAGATAGTAGACCAAGATTTGCGTATGCTTCTCCGTCGATTCTATTCGCTAACCACTCAAATGCAGGTGCACCAAAACATCGCCAAGTTCCTGCCCCACGATCGAGACGTCATACGATATTCTCAGATTTGTCGAAACACTCGCAGTGCTATGTCGGATAGTGTCTGGCGTTATCGATTTCTGGAGAGATTTGATGCGGTACCCGATGCGCCTGTAGAACTTCTGAGAGAGAAGTATCAGGTCAGACACTGGACCACCAAACTTTACACCATGTTCGAATTCAACAAGTACAGGTACTTTCCCAGTGGAGACATCGCACGAATCGAAAAGGCACAAGAGAAGATCCTTGATATGCTCCAGAATCTTATCATCGGTATGTCTCTTTTGAAACTGTTTTGGTCAAGGGTACATGCTCATGAAATTGTACAGAATCCGATGCCCACAAAAGTTATGACGGCAACGGCGATGAGATGATTGTAAGTCGCAACATTGATTACATCAGACAATATGTTGAAGGATCCTTCGTGTCGGGCACAACTCATGCTGGAGATATCATTGATATCATTGATTCCATTGCGAAAACTCGTAATGAGTGGGATCTGAAAGCTATTTGTTCAGTTGATAGTAATGTCAACACCCGGGTGTTGTTGATTCAACTATGCTTGACATCCATTTCTTGGGATCCAAGATATTGCACAAATACAATCTCCCAGTTCGACTTGTCCCAGTTGGAGGTCTATGCGCCACCAGCAAGACAACCATTGTTTCTCGGGAAATGGAAGGGTGATCTCAACGTCCGTTGGTGTTTACATGTGGCGAATTTCTTCAAGTTTCACCTCAAAGCTGGAAAGGGTGAAGGACTTCTCGCTCATGCCTATGCCGAACTAGAACAGAGTCAATTACCACAACCGTGGTTGGGTCGATTAAAGTCGGGAACACAAAAGCTAGGAAGCCATTGGAAGGGAGCCTATTGTAAGTGTTGACGATGAATACTGCCTCAAATTCCCGGGAACTAATTCGACCTTAGTTTATGTGAATCCTGATGAATTGGCAAGAATGAGACAAGCTGGAGAAGAGACTGATAATGGTCCTTACTCGGATGAACTAGATGGTGGGGAGTCATTTCAGGTAAGCCAATCATGAGAATGTATCAGTGGTGCAGGATGACTAACTTAGTGTTGCAACAGGATATATCTCTATTTTTCAACGATCGAATTTTCGGAAAGCTACATTGGCCCAAGTCATGGGAAACAATCCTTCATAGTGATCCATTCTCTAATGCTGCTCCTGAGCCCACCCCTCAACGTCGTGCTTCAAGACGCGCTACTCGATCAAAAAAGGACTTTAAGAAACCAAAAGAGAACCCTAACCCAGGCGTGGAGTACTTTTACGGTTCTTCACATGACTCTTCCTCGACTGCCCATTTCTATGGAGCTGTACATGGAATCCCCCCACAACATGGCATTCCCGGCTTTCAAAGAATCACTATCATGAAGTTTTTCCCAGATCAGAATGGATTTCATGATCCAGGACAGTCCTGGGGCTACGAAGGTTGTGTTTTACCTGGCGGTCGCATCATTGTCGGTCGGTGGTTCGATGCGCAATCTCATTCTACTAGAGACGTGATGTCAGGACCATTCGTTTTCTGGAATACGGATGAGAGTGATGCAACAGAGCCCATTGATGGCAAGGAAGCTTTGAAGTTTCTTGACCTCTTGAAACGGTACAACCATTGTTAGCTTATGCTTCTGCGGGCTAACCACATTTTATTTATTGATTTTCCACGACTTTTCAGTGCCAGTCACATCCAACACAATAAAATGGGGACTAGATTCCTCGATATAAGGCTACCAACTAAAGATTCTTATGATAAATCGATCCGAGATCATGAACACATTTTCAAAGCATCAGCGCAGGATCAGCAAGCATACCGTGCTAACATACCCGTCACATCAGCCGGCGACAAACATTGAAACATAGAATCATAAAGCAACTCAATTACTTCTTTTCGTTTTAACAGACAGTGTTATTTTGGACCAACAATATGGATATTTTCATAATTAACAACGAACCTCGGGCATCGTTTACTCACAGTTATTTTCGCTTCGATTTGCACATATTTTACCAACCTTTGACACTCTTTTCAGAAACATATTCTTCAACATACTTTCGGTATTCTCTTTTCAAAAATATTCTTGGCGCGATTCTCTTTCCTTGTTCCATTTTTCATATTAATCTTTTTCTTTGGTGAGAAGGGAGCGTAGGGAGGGAAGTGGGTGGACTGGTATGCCAAAAGGAGTTTGATTTGAGGGATTGGGGATGGGATTGGGGTGTTGGATGGATATAAATGGATCTGCATCGTGGATATACCCCCTTTATTTCATAATCTGGCGTTAAGAACGGGGTGGTATCTTGCAATATATGGGGTTCTGCGTTTACGATCCGCGTTTACATCTGCGTCTGCATTTTTTTCTTTTGTGGTGGTAGTGGAGGGGAGCAAGATTTGGGTGATGATTGAATGCGAATAAGATCGAGATTTAGACCCATCTAATTGAAAGTATGCATGTATGCACGCGGGCGAGCATTGGTTAGCGAGCAATGTACTTTTCTTTGGTTTAAATGGGATGGATGGTGATTTCGTAGTTCATGGAAGGTCGATATGAGAGAAGTGAAGCGATTCGTAAGTTGAATTATAATGAAAATTGAAGAATGAAGAACTGAAAATTTATCAAAAAGGAACAGGGATAGAAATTCTTGTGATGTGCCAAGTGTGTGTGTATGTAGGTATCGATGCGCTGAATGTGTTGACGTACGAAGAGGTATGATGTGAATGATTTTTTACTGTGTATATGGATGAAGATATGGGTGCATATATACGGATGTAAACTTAAGAAGGATAACCTTTTGAGCTCTTGAACCATTCAAAACAGATTCTAGAAGAATAAATAGTGGATAGTTGACGATGATGAATCATTTACCAAAGCCGCATGGATGCAAAGGGATGAAAATCTAAAAGGGATGAAAATTTAAAAGGGTTGAAAAGGGGGGGGTGGTCGCTAAATATTGAGTATTGAGTATTGAGTATTGAGTATTGAATATTGAGTAAGGAAAGAAGGAGGGAAATCAGGATTTGAACATCTATTTGTTGACATGTTACATTGACACTGAGGAAGGGAGGGAGGGAGGAAAGTTGAGAGGGGAAGGGGGGAGTAATGGGATTTGGGGTAGGATAGGATAGGTGGTTAGGTGATTTTCTCAAGGGAATTGAGGAGCATCATCTTTGCTTTCTGCCTTTTGCTGTCTGCTTCATGACTTTGGTTTTCCCTCTCTTCCATTCCATGCTTCCAAATATGCCTCGCTTCCCCGTACTTTGTATATCATTTTATTTGAAGTTTATCTTTTGTCTTTATGTTTACCTGCCTACGGTATCTGTCCCAAAACGCCTCATCTACTCGTACGAACGCTTGATCAACTTCTCATCTCCTTTCCTCTTCTTTCCGCCCCCCTCCTCCCGCCCCTGTGCGCGCCCCTTAACCAAAATCTATTCCTCAATTTCCTTAACACATTCCCACTCGCCTCTCAAATTTTCCTTCCATAAAGAAACCTTATTATCACCTCCACTGACCGCCAATACGTTTCCGCTTAAACTCCACGATACGCGCCAGACTTCGCGTTCGAATTGGAGAACTTTAGATTCCCATTGACCTGGGCTAGAAGCTGCAGATGAGGTCCAAATGCGCACAGTTTTGTCTTGGGAAGCGGATGCTATGTAACCTATTGATGCATTAGTTGTTTGAATCCTTCGTTGTGGGGGGGAGGGGAAATGATGGAAATAAAAAAAGAGGAAAACATACTCTTTTGTAAAACCGTAGGACTCCACGCAACATCCCTAACCCAATCGCCATGTCCCTGTAATGGAGCCCCTTCAACCTTATAGCTCAAACTAGCTTGATCCCAGCCCCAAACCCTTAAAAGATTATCACTTCCTCCCGTAACAAATCTCCTCACGCCACCTTCCTTTCCTCCCGCATTCGCACTGACCAAACTACCCGGCTGCGAAGATGGCGCCCAAGAAACACTATTCACACCAATACCGTGCGCATGGAAAATCTTATGATCCATGGAATTATCCTTGAATTCTAGAACCGAAACATTTCCATCCGAGGATGCGCAAGCGAGGAGACATCCAGATTCATGGGGACACCAGGACAGAGAATTGACGGATGCAGTGTGCAGGGCGAAATCGTAAATTTTTGTCCATACTGAGGAGGTTTCGCGGTAGATGAGAACTTTGCCGTCGTAGCCTGCGGAGGCGAGGATGTTGCCGTATTTGGGGTGAGCCCAGGAGATGGACCAGATGGCTCCTTCGTGGCTGGAGTGTATGTGTTAGCTAGGTAGAGGGTATAGTAGAGGGTGGTTGAGAAGATAAGTCATCATGAAGATGTAGAAGATGTGGAATGTGGAATGTGCAACGTGCAACGTGCAACGTGCAATAACCACTGTGTTGAGCGCACGAAGCCCGTGTGTTTGAAGTGTTTGAGGGAATTCATGAAAGCAACATACCCCTTCAGTGTTTCTGTAAGACGATGTGTTTCCCCCTCGATTTCAAAGATCTTTACCGTACGATCCGACGAACATGTTGCGAGTCTGCGACCATAATAATCTAAAGCTGCATCGTGCTATACAAGAAGCTATTAGTTTATTGACTTTCGATAACGCGCTGAAAGCTAATGATGGAACAATTCCTGGTGAAGCCAGAAAAATAAGACCAAGAAATACTTACAATCATATCATCGTGACCTGAATTGGTGATTGTTTGCGCCATACTGACACAATGGAATTAATTGATTGTATATGTATTTCGAAACACCTTCTGAGTTCCTGAAGCTCTCAACTGATTGATGCTGCCAGATCGTATCTAAGCGGCACTTACCGCTTTTGGTACACATCGGGGAAACATTTCCCCGGCAGAATTCAACCTGCATGTGATTTGTGTGATAAGGAAGTCGTTATCCTCACCGCTTACTCATTAGAGGGGCAAAATCCCGAGCCTTAATCTAGTGTAGGTATGCGATGACATCTTTCAATCTTCTCCCTTCTCTTCTCTTACCTTTCTTCCTTTTCCTTACTTATCTCATTGATTCTTACTAAGGGTAGTAGTCAATTGAGAAGATAGATTCGTATCAATTCATTCAGTACACCCATACAATTTTTGTAATCTTCTAATAAACATCTCTATCCTTCTTACATCTTATATAATTTCACAGATTCCATTCATAAGCCTCGGTTCAATAATTAAGCTCACATTCCCGGATCATCACAAAATCGCAATTTTGGGAATCTTTCAACCACAATCAATCTTGACCCGTTCTTCGGAATAAAATCCCAAAAAATGGCAGACAATCTTTGTGGTCCATCTAATGCTTTGCAAAATTTCCAAAAGCATTCGAATGTTGATCGCACTCTACAACAAGATCGATTAGTTGGAAGAGCGCCGTCGTCGCAAGTATGTATCATGCTTTATTCTTCATCCACTCCCAATCGCATTACATCATCAGCCATAATTTTGCTAACAACACAACAGGGCTTCCGAGCTTCGCCAGGTCCAAATGCAGGTCAGCTAGATGCTGAATTCGTAGCTTTCCAAGCCGGTCACCAATCACTTAGTCTCTCTCCATCGGCGCAAAACTTCTCTCCTCATCATTTCCAAACTCCACCTCCTCAATCGTTTCAAAACGTCGTACCACAACATTCTGCAGGTCAAGGATGGGCTAACGACTTCCAAAATATGAGCATATCTGGTCCTCAAGCGCAATTTCAACAACAAGGGGTACATCAAACGATTCAACCACAAATGGGAGCAGGATGGCATCAGGAATTTGCGCAAAGCCATGGAGCCCCGGGAATGATTGCGCAAGGAAATCAACCTATGATGGCAATGAGTCGTCCTTCTATGATGAATGCTGGATACAATCCAATGCCTAGAGTTCTTATGCAACAAAATCAGCTTGCATCCACAAGCCAGTCATTGGTAGAAAACAATGAAGTCTTTGATGAAGCGGCATTCGCCAGAGCTTTTGAACAAGCAGCTAATGCGGAAAGTGAAAGGGCGCAACAACAGGAACTAGAGTCACAAGCTGCTGGTATCCAACATGAAGAGACTCACGCTTTGGATCAACTACACGTTACAAAGGAGGCCGAATTAGAACTCGACAGGGCGGAAAAGCAACTACTCGGCCAAAGCTTACTCGGCGCAGATACCATTCAAGATCCCGCAACCGCTACATCAGAACAAAATACACATGCACCAGACGCGCTATCACGTACAGCTGGTGAACTTTTATCTAGTGTTAGTAATAACCAAAGCGAAAAGTTTCAGAATAGTCAGTTTCTACAACTCATGCGACAATTTCGCGATAAGGAGGTTACGGTTGAGGGGATGAAGTAGTAGATGGGCCCATGAAAGCTAGACAAGGCGATCATAAGAACGAAGGTGGACATGAAGTTTTTGAAATGGTTGGAGCACCCTAGCATAGTTTATTGGATTGATCCTCTCCCTGTGGACTTTTTGCCGTAAATATCCTCGCCTGCTTGCATATTGATTGATCCTCTGACTTGTGGATTTTTAACTGTACATACATACCTACTTGTTTGCTCATGCGTAATTGAAAACAGTCAAACCTTTGCAATACTTCATAGACTAACTAACTAATCTGAAATTGAACACAACAGACGAGGGAATTGTTACAACAGACCAGAACCACAAAGATGGATATACTAGCTATGGCTGCACAAGCAACCGTGGAAGACAGAGAGCAAACGAGAACCGAGCGCAAGAAGAATCAAAGTAGCGAGGAAAAACAAAAGCAACCTACGGCCAAGAATCGATTAGCTCAGATTGCGAAAACACTCCCGAAACAGGATACGGAGACCGCGGGTACCGAATCGGAAGTGAAGCGATTAGATGGCGAGGATGTATTGCGCATGTGTCTTCCGTATTGTACGGGGGATAGAGAGCAGCGTGCGAATCTTTTGAAGATGTTGAGGGGGGAGTGGGATATTAGAGAGGGGGGGTCTGTGGCAGCGAGGGAGGAGGGGGGGAGATTTGAGAGCGTGCGTATGTGGCTGTGGGAGGAGTAGGAGGATGATTGGGGTTTGGAGTTCGCATTTGTGTTTGGTATGGAGGGGTGAGGAGGTTGCTGTCCTTGAGATTGCTGTCCTCGATGTTGCTGTCCTCGATGTTGCTAGGCTTGTGGATTGGGTTTAGGAAAGTGGTGGTGGTTGGATTAAGATTGGGGTTCAGATTCATATAAGGACTTGAATGGTCGATTACTGGGTTTAAACTCTCAGATATCGAGCTAGAATCGTAGATTGAGAGTTAGTAATAAATAATAGCTAATATTAATCCACAATTTCTCATCAAATCTATCACTCATGTTTTTCAACAACTGCACTGCACTGTATCACAAATACTGAGAATGTCAAAATAAATAAAGTAAAATTAACCATTAACAGGAAACAACTCTTTGAGCAAATGGCCTCGGCCTGGATATATAAACATCTTCATCTCCGCCTCGAAACATGAACAATGTGAAGCGAATAGCACTTGTAAACTCCCGAATCACCCCCTAAAAATAAAGTTGCAAAGTACAGCTCTTCCCTAGGCTTCCCTATGGCGCTGATGAGCAAGCTCCCCATAATCACAACACCGCTTCCATTGCAGAGTTTCATATTCTCTACCCGACCCTGATACCCAACCCCTCATCAATCCCATTTTATGAATCTCGATCTTCTCAACCCGTGATTTATGATCTAGTCAGTACTTCAAACGCAATGCACGCTCGTCGAAATACCCCCAAGTTTTACCCAAACAACTTCTACAACTTCTTTTCCTCTTTAAGTCTCTTTTCTTCCTCGGTGACATAGTCTCTCCAACCCTCGCCTCTCATCCCACTAAGCATCTTCCTCAACATACCACTCCTTAATGCTCTTCCATCTCTCTCATAAACCATCTCAATAGCCATTAAACTAATGACAAAAATCCACACGTCTCCTCCCTTAATTCCCTTCCACCATCCTCTCTTCTTGCCAACCTTCCATAACGAATCCATCGATGCACGCGCACTGTACAAAAATTCTCCTCTTGCATCTTTTCTAACTACAAATCCCCAAAGACCGCCCAATGCACCTCCTAGGAAGAATCTCTGGGTAGGTAGGACATGTCTGGGTAGAATCGATTGGAAAGCGCAGATACTAGCCCAGCTAGTGCCGATAGCGCCAGAAATATAGAGGGTAGATTTGAGGATACGGATAGCGAGGGTGTTTAAGGAAGAGATGGGGGAATTGTAGAATTTGCGATAGGCGGGAAGAGAGAAGAGAGAGAGAATTAGAGTGAAGACTCGAGCGAGGCGAGGGAAGACTTGGATCCAGTAGGTGAGGTAAGTGCGGAGACAAGAGGGATCCGAGGGGTGGAGAGTAGCGCACGTGAGGGATGTTATCAATGGGTGGGCGGGAGAGGTTATGGGGGAAATGCCGCTGAGAGACTGTGGTAGAGTAGGGTTGTTGGGGAAAAGAATTGGGGACACGAAGGGTCTGGTCTGGATGTTAGTTTACTTGATATGAAATTGTGAGAGTAATAATAACATACGGGTAATTAAGACGTGCCATTTCGGCGAGATTATCAACGATGCCGTAAGTATTTGGCCATGGTAAATTGGCTGGATAATCTTCCGGTCGAGTTTGAATGTACTGTGGAGAGTTTTTGAGAATGAAATCTCCATATTGCTGTACATCATTAGCACCGACGCTTTTCAGAGCGATTGGAAACCATACCTTTGGAAAGCAATCTCTATCAAAAACAAAAGCATGAAGCAATTGACCACAAGTCAATGGGAAAAGTAACCAACTTCCCCACCACCAAGGTCTCTCCCATCTACTTCCCTCTTTGCCCCAAATCCAGCCCTCTTCTTCTGCCAAGTTGTACGATATTTCTGCAGCTCTACTCAACGCATAAATCGCAATTGTAACTCTCAGCTGGTCACTTGGATAGACCCCCAACATAAAGCCAGCCAAACTTGCTCCAACCGCTGGTGCCAAACTCGATGTAAGCGTCTTACTTGTTTTCGGGTTTCGCTGCCTAAAAGGTTCGGCTTCGGGTGTAAGGAGATGTGCGCGAAGTCGAGTGAAGAATCGGAAAAGAATCCGATGAAGAAGGAGTATCGTAGAGAGGGAAAGGGAGAGGCGGAAGTTTGGTGACTTCCATAATGAAGTCTTCTTCCCCCTTTGACATCAATTAGCTTTCGTTTAACTGTGTTTTCCCGTCTGCAAGAGGGCGAATAGAAAAAACATACCCAGCTTTACCAGCGCCCATGAATTTCTCTGTGATCAAACTCCATATCTTCAGTCCCGCATTGGTAGCAAGGAATAACCTCAAACTACCCCTCACAGCTGCAGCATTATAATCATCGCGACCTGGTCTCTCTACCAATTTCTCTACCTTTGTAACTGTAGGTGCATTTCTCTTCAAGACTTTCGATCGCGAGATGATGTATTTGTGTAGTGTTTCATATTCTTTCGCGGAGATGGTATAACGAATCGCATTGCGGAGAATAGGATCAGCAGTAGATTTAGCGGAGATTCGATCGCGAGGTGGTTTGGGAGCTTCTGGAGCACCGTTAGGTGTCGATTCCATAGTTTTGAAGTGGTTATGGGTGTCGCATGAGTGATGTTGTTTTGTTGATTATGGTGGATAGATGCTTTGAAGTTGAGTAATTTCCTTGATCAACATGTGAAAGTTTACCTCGGCGTGGAACAATAGGGAGAGGTTAAATTGGAGATCTGCGGCAAGGTTTCGTTTTTGGATGGGGAAAAGAGGAGTTTAATGAAGTTTAGAATTGTTTTATATTTGAATGTTATGAGGATGTACGAGTAGTTATTTATCTATTTCATGAATATATAGTTGTCGCGTTGATGTGGCATATCACGTTGTTGTCGAGATATCCTGGCTTGGTAGCCACCACAACACGATAATCCCAGACACCCAACATGTTCTGCGGATACGCAGAACAAACCATCAGAATTGTCTAGGATATGTGTGTAGAGAGAGCAATGATAATTTTAAATGTGAAAGTATCCTGATACATATTGGAGGGGATTCAATCTCAGCTTCGTTGCTGTCCTTAATACTCACTTGGATTGAATATCAACAACGTCCCAAATCCAACATAGTATTTTATCTAACAAGTGTTTGATACGAGTCCTTCATTGAAGGCTTGCCTGCAGCAAGCCCCGAATAGCTATAGGGAGATTGAAGCGGAAATGTTTAGCCCTCCACAACAAGTCAAAAACCTCATGGCTGAGAAAGCTACATGTGAATAAATCTCTGCTTCATCAACACGTATTCAATTATTTATTATATTTATTTGTACATTTCCTTGTCGAATATTGCAATCATTTCTTCCAATATCTCGCTTCGGAAATACTCGTTTGCCGGGACCAAGAGTATATTTGAGGACATCGCATGCCATCAAGAGATGAGTCGTCCAATATCTCATACGACCTCAATCTGCTAGTTAGTTTCATATCTTCAACGTGCAAGTCAAACGTTACAATTGCTTAGATCACTTTAGAGTACAGCTTCTGATATTCGCACAGCGGTATGTAGACCTCCGAGTATGATTTGATAATTTGAATAAACTCAACGTATTACACAAGCTCCGCTCTCGGGGTATTCTATTCTGCGGAACCACTTGATCAAACGATCATCTTTCGGTCACTGTCCGTGCTATTGGCTTAGTAGCTACTGTGTCCCCAATTCGATGCGCGGAATGCATCGCTGCATTGCTTCTCCCAAAGCTCTACTTCACAGAGTTATTGCCGAAAGCCTGTTTCATTATCAATCCTTCAGTTCAATGTGGAGATTCACTGTCAGGTTTCAAGTGTAAAAGATCACTTAGTTGTGAAGTTCCATCTGAGTAGAGCTAGAGGCTGGCCGTCCATCCGAAATTATAACATCAATCTTATGTCTGCCAATTCGGAATTCCGTGTCAGCCTGCCCATTGAAGATGGTTCGTATGCCTTTGTATTCAAGGGCTCCAGTCAATAGATCAATGATCTTTCCGTTCAGTATACCATCCTCGTATTTGGGCTACAAGATTGGGACCGTCTCATCCACATCGACCCCCCAAAGAGCCAACATTTCTACCATCGAGTTGACACCTGGACTCTTGAAAGTGACCTTGAGACGCCCATGTGATTGACGAAATATATCGTACTTAGCACTCTTCAACATCCTATTTTAGATTTCTCAGTGAAGGCAGATGATCTCACGCACTTCTATATTTAGAACCTGCAATGGAGTACGTTCTGGTGTAGAGTGTATTTCATTCATCGCATGTTTTCTTGAGCACAAGCTTGTGGATATTATATCCAAATCCTCACTCGGGATATAAGTTAGTGTGGCCAGGGGTTTCTGTCGACTACTGCCTACTGCCTTCAGCTAGGTAGCTAGATTAGGGACGATAAGTGGGGGTTTGGAAGGTTTCATTTGCTCAGGAGGAAGATACAATTGATTGAATTGACAACAGCTAGGTATTCAACTAATGCTCTTCTATCGGTATCTCACCACATCTGATACAACAAAACGCCACATGGATATCCTTAATCCACAAACGCCTGGATTTACATGCACATATATGATCTTGATCTCATATCTTCGGATATTTTTATTCCATTTCATACTCCTCATCCCTTGCCATATGCGCTGCCTCTGACACGACGAAGAGCAATCTCGTTCCATTACCAGCAGTTTGCCAGATCTGATAATATTGTTAGCAAAAATTCTATTAAAAAGGCAAAACAAGTGAGAACTTACATCAAGATCAGTGTATTCCATAACAGCAGCTCGCCATTGATCCTCAGTGAATCCTTTGGCAATAACTCTCTCCTTGACCTTCTTCATACTCAACTCCATACCCAGAGTCTCATCATCTTCATCGTCTGCCTCTTCAGGTCTGCATTGACCAGCTTCGGCCAAAGCTCTAACCATATTGTAGATTCTACTGCTTGGACTGGAATCCTTTCTATATCCATCTTGATCGGCATACAAACTCTCTTTCGATGCTTCAACAAGTCTAAGAGCT